ACGGCACGCCCGACAAAGAACTAATAGCCATCTCTAAAAGCTTTAAAGTCTAGAGATACTACTTAGAAGGGGCAGCGCACCCTATCCGAGTTCTTACCGACTACTATAACCTAAAGTACTTTATAACGAYAAAGGTCTTAGATAGTCGTTAGGCTAGGATTACGRAAAGGTTAGYAGCGTACGACTTTACTATTAAGTAYAAGAAGGGGACKRCGAACCCTTCTAATAGTTTATCTCGTCGACCGGATTACTTTATAGGATTYAAAGGAACGGCTAAAGACGAGYAGCTATTAGGACTTCTACTATCCTTATAGYAGCAACTAAGAGTTATAACGCTCGATAGCTACGCGGACTACCCTATAGAGGTACCGYARAGCTRCCGCGGTACCGACCYRGAAAGTTYATAYAGGAACCTAGGTCTCCTATTATCCTATAATAAGCTCGATTAGCTTAGGTTAGAGAGGCTAGTAACTAGTTTTAGCTAGCTATCTAGCGACACTCTCGAYAGCACSGTAGGAGGCTTGTTACTCGCTACTACTAGYACTAGGAATTGYAAAACCCTCGTACTACGTTTCCTCGTCGCTATAGCGTATAAGGACGAAGCAGCGTATTAAGGAGAGCCTCTAGAGTCGACTCGAGACTTTATCCGAGAGGTCTAGTAAAGAGACGCTTATGCTTAAGACAAACGGAAGGAGGCTGCTTTAGCGACTACAAATTCCCCGGGCGATCCTCTAACGCCGACGGAAGAGCGTAACGGTACCGCAGAGGTACCGTAAAGGTCGGACAGACTAATAGGCTTAGCTAAGACCTAGACCACCGATAAAGATAGACTTCTTCGGTGTAACGGAAAGGTATATGTTCCCGCCTCCGTTACCCTCCGGTAGGAGCTTCTATATCGCAACTACGACGATCCTACCGCTAGACACTATAGGCGATAGCGTACTACCGACGTCCTTTCGGCCAAGTACTTTTAGCTACGCCTCGCTAAGGACGTGAGGAACTACGTAGCCGAATACGATGTCTGTTAACGCGCTAAGACGAAGCATTATAAGCTATATAGCGAGCTCCGGCCCCTAACAAAACTATTAACCCCTTAGAAGTTAATCTCTATAGACTTTATTAYAGGTCTACYACTATTAAGAGGATTTAGCGGTAAGATCTACGACGCCGTTCTCGTTGTCGTTAACCGCTTCTCTAAGCTAGTAAGGTACCTCCCTATTACTAAGGATATCGATGCGGTAGCACTTACGGAACTAGTRTACCGCCGYATTATCTGTAAAAYAGGCGCTCTAGACGATATTATCTCGGACCGTGGATTAGTGTTCACTAGTACATACTAGAGTGTGTTTTGCTTTTACCTTAGTATTAAACGACGCCTTAGCACTACTTTTTATCCTTAAACGGATAGCTAAACTAAACGGCTTAACTAATAGTTAGAAGCGTACTTRCGYATCTACTAYAATTRGGATTAAGACGACTAGGCCCGCTTRTTAGCYACGGTAGCGTACGCCYATAATAGCAAAACCTACGTAGGGCTAGGGAAGTTACCTATAGAGGTAGCGTACGGCGTCGARCTAACATCGTTTAATAGCATTAGCCGCGCTATCGACCTAGAGTACCTACTATAAAGCTAGAGGGTACGCCCTAYAAAGGAACTAGCCCTAATCGAGYAGGCTAGCGCTTAGCTRTAAYAGAGAAGGGACGATTTCGACTAGGCCCGAGACTGCCTTCTCTACGTAGATGTACTCCTTAAACGCTACTACGACCGCACGGTAGCGTAGAGGTACTTTAGCGTTAGTAACAAAGTCCTCCTGTCGGGAAAGAACATCCGTACTAAGCGGCCTAGCCGTAAGATAGATAACAAATATCTCGGGCCCTTTATAATCCTTTAACGGATGGGCACGATAGCGTACAAGCTTAACTTACTACTAGTAATAAAGCGCTTCTACCCCATCTTCTACGTCTCCTTACTAGAACTATACACTACACGAGATAGCTTTATGCCGCTACTAGTGGAACTACTCGAGGATAGCGATAATAAGGGGGGGGGGGAAGAGTTCGAAGTAGAGAAGATCCTTAAATACGAGGATAATGCCGATAGCGGCAGAAGGAAGTACTACATCCGATAGAAAGGATAGGTACTACAATACGATAAATAGTTATAGGAGGAGGAAATAGGGAACGCTCTAATTCTTATTACTAAGTACGAGGCCGCACGAAGGCGAAATAGAGGTGCCGTAGAGCTACCGTAGAGCGGGGTAACTACCTTAGCACTAAAAAGGAAGAGAGGGAGACCTTCTAAAAGGAGTCGAAAAGTATAGAATGTAGTTTCTTTTGTATAGAGTTTATTACCCTAACCGGCTTAGTACTCTCCTTCGGAGGTACAATAATATCTAAAAAGCAACGCTTAGTGCTCTTATTAGAGGCATAATAATATCTTTAAAAACAACGCTTAGCACTCTTAGCAGAGGTGTAATAATGTCTTAGAACGCGAAGGCACCGTAGAGCTGCCGTAGGGCGACCTAAACGGCACTCTTCCCCTACTAAATTAAACGCCGAGTGCGGTTGTTAGATAGGGAGACAAGAATCGCGTTCTTAGTAGTAGCATCCACGACTATATTCGAGGGCGGGCCGCCGCTACTACTACTACTATTACGGTACATCTCCTAAGCCGCCTTACGACGCTTTATAGCCTCGATATCCCTCGCGGCCCACTAGTTCTAAGTCGGCTAATTAGCACTATTGCCCTTCGTAGTACGCTTCACCTTCTTAATAATGCCCTTAGACTCTATGTTATTAAGGTAGTCGGTACCCGTCTGCTTCGCACGACGATAGAACTTAGAAGCGTAGTTACAGAAGCGGACCTTACGACGGTCGCGATCGTTACTAGGGGAGGTCTTCTCGGCAGTACGACGAAGCTATAAAAAGATTAGCAAGGGTGCTATAGAGGTACCGTAGAGATATATACGTACTCTAAGATGTTAGTAGCACGAGCTATCTTAGATAGCAGAGGATAGTACTAGGGGCGGGACTTGTTACCCTTGTAATTAGTGCAGTTATTAGGAGACTACGAGGCGTAGTTACAAGGGCAATTAAGAGGCAATTACTTCGCCTTAGTAAGGGTGTTCCGGTTACTAGTAACGGGGGAGTAACGACGAAGACACTCGACTATCGCGCGGTTAGTTAAAAGCTACCGTAGAGGTACCGCAACATACGTACGACAGTACTAAACTCGAACATCTAGCCGAGGCTACGTATTAGTAGGGAAGCGGGTAACCTTAGTAATAGGCTCGTTAGAGGCATTAGTCTCGCCTACGCTATAGGCCTAGCGAGGGAGAGTCGTAGAYATCTTACTACCGCTACTAAGCTAAGCGGTTATGCTATTCTATAAAGTACGACGATTATTACGGTYACCTATAATTGTCTAAGGGCGACGCCGTAGCCGAGGAGGGGAACTRTAAAGAGTGTTTAGATAACGCTAGTAACGCTCTRGATTACGGCGGATGTCGAAGGCCTCGTCCTTAGGTAAGAGGGGAAGGATGCTRCTTAGCAAAGGGCGTAGTAGTAGAGTAGAGGTAATAGCGGATTTAGATAATAGTGTTAATAAAGGAGAAYAACCTATAACTAACGAGTRTTTTGTAGTAGAAGTRAAGCACCTCYGCGGCACCTTAAAGATAAGGTTGYACTACCTRCAYAAAAAGTCACTCGRAAAAAGYRAATACAATAGGCTTTATAAGGAAAAATAAGTGAATTTTCTCGGCTTCTAATAATTGGCAAAACAAAAGTGAATAACTAAATTCACTTATATTGCTTATATTACGCTACTGCACCTAAGATAAGGCGTAGAGGTACCGTAGCGGTACCGGGGCTATAGTCCTTTAACTATAGGAAACAAAATGCGGAAAAGTGCTCCGGGATAGAGCACTAAGGGGGGGGGGCATACTATAAGGGGACCCTAAAGGAGCGGGACACCGCCCTTTAAACCCTTACCTAGGGAATCCCTCTTAGAAAGAATAAGGGAATTACACCCTTAGCAGGATTTCCCTGTACGGATGCGACGGCTAAAGGATAACTCTGCGGTACCTCTACGGCACCGCCGAGCCYAACTAGCACCGGGCGCAATCCTATAAAAGGGCAATGTCCTCGTTACCTGTTCCCTTTCGCTCCCTAGGCAATATCGTACATATCTAAGAATCACTGCTTAGTATTAAGACCCCCTGTTTATAACACCCTTATAATAAGACTAATTCTTATAGGTTAAATATACGCTGTGCGTAGGAGTTATATATGCGCTAAGCCTACGCTAAGCAGTTAGGTTATATTACACTCCCTTCTCTAAGATTAGTTAATCTAGCTACCTCTATTAATCCTATTATTATAAGGGCTCTTACACGGCCCTTACATTTAAGCTATAAGCGGACGATCTCGAAGGTTTCGTAATTATCTAAGAACACGAGTAAACTACCCGTGAATTATACGCGTAATCGGTCGAAGCGTCGTTAATCTAAAAGGTTGCGATAAGAATAAAGATAGTAGGTACTTCGTAAGTTTAGAGAGGAGTTGTTTTTAGTAGTTTCGTTCGTTCCTTTAATAGATATCTATATAGTACTACTTTAACAGTCGTAAACGCATTATACGGGCGTATATCCATTTCTCGATCTGTCTACTATATAAAGGGAGTGCCTAATATATAGTTATAGATATAGGCTTTAGACAACTTTACTTCTATAATTAATCTATTAATTAGGACTACATCTACACACTAGATAAAGAGGCTATATCGGAAGCGCCCGTACAATAACTAAAAATCACCGCTAACCTCTCGGAACGGTTATGTTCCGAGGTAGCGTAAGTAGTGTACCTTAGTTCTACTAAAAAAAGATTGTTGCAGAGTTGTCGCTAAAAGCGCACCGTACTTCAAGGGTCCGAACTTTGAAGACGGGACCTTTGCAAATAATTTATCCATCAAACATCAGTGAGTGGAGGTGTTCGAGATCAACATGGGGGCATCCAAACCGAAGCAGTTCACTCGGCCGCCTCCAAAGAAAAAGGCCAAAGCCGTTCCTGTCACCGCCGACGATTTTCAGTGAGTTCGAACAGGATGTATATCTATCGAACCAGATCTAACACATCGATCAAGGGAGGCAGCGGACATCGAAGAGGCTGCAGGTGGCAAGCATCGTGTTGGAGACCCAGCAAAGTCTGGACGGGCGTTTCTGAGAGCTCTGGAGTTGTACGACAAGGGTTTGCAAAAGCATCCCGAAAGCCTGGATCTCGCCTATAACAAGGCTCGCCTTCAGCTCGAGATCTCCCAGCAACCAGCTTTGGTGGAGCACATTGGTGTTCCTCTAGTGGACTGGTTACAGCTCACCCTAGAATCCCATCGTCATGCCCTACGGCTCAGTCAAGATAACCCAGATGCCCTCTTCAATACTGCTCAAGTCTTGACCAGTCTTGCGGAGGAGCTCTCGGAGGATGATCGCTCAGAAGAAGCAGCCAAGCCTCTGCAGGAAGCGTTGGAATTGCTTTCGTCGTGTTTGTCCAGACAGGAGATGATGTTCGAGCAGCATCGACTGGACTTCCCCGATACAGAAGAGGGCGGGGTTTCAGTCAATCAAGGGGAACAACGTACGCCAGCAGCAGCATCAGCCCCGTCTACCGATACAGACATGGACGAGCAAGTTGCCACAATCGAGACCCCTGTATCAGCTAGCGATCTTCTTGACACAGTGCATGCCTCACTTTCAGCTCTGACCACGCTCATCCCGTTGGTAGACGAGTCCAATCTTCAAAGCCTTGGAGATATGGCGCAGGCCCTGGCTGAGGAAAAAGCGCCCAGGTACATCTCTCTTCTTCCCACCGAGGAGCAGGACTCTGCTCGAACATCCGTGGCACTGGACAGGGCTGTCTTCGTGGCCACCTACGCCAATGCTCAATTCGAGGCACAGGTGATTGGAATGGAGACATACCTTGAGCGTCTGAGCTCATTTGATGTGCCTGGCAAAGACAGCGACGCAAGCATGCTCTGTGCTGAAGCGGATGCACGGATCGAGCTCGTACTCTCTGCCATCGATCGTTTCGGCGAGTCCTCTGGCTTGCCAGCGACTGTGTGCTGGAAACAGCTTGGCCTGTCACAAGACTTGTTCTCGAAAGCAAGTAAACTGACCACGGAGGATGCACAAGATCGTAAGGCGGAGGTGTACAAGTCCAAGGGCGACTTAGAGCTCTTGCGACACCGCGTCGCTACCATTCGGAATGCTGATCTTTCGGAAGTGGTGTTGAAGAGTGCGAAGACCTTGATCGCAAACGCTCAGACCTTTTACAAGGGTGCTGTGCAGCATGCTAAGCTTGCCGACGATGAGGATGTTGAAGATTCCGCACAGCAGAGAGGGCTCGTTGCTCGGGAGATTGCGGCGTTGCTGTACGGGGGTCCGGCACAGAGTGAAAGGGATGAGACCGTCGAGGACGAWCTGATGGAGATTCTTGAAGGCTGTGTTGATGAGGGTATCGTCAGTCAGAGCTTGGCCGGCGCGATCATGGAGGGAGATGGAGCTTCGCATAGCTAGGCGTCCAGTGCGGGCCAACCTGCAGATGAGGACATGCAGACGAGGACATGTAGACGCGGTGGTGCGTTCAGCTCGGCAATGCAACGAAGGGTATTGCTCGCTTGTCGATGGTGTTAGATATACAAAAGTGGTACAAGCAGATTCAGCATACATTCGTCGGTTCTCGTCAATCAATGCACTTCACCAAGTCAGATCATGTCCGCAATGCTTTCAAGATGTTCATATGCTACCTCTGAAAAACGCCTCTGATACTCTAAAACACATGTATGGACCAGCAGCGACATTGTACAAATATCAGCATCCGGACCGGCACATCGCTCGCCTAATCTCTGAACTTTCTGTTCTTGTTCTCTCCAAACAGTGTCGAACGAACGACGGGTAGTGCGTCGGTCTCCAAGAGACGCAATCGCTCCTCAAAGGTGTTGTTGATGTCAATCTTGCCGGTGCTGTTGACAATGATGACACCCCCCGCACTGTTTGTAAACGATTAGCTGGCAGGCCGATAGTATGTGAACTTCAGCACTTACGACTGCTCCGGAACCTTTTCCTTGTCAAGCTGCACATCCACCTCCTTGTCCATGGTCTTCTTGAACTCCTCCTTGGCGGAGTCTGCCGCCTTCTTGACCACATCGTCATCCTTCTTCCTGCACTTGAGGGTAACCTTCTTCTCGTTTACCAACGCATACAGTCCTTCCAGGATCAAGTTGCTCAACACCTTCTCATACTTCTTCTTATCCTTGGACGCCGTGTCGGAGAGCTTCTTGTTGGCATCCTCAAACAAGGAATCCAACAGCTCCTGACGTGCGCTGAGAATCCGCAGACGCTGCTTGTTGGCAAGTGTGGACTTTGTGATTTGCTGGCTCATGCCAGCCTGCGTGAACTTCTTCTCATACTCGGTGTCCATACGCGAGGTTTCGGAGCGCACGAGCTTGGACTTTTCGATGCTGAACTCCTCGTCGGCTTTGAGGTGGATCTCGCGGGCCTTTTCGAGCGCCTCCTGCCTGATGAAGGCGGTCATCTTGCGCAGCTCGGTGTTGACCTGGTCATCCGACATGGCGTGGATCTGAGACATGGCGCCGGCAGATGTGGTGGGAAAAGGGAGAGCGGGCAGTATCGAGCTTCCGGATGGATGGAAAGGTAGAGTTATCCGTCCAGAGGAAGTGTGGTGAGGTAGATGGAGCTCCAATGGATTCACCTTGCTCTCACGTTGCAGGTTAGYAGAGAGGTCAAGGTCTCGCTTGCTGCGCCAATCAGACTCTCAAACTTTCGGGGAACGCTAGCGACCGCTCCACCGCCGTCACCGTCACGTTTGATGATCGTCGTCAACAACAACCCATTAACTTGGCTTGGATACGATAGTCACAAGACCTCCCACCGACCGCGTGCTGCTTACACGAGAACTCCCCTGAATTATCCAGGACAAAGGACACGCACGTCAGGGATGGCGAGAACCAATACCCTCTGATCCAACTTCCTTCGACGATACCACAATCTTGCCACAAGACCGCACGACACGACACCACAACAACTTGATATAATGGGAGGGTGGAAGATGAGTCCAGAGGGGGCCATGGCGGTGGGCATCATCGTTGGACTGCTCTCGACATGCGTTCAATCCGTCGGTCTGACTCTACAGCGCAAGTCGCATATGCTCGAGGATGAAARAGAGGACCACTTCACACGCCGACCACCCTATCGACGACGACGATGGCAGATTGGGATGATGCTATTTCTGGTCGCGAATATCGTGGGATCCACTATACAAATCGTTGCATTGCCTCTCCCTCTCCTGAGCACTCTACAAGCTTCGGGGTTGGTGTTCAACAGCATACTAGCGAGCCTGTTGTTGAAAGAGCCTTGGACATGGCGAACTGCATATGGAACGGTGCTGGTCGCCGCTGGAGCTATATTGATCAGCTTGTTCTCGGCCATGCCGGAGCCAAGCCACAATCTGCAACAATTGCTGCATCTACTCGGGATGCGTGGTTTCCTGCTATGGTTTATCCTATCCTTGGTGTTCGTATTGGCTGTTGTGATCATGACATTTGTATTGCGCAAGTGTATTGCCAGCCACCGGATTGAAAGTCCAAGGATACTGCTGATCAATGGCATGGCTTTTGGACTGGTTTCTGGGGTTCTCTCCGCTCACGCCCTTTTGCTGGCCAAGAGTGCCGTGGAGCTCATCGTGCGCAGTCTGTCGCATCATCAGAATCAGTTCAAGACATTTGAGCCTTGGCTTTTGGTTTTGGCTTTCCTGTTCTTGTCGCTGTCACAGCTCTACTACCTACATCATGGACTAAAGCTCATATCGACGAGCATTCTCTATCCCTTTGTATTTTGCATCTACAACATTGTTGCCATCCTGGATGGTCTGATTTACTTCCAGCAGATGGATCGCCTACCTCCCTTGCATGCAGGTCTCATTGCTCTTGGAACGGTCCTATTGCTTGCAGGAGTGCTTGCACTAAGCTGGAGATTCCAGGATGAGGAGGATGTGGAGCATCACATACTCAAATCGGAGATCCCTCAAACAGTACTCGCGCCTGGTATGGGTTTCGTTGGCGATCCAGATACAGATACCAACGACTCAACTTCGGCATATTCCGACGACGAGCTTGACGAAGAGGCGGACGAGCGTACTGGTTTGATTCGGAAATCCGTACAACGAAGCAGTTCTTCGACGACACCGCACAAAGCTGCTCATGTTCATCACACTCACAACAAGCGTAGACATCGAGCAGCGACGCTCAAAGAAGTGAAGGCGATCTGGGAATCAATCGGAGACGCCGCCGAGCAATACGGTACATTCGAGCGGCCCACATCATCCACATCCCACCCCGCAAAGCTCCCCACAGCCGTCCAACAGCGTCACCGGCGGCGTCGTCGATCTAGTGCGGGCAAATCTCTAAATGTAGACATTGCGAGCAATGTTGATGACCCGATGTCCCTAGAGCGGGGCACTGGGCTATCGCGATCCAACACTATGCCCGCACAAATCAACACTCATAGATCGCGTAGCAGGAGGAAGAGCTCCTATCATGGCAGCGCGCTGTTCTCGGATTTGTTCAAGGGTGGTTGGTGGCGGAAGAATCGTGATGAGAATGACGACGATGAACAGCGGCCTCTAAATGCACACGACAGAGATGCAACGATGTGATGTAGTTGGATTTACATGAAAGTTAATACCCCTGAGCAGATCTCTTGACTTGTACTCTTCTTTCTCTCGTCCAGGTGGAGATCAACTGTTTGTGGTCTCTCGAGGCTCGTGATTTTGAAGGGCTTCCAATCTGCTTGAACAACAAATGGATCAATGTGCCCACGAAGGATGAAAGGGTTGGGCGGTTCAACGATATTTTAACAACATGCCCTTTCCTCTACTTCAGGAAAGTGCAACTACATATAATCAGATCGATACACGGGGTATGGTGAAGAAGAGGGAGGCAGCTTCTCCAAGTGGCAGTACGTGAAAGTCTCCATCTACGCAGGCTCCACAAAAGCCCTACCATGATACAGTGAGCATATACATACACAATCATCTCAGCCTCATCACCGCCTCGCCTCGTCATCCATCTTGCCACCAGTGAGTGTCTCGGCAATTCTCTTGATTCGCTCCTTGTTGATCTCAGTATTGCCACCGGCGCTTTCGATGGCAGCCCTCGGCCGTTGGTTGTTGGCCCTGTTGAGCATATCCTGCACACGCTCGGGTCTGCCCTCTGCCCAGATGGATTTCTGTACAGGCATAGTGTCGATAGAGTTGTAGCTGGAGCCGAAAACCCTGGGCTTCTCAACCGAACCAAATGCTTCGTCAACAGCTTTATCGAGCTGCTGTGGAGTGACGATGAAGGTGCGAGCATTCATATACAATGAGTGAAGGGCATCCATCCGCTCCTGCTGCTTCTCCGACGTCTTGTTTTGGAGGTTGATCCGCTTCGCAGCCAGCCGCTGTCGTCTGGTAGGGTCGGGCACTTGGCCATGAAGTAGAGCTTGCAGATCCAGGTTATTGCTGGGCGCCGTCAAACGCTCGTCCTCCCTTTCTGGTCTCGCCAACAACTCCTCCCGCTCCYGCATCTTCGCATTGGACCGTGCCCGTTCCTGCTGTTGAGTCGTCTGTTGCCGACTACGCAGACTCTTCAGTCCCTCGCGCAGATTCTGCCGCCGCACTTCGCTCATCTTCGCCTTCCACTCCTCGCGACTGCCCCTCGCCGGCGTCCTCTCCTTTAGTGGGCGCTTGGTAGCATCCGCAATGGCCTCGTCGGTGGACTGGTCTCGACTCGTGCCTGAGAATACATTGCGTGGGACTGGTAACACACCCTTCTGCCGAGGAGGATATGGCAGCGTCTGTTGTGGTGGCTCAGGGATCGTGATGTAGCGTGGGTGCTCTGGTCCGACTGCCAGTTGCCGCGAGGAGGTCGAGAGCGTCCTGATGGTGCATTGCGGGCACTTCCATGCTATGATTGATGACAACGCCGTGTTAGAAGGCATGGCTGCTGCTGATGGAGATGACCAGCTCACACGACCTGACAATGCGTTGCAGTTTAGAAGGCGGGCAGAGCGGGAGTGCTCGGTCCAGGCCGATGGAATTCTGCAGGCGAACCAAAATTCTCCACCCACCTGCACTTTCTCTTCTTCTTGCCCTCTCCACCGACACTTTTTCCACACATTCGCTTTCTCCCTCTTCCCCCCTCCATACTCGCCGACATGGGATCTGGCAAAAAGGAAGGCGCCCGCCGGGAGCGGCAGGGCAAGACGGGCGATGGCATGGGCAATGTCCACACCAAGGGCGAGAACTTCTACCGCAGCGCCAAGCGGGTGAAGACGCTCAACATGTACAAGGAGGGCAAGCCGATTCGTAACGCGCGTGGTGATATTACACAGGATGCTTCATTTCAAAGCAGAGTCAAGCCCACCGCACGCATCGAGCCCAACCGAAAATGGTTCACCAATACTCGAGTGATTTCGCAGGATGCGCTGAACTCTTTCCGTGGCGCTGTCGAGGCGCAAAGCAAAGATCCATACAGCTACCTGCTGAAGCAAAACAAATTGCCAATGAGCTTAATCACCGACAATAAGGACAAGGAACGCAAAGACGGGCTGATCCAGCACAAGGCCAAGATTCGGATAGAGAGTGAGAAGTTTGATGACACGTTCGGTCCAAAGGCGCAACGAAAGAGGCCGCGGCTAGCAGTTTCAAGCCTGGAAGATCTTGCAAATGCCACAATTACCGACTACGGAACATACAAGGACCGAAAGGAGGAGGCCAGGCTACTGTCCGGAGCTGGCGATGAAAGTCATGAAKCATTCGAAGCCATCCCAAGAACAGATCACGGCGAGCTTGCCGCAGCAAAGGAAGCCATCTTTTCCAAAGGACAGAGCAAGCGAATATGGAACGAATTGTACAAAGTCATCGACAGCTCAGATGTGATCATTCACGTGCTGGATGCACGAGATCCTTTGGGTACACGATGTCGGAGTGTCGAGAAGTACATCAAGGAGGAGGCACCTCACAAGCATCTGCTGTTCTTACTCAACAAGTGCGATCTGGTGCCCACCAGTGTTGCGGTACGTACCATCTCTCCGTTTATTAACATCACCTCGCTCCTCCTTTCACACTCCACTGCTTAAGTCAAGGTTTCCTCCGCCTTAATTGGCCGCTTGTGGATTAAATCTGTTACAGACGTGGTAGATTAAGCAACTCCATCCGATCCTCTGCCGTCTTGGCATGATCACCCAGGAGCATTTTGTCTTGTTTGAGTAGCGACCCAGATTCACATTCGTGATACCTTGTGATGGACAGCTTAGTAATGGGACATACAAACAAACGCCCTCTTATTTGATTGTTTGAGCTCAGCGCACTGGGAGGTCAAAATACTGACAAACTTTCCCAGGCAAAATGGGTAAAACTCCTTTCCCAAGACTTCCCAACCCTCGCCTTCCACGCCAGCATGACCAACAGCTTCGGCAAAGGAACTCTCATCTCTCTCCTACGGCAATTCTCCGCGCTGCACAGTGGACGCAAACAGATCTCAGTCGGCTTCATTGGCTATCCCAACACGGGCAAATCTTCCATCATCAACACTCTCCGGAAGAAGAAGGTCTGCACAACTGCACCTATTCCCGGTGAGACCAAAGTCTGGCAATACATCACCTTGATGAAGCGCATCTACCTCATCGATTGTCCCGGAATCGTCCCTCCTTCAATGTCCGACACCTCGGAGGACATTCTCCTCCGTGGCGTTGTCCGAGTAGAGAACGTCGAGAATCCAGCACAGTACATTCCCGCTGTACTATCAAAGTGTAAACAACATCATCTTGAACGCACGTATGAAATGAAAGGTTGGTCAGTAAACGACAAGCCCTTCGCAGAGAAGACAGACAAGGAACGTATGGACGAGAGTATCAAATTCCTCGAAGTGCTCGCACGGAGAGGAGGAAGATTACTCAAGGGCGGAGAGGCAGATATGGATGGTGTGGCCAAGATGGTGCTCAACGATTTCCTCAGAGGGAAGATCCCATGGTTCAGCCCGCCCCCTGCCGCGGAAGCGGAGGAGAGTGCTGCRGATTCTGTTGCTGAGGGCGAGGGGAAGAAAGAAGAGACTGGCCGAGATGAGAAATTGGGTCTCACGCACAAGAAGAGGAAGAGGGAAGAGTTTGAGGCTAAGCAGCCTGCTGCCGGGAAGAACAAGGGCGATCAGGAGGAGGATGAAGACGATGATGATTCCGATGATGTTTATGAGGACGCCGACGATTTCGAGGGCTTCGACGAGGAGGATGATGAGGAGAAAGAGGACGGTGATGATTCTGATGCCGATGCAGGTGAGAGTGAGAGCGCTGGTGGCGTATCTGTGCAAATAAATCCTGACGAGAGCGACGAGGATACGCCGCCCTGATCTCTCACTACCACCACTACTAGATACCACTGCTCAATCATCAAGGAGTTTCAGAGCGATCCAATCATGCAATCAATGCTGTTCCATGCCATGTCTATCATGCTTATCCACGAATTGCAGATTTCTCTTCGTTGCACATGTCTAAGACCGCTTCGCAGGCGGCCACCCATGCAAACTCCTTCTCACCCCAAGGACCTTGCGCTGTGGCGCGGCTTTCGCCATGGACATTGTCGTTGAATGCATCGTACTCGCCGGCCGCATCTCTCCCGCAGATTCCTGTGGTTTTCGCTTCTCAAACGACACGGCGGTGGGGAGTTTCTCTTCCTCAACCTCAGGACGTGGCGGTGAACTTGAGAGGAACACATATTTGCTGTGATTCACATCCGTCTCTTCTGCCACAATTCTACTTGTTGGGGTGGGTCGCGTGAACATCGGTGTCGAACGTGGCTTGTATGCCGGGACTGCCTGACGCGCAGCATTGGCATTATTCGAGATTTCTTGCAGCCCTTGGGTCGCAGGATTCGGCCGGGTAGCGGCGAGTCTTTGCATTGGCTCTGGAGCAGGCTTCGCTTTCTTTGCGAAGAAGGTCGCGATACTGCCTTGGTCGTCGGTTGGGCGCTTTTTGCCCTTTGGGGCAGTGGTGGCAGGCTCTTTCGTTTTCTGCTCTGCGCGCTTGTCGAACTTTTGCAACTTTGCTTGTTCCAYCAGTTCGTCGTAGCGAGCTGCGACKCTTGTGAAGCCTACTGTGGGCATTGTTGCTGAGGCTGTTGAGAAGCTTTGTGGTTGTTGCATGCTAATGGCGGTCGTATTCGCCCAGGCCACCGGTCGTGCACTAGTGAAGCCTGGTAGCTCGGTGAGGTTCTTTCCGCGGTCCCATCTCCCTCGCTCCTCCATGGGATCCTCGCCTGTCAGTGGCCAGTGGTTATCTTCGTCACGTTCGAGATTCTTCTTCAACTCGTTGATCAGGGAGGCGGGTGGACACTGCCGCCTTAGCGTAACTGACAGGGCTGTTACGGCAGAGGTGGGCATGCCCGGGCCATGCTCTTCGAAGAATGTGCTGGCTCCTTGGTGCGTGAGAAACGAAGACATGGTCGTTTCTTGTCGTTGTGTATCCTTGATCGGACAGCTGAGATATAAAAGGGCCTGCGCTCTGGTCATCCCGACGTACAACAGACGACGTTCCTCGTCATTGTCATCCGCTCGCGAGTGAGGGATGGAACCTTCGAAACAAGCTGGAATAAACACGACGGGCCACTCCAGTCCTTTGGCAGCATGAATCGTTGATATCGTGACTTGCTTCATGGCCTCTTCACCATCTTGGGCCTTCTGCTCCGCGGAAGCCAGTGAAATATTCGCTAGAAACACGGACAATATGTCTTGGACGGAATCAATCTTTGCCTCCTCGCCCTCAATATCAGGTAGATGATCAGCTTCCATTACTTCACTGAGTTTGCCTGGAGCCATGAGCGCTTCCGCTTGGGCGATCAGCTCTTCGACATTGCTCCACCGAGCCTCAAATTCCTTTTCCTCGACGAATTTCGATCTGAGATAGGCTTGCAACGAGATCTTCTGCGTGACCAGGTTTATCAAGCCCACCAGACAAGGCGTGTCGGTCTCCCATCCTTGCACCTTCTTCTGGCCACTCATTATGACATTCACGAATGCGGCCAGTCCTTTTCGGCACGGCTCTGTGATCTTTGTCTTGGGCACGCGGCGATCTTGCACGGTCTCGAGGATCAGCGTCCAAAAGGAGACGCCGTCGACACGTGCCTCTTCTCTGAGTTTTTTCACAGTCTCCTCGCCGACTTTCCGCGAAGGCAMATTGACGATTCTCTCGGCTGCTTCGCTGTAGTCTGGCTGATAGATAACTCGCAAGTAGTCTACGATCAATTTGACTTCCAGCCGATCGTAGAAACGCATGCCGCCGACCATGCGATACGCCACGCCCGCCTTGCCGAGCGCTGCTTCGATCGTCCTTGAAAGTGCGGCAGAGCGTAGAAGAATGGCAAAGTCGTCATTTTGCAGCATCCCGCCCGAGAGTGCTTGCATGCGCTTGATCTCGGACACTAGCCATTCTGCTTCGGAGTATGAGGAAGGAAGTTTCCGTAAGACGGGACGCATCCCAAATGTATGCGTTGCCTGAAGCTTCTTTGGTGGACGAGCCTCGTCCTGCTCAATGATGTTCTGCGCGGCGTGTAGTATGGCACCCGAGGACCGGTAGTTCTCCTCAAGGTTGATAGTCAGTGTGTCCGGCCACTGTTTCTTCATTCGCGACAAGTTCTTGATCTCAGCAGATCGAAAGCCATATATACTTTGATCCGGGTCTCCAACTATCGTGATAGTATTCAGCCTCTGTGCAAACAGCGACATCAAGTCGTACTGAATGTTGTTGGTGTCTTGAAACTCGTCGATAAGCACGGCCTCGACGTTCGCAACGCACTGCGGATGCGTCCTTAGGAGAAAGCAACATCGTAGAAGTATATCATCGTAATCCAGTAGCTTTGAAGCCGCCAGTGTAGCTTCGTATTCGTCGTACAGCTTGTTGAACTCTTGCTCCTCGACCTTCTTGGCTACGATCGCAGGATCCGGAGCGATACCTTTGGCTTTCCGTGATGAGATTCTCCCAATCGCCTGTCCTGGATCGATCGACATGTCATTTCGCTTGATGATCCTTTTGAGTATGGCCTTGCTGTCGGCCATGTCCGCGATGCTAAAGTCCTTGGGAAGACCAATATGCTGTCCATAGGCTTTCAAATATCGCAATGCCACGGAGTGGAAAGTGCCTAATCTGAGCTGTTTAGCAAGATCCTCGCCGACAAAGCTCTTGATGCGTTCCTTCATCTCGTTAGCCGCCTTGACGGTAAAAGTGCACACGATGATGTTCCATGGTCGAAGCTGTTGACGCGCAACGAGGTACGCGACGCGCGCGGTGAGCGTTTTGGTCTTGCCGGATCCTGGCGGCGCGAGCACCTGCAGTACTGTGGCAGGAGATGCTACAGCGGTTCGCTGAGCATCATTGAGTCCTTGTAGTATGTCGTCCATGGCGGCATGAGAGGACGGCCTTGCGGGTGTTTCTCTCCAGCAGCACTACATGATAAACTCTAGGTAATTCCGAGCTCTGTGGGTGCCTGCACAGCTCTGCCAATCCAGAATGGGTGAAGAGTTATAATCCTCGAGATGAATACAGTACCTGTCGTGGAGAGCGTGTCAAACTTTGGGCCGAGCAGGAAAGCAACGCGAGGTCCCGTGACGCTCGAACTAGAATATGACTTTCTCCTTCCCTCTCCTCACTCCAGCTCCATTACAGGAACGTAGAGACTGATACATACGCAGACTGTGATGGACTCGCTTTGGAAGTTGTGTACTCGCAGTGGTACCACCAACATGAAAGCAGCCATGATCTGTGACGATGCATAAAGTCCGATTGAAGGAAAGCACTCCCGCCGCCTTGCCGTCAACGCAACGGAACGGGTCGCCGGACGTAAAAGCTCAACTTCACGTCTTGATAGACCTCGATCATGCTCATTCGATACAACAGATAAGGACTTTCATTGCTAGCTCAAAGACCGTTCCGTTGCCAGACTCTGTCTCCCTTCGCTAGCAGTCAGACTGCTACCCACATGGCGGTCTTTCCCATCCTTTGTTACAGTTGAACATTGAGCGCAGTAAAATCCGACAAAAGGCCTCCCAATGCTGCAGTCATGAGTATCAGCCGCTAAAAAGCACGGCCACGGAAAGCGGTCTCCCGCAACAACCACCGAGTAAAACAACAAAACACCTAACATCAAGTGTGTATCATCGCATCCATCAATTACCCATTTGCCCTACCTACGAGCCCGGCTCTTTGGCGCTGGACAGCAAATCCACCTGAACGCCAACACTCTTCGTCGGGTTGCGACGGAACACCTCATGCTTCTCGACATTGTCCTTTTCTGCTGAACGGGTCAGCTTCCATGATTACTTTGGTCCACGACTAAATGACTGCAGCATGCTGCTGTCATGGGAAGTGCGCTCCTCTTGCTTCGCTGCAGGAGGGGTGCGACCGCCATCTCTGACAGGAGGCCCCGACTGCAGGTTGCTGGGATGAGGAGATGAAGAGGCGCGCGAGCCTTGGTAGGGGTGGTGTTGTGTGGAGGGGTACACGGAGGGATACGGGGCTAGAGGGAAAGCGGACGCACCAGCAGATTGATCAGGGTAGGCGTACTGCCCATCACCAGAGCCACGATGGGGCATTTGAGTAGCCGGATTTGGCGGCGCCAGCGTCGGGGTGTGCGGCTCATCGTTTGGACGCTTGCGTCCAGCGTCGCCGGGAGCAGGACTCTGCAGCGGTGCAACTGGGCCGCCTTGCTGCGGCTGTTGAGCGTACATGGGCTGCTGTTGCTGGTAACCTTGAGGTGGAGGACCATACTGGCCGGGCTGCGGCTGCTGCTGTTGCGGAGGATAGCCGTCGCGACCACCGGGTGGGAGTGGCTGACCGTACGCGCCATACAGTTGCGTATTCGGCGGCGGGTTCTGGCCGCGCCAGACAGTGTGCGCGGGTACGAAAGCCTGTGTCTGCGCACTGACGGGAGTGAAGACGCATTCTTGTGAAAAGCGCTGGCAATTGGTGCAGCGGCCGTCTTCTGATTGATCGAAACCGGAGCAACGAATCTGGCGGCAGTCAGCGGCACGGAAGCGATGAAATATCTGTGGCATTGCATTTATACCTTTCGTCTGCGACAGTAGCGACACGCAATGGCGGTCCTCTGACGCGGGGCAGGTTGCGCCGGAGGATAGCCCATCTGCGGAGGCTGGGAATACTGCTGCCCATACATTTGCTGCGGTGGAGGCAGTGACGGCAGTGCGCGATACTGATCTGGATGGTTTGGTTGCAGTGTCGCCATCACAGGACCTTGTTGAGGCGCGTGTGTGGGAGGTGGACCAATCTGCTTGGAGACATCATCGTCAGTTGGGATGCCAGAAATGTTGTCAGTAGCAAGCGCYGGATCTATCGTAGTGCCCATGATGTTGATCGTGGAAGAATGCTCGAGGTGCGGGAGCGGAACGTCGCGCGGATGGTGGCGCGGAGTAAGTGGAGGTTTGCAACTTGCGAGGGAAGGGAAAAGACGGCAGGGTTTGGAGGTTCAGCTTTGGTAATCGCTTGGCAACGCGCTGCTGCACGCAGAACTGTTGACGCGCATCCCAGCTGCAGACCACGAGTTGTTTGATCTCTTCTAGAAGAGACTCGCAATGGACAGCAGGAATTAATCGCGACCGCCCGCCGCAGCACGTGCCGTACCGAGCCGCGCAAAATGCGTGAATGAATGCTCATGCGCATGCGCATGCTCATCACGGCAAAGTATCACGTAGTCGAACACGAGCAGACGAACGAATGAAATTTTGGTGCGACATACCGATTGCTGATTTGGCCTGGGTGGCTGATACGGGTTCTGCCCGTTCGGGGGCTGAGGAGACCAGGCTTGCGTCGCGCCTTGTTGCGGCGGCGGTGGTTGATGGTGCTGCTGTTGTTGCTGTCCTTGCGGATTGGGCTGCGACGTGGACGGTGGACCATTCTGGCTCCACTGTCCGGGCTGCGTAGGCGATTGATACATTGTAAAGGCGAACGCCTGTGCGAAACTCGATGCCGTGTTTAGACGCCCTCCCGATCCAGTGACCAAGAAAAGACGCGCGCTTGTGGAGAGTCTTGAGGTTGTGCAAAAGCGGGCGGGCCGGGACTGGACTTTCTGCAGCTGTTGGCTCCGTTGACCGGAAGCGCAGTGGGCAAACAGGACAGGGAGGCCCGGTCGCGCGGCTTCTGGCGGTCACACGTGAGGATTGCCAGGCAGACAGGGAATATTCGCGACAGACAGTGGGTGTTGAAGATGAGTGGCCTGCGAAAGCAAAAGAGAGAAGCGCGGTCCCGATGGAAGGGATTGGTGTGGGAAAGGCGGCAGCCGGGGCCACAGCCTTAGACTACCGTTGGATGACAGACACAGAGGGAACCAGAAAAATCCGACTGTCGCGTTGTTATTAGCGCATCGCATCGCTTTTTCTTGCATCGGACGGAGGCTAAAAGACGCAACCCGCATGGCAGGCAGCGCGCGCACAAAAATGGTGGCCTTCCTTGCATCGCGCGGCGCACCAGCAGCGCGCTCTCCGCAAAACACGCACCTGACGATGATGAAGCACTGGACGCCCGGACCTGGCTCTAGCGTATCGCTAGAGTTCTGCTCTACTGCGGTGGCCGCGCTGCGCCGCTGCGGGCTGAGCGGGCCTCGTCCGGAATCTGCCTCGGGGTGCAGGCCGCTGGCTTCCCACGCTCTCACCAGTAGTCAGCGTCGCAGACGAGTCAGTTCTTCCAAAGTTCGAATCCCACGTTTGCGGCGCTGGCAGTTGCTCGCCAACTCACATGCCACCCACTGGGCCACAGCCGAGGCCGACCGTACGAGTGGTTCGATCCAGCCGCGTGTTTCGCCCGGAACACTGGCGCTGGGAGGCACCAAAAGGCCACGAAAAGGCGACCCGTGGCTTCTGCACTGTCATTCGTCAGCCCGACCTTGACTAGAGGCAATGCGAGATGAGACGATCCGAGACCTAAACTAAGTGCCGCCCAATCGTGCTACAGAACGTCAAAGGACGCCAAATTTTTCACGTGGCACTTCCCTGCACTTCGACAAGTGGCGCAACGGTAGGGCTCGCTTGTCTCCACACGAGCTTGAGCTTGAGCGAGCTCGCGCAAACTTCCCAGGATAGCCACGGGTGATCCACTGACAACTCGGCGCAGAGCCCGCCCAAGCCGGAGATTCGAATGCGCAGTGGAATGGTGTGCTTACCCTGTCTGGCTGTTTATCTCACCGCCCAGCGCTGTGCGGAGCCCTATGCAGGCTAAGCGTGCCGTTTGCCCGCTCGACCGTTGTGTGTGATGGTGTTCCGGAAGTGTGATCAGCTGCTGTATTCTGCAGTGTGCATGCAATTGTGCTAAATCTGGCCAATCAGAAAATGTTCTCGGAAAAGGGAGGCTTGGGAAYTATCGCGAGTGGCCGGCGTAAGGGACGGACGCAACGTACCGCGTGACGTCCCTCTCTGCACTCTCCTCCACAGTCAATCGTGTCTGCACTCGTGCACTCGCTTCGAGCGCGCCGCTGGCGCACGGCACGGACGATTGACTCCGGTCATCCAGAGGGAAGCCCGCCGCAGGCAACCTACTTCAAACGTAGTGGAGGATGTAGCACGTCAGACGAGAGCTTGAAACAGGCTGTCAGGCGTGGACCGAACCTTATGGCAACCGACGGCGGACGCCCTCCAAGACCAGGGCGATCGGATGAGGTGATGGTCTTGCCCAATTTCCGACTCCTGCGGCGATGGTCCAGTCACTCCGGCTAGTCAATCAAGGAGATGAAGTAGTAGCTTTGGAAGAAAGATCACCGGGAATGAACGCGACTTGATGGTATGAGGATCCGAGAATATCTCGAGTCGGACAGCGATGGGCATTCTTATCATGCACCGCATGGCAGATATGCACAGCGGTATCATCGCAAACGATTGACAGCTACCAAGCCGCTCTGCTCCGCCGGCTTTTACGACTCATTCCTTTCTTCAAATCACTCCTCCACTTTGGGTCTGCGACAACCAGGTTGTCTCGTGGGGTCCAACCCGAATGCTCCTCCTGTGTAGCGACGGCGCGGCACGCGGAACGTGCCCCGATGGCGCCGACGTTGACAGCTCTGCGATACAACACTCCGATCGAAGTGGCATCGTTGACAGAACGGGCCGTGTTCTCCCCAAGTTGGCCAATAACAGCCTTACTAGGCCGAAGTGCTCCAGACGGTGCATGCAACTCTACTCATTAGAATACACTATCATATACATCCAACATCGTCTGCTTGCCCTTCAACTGCAGGCCCCTCCACACAGGTACGATCGGGAACGCCGATCCTTCYCGAGGTCACGAAATTCAAGTTGTTGAAGGGACCGGGTACATTCAGTCGCCTACTTTGCCACATCGCGGGCGCAAGGGGCATTCTGCGTTGAAGTGCGAATGGGTAGCGTGCAGCGTGCAGCGTTAGTGCAGGTTGCGTCAGACCACCACCATTTATAAGCATTCTCGAGCCATTGAAATCGTGAATTTCATGCTGCGGAATCAGCGGTATCCTAGTTGAGGCGTGGTAAGCGGTCTGCAAGCGATCATTCGCGGTGAGAGCAGCATGGAACATGCAAGCAGCCGATCAAGGTTGGCGAGCATTGTGTGACAGTCCGGCAACAGCGCCTGAACATCACAGGCACGGTTGCCAACAAACGCGAGATCAACGGAACGCCAAAATGTAAACGACAGGCGGTGACGCCTCCACATGCCACATCGATGTGACAGCTGCATAAGGGTTGCATACTGTTGAGTGATGGAAGAAGACATGACAGGGAGAGATGTTCAGGTGGCACAAAAGTCCGCGCGACCGAGCCAGTCAATGTGGAGGATTCTGCCATTCCTAACAATTGTTTTGACAATCGAAAGGTGTTTGTACCAGGGTCATCCTGGATACTGTCAACGGCGAATTCTCTCGTTGATGCAACACGACGCTAGCGCTGTTGGGCACGGCGCGCGCGGGCCACAGGTGAGGGATGTCTAGTGAGGTACTTTGCTCAAGATGCATGATGAACTTTCCAAGGTGCATGCGGCGTGCATCCAACCAAGGAACATCGCCGATGGCTTGGGGGTAGCCCGAATTTGGAACAACCCGCATGCCCTTTACATCAGCTGACTTTAACGCTCTGCTTCATGATGACCAGCGATGTTCATACATCGTCTCCTGTACCACTGGGATCGCAGAACGTTCAGCCTACAAAGGCACATCTTCCTGACGTTTCATTGATGGAGTACCATGCGGAGCAAGTATGATGACACTTGTCGGGTGAAGATGAGCACATTATGTGGATATCGWTCCGAAGTTGCATCTCTGTTCGCTCGACTCCTCAATCTGTGCCTAGTTTTAGAGATTTGGTTCACGTACTCTCCACGCGGCGAGTTTCTATGTTGTGCCTTCGGAACCGGCGGCAATCACCGTCCTCCAACGCCTTACAGTCCAACGACCGGTCTTTGGTCACAAGCTTCTTCAGACGAGCGCGACCGATAGTGTTGAAGAGGCTGCCAATCCTCGTTCGTGTCTCACGGTGCCTCATGATTTAGCTCTGTGAGTCTGCATTGTCCGACGCGTCGCTCTCTTGGCTTTCGCCCTCGTCTCTCTCGTCAACATCATCAGGCAGAACCACGGAGTTGCAATGTGTAATCTACGACAAAGTCAGCGACAGTTCGCAAGACTACTCCGCATGGTTGATGCCCCTTGAAAACGGGAGCGTTCCGCCGTTACCGCCATTATGTCGTAAGCGAGGGTTGGGCCGCTTCAGCGCCATGGAACGCCTGAGACAACCAGATTTCCCGTTGCATCGCGTGCAGGGTCGGGTGAGAACTCACAAAGGGTTTCAAACATTTCAATAGCCCGACGACACGGTCCATTCCTGCATCTCCAAGGATCTCATCGTTTGAAATCTTCTTTCCAATGGTATAGTTCTTCAGACGCAGAAGCTCAATGTCTGGATGCTCGGCGCTATAACCCTGGGTGACGACGACGAGCAAGGTCAGCTTCTGCGGCTTGGACTGATCACGGGGGACACCCCGGGTCATGGGGTGCTGCGAGCCCTTCTACACGTGCCGCATGGACTTGCGAAGTTGCGCGTGTGTAAACACTCTCACGAACAGCCATCAAACCGCGCTTGAGCTCCCCACTTATTTCAACGAGAGAGGTGTCCCGCGGAAAGGACTACAAGAGCACGGTATCGAACTGGCACGGAGACGCAAGATGGGGACTCAAGAACCAACAYACCTTGGGACGCGTCTTCAGCGCGTTCCCGGCGTTCTCTTGCACAAACGCCTGGACAGCCTTCTTGCTGTCTTTGGCCCCTCCAAGAAACTCCGTCCTCAGCTCGCTGTTGTTCAGAATGTCCTTTAGGTTCTTTGGATGACGGTCGATGTCGTTGCGCTAGAGATTGTTGAGTACAAGCACCGGATCACAAAGGGTAATACTCATACCATGGCGGCCGTCGGTCCAGCATCGGGATGCCACAGGCCTCCGCCTGTTGGATAATGTCAGTTGAGCTCCTCACAGTGCGCCAAGACGCGTTGCGTTGCAACGCGCTCCGCTTCACCTCCAGCACGTAAGGGCGCGTAGCTTTCGTGTTGGCACCTTACGATCGGGCACTCCCTCCACGGCGGTTCATATTCTTCCAACGATCAATCCCACGGCCGCAGAGATGCTTTATTCATGTAGCATGCACAAGCAAGGGAGCAAGAGCAAGAGCAAGGGCAATGGCAATGACCAGGGTCTAGCACAATACCGCATGCACATTGCATGCCACATGGCGTCAGGCCTGTTTGCTTGCGTATCGGTGATGGCAATGCCATGGTCGATGAGAGCCGCCGCTCGGAGCCAGGTGATGTGTGATATGTGATATGTACATGGAAAGCCACTTACCGATGAACGATTTCCCATGATTCGGCGGCGCTACTTGGATGTAGTAGTGGGCATAGCTGCCTTTCCTACCGGCTCGAGACCCTGTGCATGAAGGTAAGTCTATCGTTTCATGTTAAGCTGTCATCTTCTACTACGTACATGATGCTGAAAAGAACGGCTGTTTTTAGATGCGTTAGCTATCTCGGCACGGAACGAGTTCACCTGAACCGGGCAGGTACAGGTCGCTACGGTGTGACAGCGCTGTGGGGGTAAATGCACACAAACCTTGTCTGTGTAATGTCAGCTTGCATGTCCAGCATTGAACCCATCGCAATCCGCATCTCGTCGCTACTCACAAGGCGTTGGGTCGCTGGAGAAGCGGATATCGCGATAGATACGGAATACCACATCCTTTACTGGAAGCTCCGGGATGGTGTCGTCTACATCCTCCACGAGCCTCTCGGTAAGCTTCTCGACAAAGCTGTGCCAGTCCTTTTCCGCTTGGCGGAACTCGGCGTCGTGTACTAGTAGCGAGTTTGATMAGCTTGCGTCCTGTGGGTCGACGGAGACCATACTGTCTGCACTGCTCCGTCTGAAACACCGTGCAGAGTGTTCATAGACATCTTCAAACGAGACGGCCTCCGAGTTCGGCCCTGATGACAGTCTGCATGATGCATCTCAACCTCATTGCGATACTCCCTCGTAGCGAGGTTCATGACTTCCCACCAGTGGCAACATGCCCGGGATGACCCTGCTTGAGCGCATTCAGCCGAACGCCACAATGCAATGCATCGGCCCTAATAGGATATTCGATGGCACTCGATGATTTGCAAAGCGACTCGACACGCATGGTTGCTTAAAAAGCAATCGTTTGTGCAAAGTCTTCTCCCAGCTTCCACATGCAGACAGCTGCTGGGTCGACATGGACTCGACCGCAAAGGGACGACACTTACGCTTCAACCACTCTCGGTTGTTGTTGACCTTCAGGTCTGCCAGGAAGAGCAATGTATTTGGATGGATCGTCTCATCTTTGTATGGCGTTGATCCAGCCGGTCTTGCCTTGGGCTTCTTGATGATGAGCTGTTTGCCGGGACCCAGACCTTGAAAGTAGACAGCAAGTCAGTTCAATCCGAGGAGCGATTTCACGCTTCGTGACATAGCAGATTCACAATTAGCTCACCCGATTTCACTCCTGGTCTCCAGATCTCGCTGCCCTTTGGTGTACCTTTGCTGGAAGCACTTCGTCCTTTGGAGACAGGGGGACCGTCACTGTCGGATGCATCGTCCTCATCCACCTCGGACGCTTGGGACTGGTCAATCTCGTCTTCAAAGTCGGATGCAGATTCGTTCGTATCAGAAGGGTTTTCTTCCTCTGTTTGCTCGGACTCGCCTCCGGGCTCAGAGAAATACTTGCTCTTTGTGGGAGTGGCTTTTTGTGTCCTTTGCTTCTTGGTGTCGGCGGTAAATCCAGGCTCAGACGTAGATGCAACGCGTTTGTGGGGTTTGTGATCTCCCGGCATTGACAGACGAGTCGACCTTCGCGACATGGCTTTGCTTTTGCTTTCCCGTGGCGCGAGTGAAAGGTCGGAGCACTTATTAGTCCAGCAGAATGCGTTTCTGGCGAATTGGACAGTTCAACACATCTGCGTACACACTAGGAGCAATTGGTAGATCGAGAAATATGGTGAAACGTGTGTGATTCGCGAACAGCGACATGGAACTCACGAATGTCGTGCCTTCTCGTGCCGGATGGCGGGCGTGCCGCTTTCCGAAGTGTATCGAACTTTACTAGCTTCGCAGGACGGCAATCTTCGAGGTTCATAAGGTAGATTGGATGAAGGGAGTCTCTTCCCCCGTGCTCTAGTAAACGTCGATTGAGTGCCTTTGAAAACTGATACCGTCGCTATCAAGTGTATTGCCTCACATGACTCCCCTTTCTAATTCATCCAGCTTCTCCTTGCGATCTATTGTTCATACTGGGGTCAACGATCCTTGCCGACCTCTGGTTCCATCAGACACAAGCACGAGCACGTCGATCTGAGCAGGACACATGCGTCAACCAAATGCTTGCAAGTGTCAGCGTAAGATTATTGAATCAACTCATCGCATGTCATGGGAAGTGCAAATCAAAGCCCATCCGCCATATTGCGGAAATAACGAGCGCCCTGAACGCCGAGTCAAGCACTCCTTCAGACGGTATGACGGACAAATGCGCTCTTCCCCTTGTCTCGCGCACGTTATCCTCGACATAAACGACAACGCTCCGAAAAATGAGAGCACAGGGCCGAGGCGATGCTCGCTCATGTATGCCAAYATCAACAGTTGCATCCACCGGGGCCGCCAGCAGACGCTCCCGGATCCTGCCTTGAGCCAAGATCGACGCCACCGGGTCGGCCGGCCGCCCCTCGCATGCCACGCTGGCTTGCTTGCTCTATCGGAAGCTTCTTCGCGATCGCAGTGAAAAGCTCCTTCACGTTCTCCGCCGTTTTCGCGCTGGTCTCGAAGAAGAGTAGGTTGGCCTCCCTGGCGTAGGCTTCGGCGTCGGCGGTTGGTACAGCACGCTTGTCGGGCTGCTCTGCGACGAGATCCGCTTTGTTGCCAGCAAGTGCAATGATGATGTTCTCGTTCGCCTGGCGTTGGAGCTCTTTGACCCATGCCTTGGCTTTGTCCAATGAACTCTGCTCCCTATCAGCTCATGCCTCGAGTGCAGCATCGGGACGCATGACGCGGGATCTGCCTTACCGCTTGTGTGATATCGTATACTACTACAGCGCAATTCGCATTTCTGTAGTACATGGGTGCCAGMGATTTGTAACGCTCCTGTCCTGCCGTGTCCCAAATCTCAAACTTGACCGTCGTCTGTTCGTCGAGGGCGATTGTCTGTGTCAGGAAGGCGGCGCCGATGGTGGATTCTCTGTAGTCGTCGAATTGATCCTGACTCGTAGTTAGATCTTGTTTCTGCCCCCATCGCTATTCATAGAGGCTGCAGAGGATCGTTTTCGTTATCATCCGTTATCATACCTTGACAAAACGCAGCACCAAGGAGCTCTTGCCCACGGCGGATTCTCCTACGACAAGTCAGCTCATCTGACACGGCATCATGTACATTCCATGCAAGTTCACGGACCAAGAAGCACCAGCTTGAACTGCGCGAACCGAGCGCCACCGGGACGTCCTCCTTGTTGCGCCCTCGTGGCCATGATCGCAGTCGGTCCGGGGCGAAGGTAGCGGGCGTCGCTGTCGTGCAGAGAGCAAATTCGTCGCGGGGTATCGCAGGATGTGCCTGGAAGTGGTGTTGCTGGTAGGGGTCGATGAGGGTGTGGTTGTCGTTGATAGGTAGAGGTATCTACAAAGCAGCCTGGTCCATCGCTAAGGAAAGCTGATGTCGAGGTGCACGTGCGTATGCGGTCATACCTTCCTGAACTCAAAAGTTGTAGTTCACGGATCAACTTCACGTTTCAAGCCGGCCAGGGGATCTTCATCGATTCACACGTTCGTTTCTCCATTACCCCTGCTGCTACAAGGCACACGAAGCTTCAAGATCTTGTAATACCACTCCTGCTGCTTCAAGCAGAATGAGCGCCATGCTCCCTTTCCGGGACATCAACGTCCACGCGTCCTCAACATACTATGCCTTCTCATCGCCATCATCACCTGACGCTCCAACGCTGGTCGTAGACAGACCATCTGGTGACCTCCGGCTCAACGATGGGAAACTCATTGGTGGAAACCGTGTCTCCAGTATCTCTGGCATCCTTGGAATCATCAAGCTCCGATTAGGTATGCCACCCGTGCCTCGACATTCGAGGTCAAGTGAGCTAACACTCTCTTTCAGATAGCTATGTGGTTGTCATTAGCAAGTCTCAGGCTGTGGGACGTCTAAAGGGTCATCAGATCTACAAAGTCCTGGCGACTGAGTTCCTTCCCCTGCGCGAGCGCCAGGTCCACGACCCGGATGAGGACACCTACCTGACCTATCTCAAGACATTGATGAGGACCGGACCAATGTACTTTTCATACTCCTTTGATTTAACCAACAGCTTCCAACGACAAGCCTACTCAAGCGCGAGCGAGCCACTCTGGGAGCGTGCTGATGACCGATTTTTCTGGAACCGCCACATTTCATCATCTCTCATCGACTTCCGCTTAGGAAAGGCTGGCGGCCGACTCTCTGCGGGAGGACAACCGGGCGTGGATCCGTACATCCTTCCCGTCATGTATGGAATGATGAGCATCACCAACACGTCCATCAAAGGTAACGGCATGACTTTCGTGTTGATCACTCGACGGTCAAGGCACAGGACTGGTACGAGATATCTCTCTCGTGGGATTGATGAGGAAGGGCATGTTTCAAATTTCAACGAGACTGAGCAATCCATCATCCTCAACGACAATGCCTCTAGTGGTATGGCAAGCTATGCTGGTGACGCCGGATATTCAAAAGGCAAGCCGGTCAGTGGACGAGAGACACAGGTTCTCTCGTACGTGCAGACTCGTGGAAGCGTGCCTGTGTTCTGGGCCGAGATCAATACGTTGCATTACACTCCAAAGCTTCAGATCCGCGGTGTCGAGACAGCAGCCAACGCTGCGAAGAAGCATTTTGATGAGCAAATCTCAATGTATGGCGAGAACTACATGGTCAATCTCGTAAACCAGAAGGGCAGAGAGATGCGGGTAAAGGATGCGTACGAACAGGTGGTGAAGATACTGCAGACTTCGCCGCAGGAAACGACTGAAGCCGACCGCAAGACGCGGGAAAAGTTCAACGTGATCGAGCCTGGCGACAAACGCAGTTGGTATGATCACCTGCACTATGTGTACTTTGACTTTCACAACGAGACAAAGGGCCTCAAATGGCACCGAGCACAGCTCCTTCTGGACCAGCTGAAGGATGGCTTGACCGCGGGAGGCTATTTTCACAGCATCGACATGCCCTCCGGCGGCGTTGATGTTCGAAGAAAACAGACGGCCGTTGTTCGAACGAATTGCATGGATTGCCTCGATCGCACAAATGTTGTGCAATCCATGCTTGGGCGATGGACACTGACCCGAATGCTCATCGATTTGAGCGTATTGCGACCCGGCGAAACGGCACAGGATGATCAGACCTTCGAGTATCTGTTCCGTAATGTTTGGGCCGACAACGCCGACGTCGTGTCGAAAACATACTCTGGGACAGGTGCTCTGAAGACGGACTTTACCAGGACTGGAAACCGCACACGAGCGGGGATGCTTCAGGATCTGAGCAATAGTTGTACCCGCTATGTGAGGAACAACTTCGCGGATGGACCTCGACAGGATGCTTTCGATCTATTCCTCGGTTCCTACTCTCCTGACACATCAGGCATTGGTTCGGCCCAGCAGTTTGCGGATCGCAGACCACTTGTGGTGCAGGCGGTACCATACGTGCTCGGCTTCTGCATCTTCTTTGTGATCATCAGCCTGAGCACGAATCAGCTGCCCGATTCGACCATATGGCCATTACGGGCATTCACCTTGTTCAGTCTGGCTGTTGCCGGATATGCAGGCCGGTTCATGTGGAGCTACGGCGCACTATATGTAAGGATGTCTCGCGTGTTGGGGAGGAAACACTGCTAACATCTCGTAGGTCAATTGGCCTAAGCTTAACACTCCGCAGTGGGCCGTCGAAGCGTATCAAGACACTCTCGACAGGGTTGGCAAAGATCCTCTAGTCGGCCAATTCGTGGGCGGCAAGAGTGATGGCCGTCTCAGCAATCTCGAAGAAGGCAAGAAGCGTCGCGAGTAATTATCTACTGGCTCCTTTGCGATGATCAAGCTCCGGACGTTATCGGTCGGTGATGGGAAGTGTCGACGGATCCTGCCCTTTTAGCGACGTTCCCGGATGCGCACCAGCCTAACTATAACCAGGTGCCGCCGAGCGGACCTTCCGCAACAATAGCACTACTTGAACTGATATTCACGGATCGCAATACTACCTTCACCGCTATGCTCTAATTTAAGGAGCGAGGTCATGTGCACAATCTATCTCCGCGGTTCTCAAACTACAGATCGTTGTGTTATTAGGCTGATCAGTGATAACCCGCCGAATGCCCGCCCACGCCCAGCGTCGTTTGGAGTCGCAATTGACCAGATGATCAACCCAGACGAGCTCTTGTGCCTATTTTTGGGGGTCCCCACAAGTTGTTATCGGAGATGTGGGCGGAATCTCTTTGAAGGTGTGAAGATCGCTCGTTAATCATCTACTTGATGCAATTATACGAGGTTGCATTCTGCACGTCTCGTGAAATTTTGCTGCTTGATCAACTTTTAGCCTGGAGAACCGACCAACCGACAGGGCCCTGACAACCTTGACGACATTGTCACGGCCCGTTGGCGTGGCTTGGCGAGCTTAAAGGTCGACGGCGCCATTCATGTTTCTATTTTTCGATTCCTCCTCCGCTTCCCGACGCCGCGTCGTCTGCCAAGGCTAAAATAGGTCGGTAGATCGTCTTGAAGCTAGGTAAGTGAAGGTCCAGGAGCCTCGTGTTGACGGATCAAGCAGTGGATCAGCATGGCCCCAGACGTCACTTGGGCCATATGGTCTTTACAAGCGTGATATTTCGAGCAATGCAACAAGACATATAAACACACGTCCTGTCCGCTCTCAATCCTTCCTCTCATCATCAAACAAATCTACATCCTCAAACAACTACTCCCACAACTTCTCCACCAACAAACAACTTTCAAAATGAAGTCCTTCATCGCCGCCACCTTCGTCGCAGCTGTTGCCGCTCTCCCAGCGCCTCAGGTCGCAACCACTGAGCAGTCCTCCTTCGGCGGCCTGGCTCTTCGCTCTGCCAGCCCAATCCACTTCGGCTCCATCAACGCCAACGGCCTTGGATTCTGGATCCACAAGAACACCTCCACCTACACTGAGGCCGGCACCATCGCAGAGCCAACCAACCCATACACTTCCTTCACTCTCAACAGCGAGGTTGGCACTCTTGGCCTCGACACCGTCGTCCCAGGTGGCCAGCAAGTCTACGTCGACTACTCTCCCGACGGCCAGGCTGCTCTCAAGTTCACCCAGATCCACTCCGTCAACACCGGCTCCAACGGCGTTGTTACCGGCTTCTCCATCGTTGACGAGAACCTTTTGTTCGAGGGTGCCGGTTTCGTCGCTTGCCCTGAGGAGGATGCCTACAAGATCTACGCTGCTTCTCGTGGCACCAACGATGCTTGCTTGGGATTCTCTTTCCGCACTGTCTCTGGTGGCGAGACTGAGCCCGTCTGGTCTTACAGCAAGTAAATTATGGGGTTGTGAATGATGGAATGTGGTTCCTTGCTCAGTGGGAATTGTAAGATGAATTGTAAATAGCGATTAGCGAAGCGATCATTGTACTTGGTCGAATATAATGAAATTACTCTCACCCTGTTTCTTGTTTGTGTGATATCTTACACGTGCCTTGGATGATCATGGAACTGCAGGTACGGTCTGTCACTGCTTCTTGTTTGTATTGCATCAAACAAGTGCCTTACGATGTTCAAGGAACTACAAGTAAGATCTGTAATGAGAAGTCAGGGGTTACTATTGGTGGCATCCGAGTAGGAAAGAACTGAGTTATGACAATGCAAGAGAAGTGGGCTCGACCTTTTACCAGTCCACCGACAAGCTCACTGATACTCCAAATATGTCCTGATAATTGAGACAAGTTCTACCAACTGTTGTATCAGTTGTTGAACTGATGGTGTCCTCAATAAATCAAAATGCCGTTCGTAATGATTGTCGCGCACTACCCAAACCCTAACCCTGCTTCCTCAAAGCACACCACAACCAGCGAAACAATAGCCGACACCTCGATCATCGTTGAAAGAGACTTGCTGCTACTGCACAGCTTATCGTTGTATGTAGTTCCGAGACGAAAGGGCCGAAAGGGAGCCCCTAAAAGGAGTTCGTGCGGGCAAAATTCTCTTCCGACCCCTCTCGGAGCTTTGCATTCCAGGGAGATATACCTTGGTAGTTTACGCCATCACATCACAACAACTGGGCGTCTGGCGCAGCTGGTTTGTCCGCCTTATTACCTTCTACCCTATAGCAACATGCTAATCCATGTCATAGGTAGCGCGCATCCTTAGCAAGCATGCGAGTTAACAACTCTATGACTCTGATTGGATGAGGTCGTGAGTTCGAGTCTTACGTCGTCCATCTTCTTTTGCTCTTTTCCGTGTTGTAGAGGCATTCCTTTTGAGTATATGAATGTTGTTTTGTGCTTAGGAACGGTGTTGGAGAGATTTTGGGATTTTTGGGCGACGTGAGGCTTTTTTTGCATGGGAGGATGGCTTCTTTGTGGAGCGTCCGGTGACAGGACTTCCATGCGTTTCATTTGCATACTTATCATGTGTGTATCAAGCTGGAGATTATTGGAAGAAGTTTTAAGGGRTTGGGTCATTCACTTCAGTTGCTTCACTTCAAATCCCGCTATCTCATCGCTCCTTCCTTCTGATCCGCCAATCCTCAAATTCGAACCTTTGGCTTACGAGACTCGAAACTTGCTCGCCGACAGACAATCGACTCTGGAAAGAGCAGTTCGAGATGTCGCTTAATTCAGCTGGCTTGATTATGCATTCGCATGTGGGAGTTGAATTTGATAGGGCTCTAGAGGTACTCGCAGTGCTTAGAGCTCACGAGTATAACGACATGTGGATGTCCCAATCCAGTGAGATGCAGTTCTGATTCGATAGGAAGCCGTTTGAACATCAGCACCACCAGCATCATATGAACACTTGTAGGTCCGTTCCCTGATGATACACTAGGATAGATGTACACCTGCTTTCCTTGCACTTCAATCTTCAATCTTCAATCTTCAACCCCACTACCTGCCCGCCTTCTGGATGAACGCCTTCTCAAGCTTGCCGACCTCCGCTTTGAACGCCTGTACCTCCTCCCAGCAGTCCAGCGGTCTCCGATCATTGGTGCGCAAACATGACACCAGAGTCTCCTTTGCCTTCTCCACCTCCCTCGGTACCTGCTCCACCTTTTTCCGCGCTTCCAACTTCGCGCGGAGGTCGTTGATTTCTTTGCTCATACTGTCGTGACTGCGGCCGGAATCTGGACGGATCGTCGCTTCCTCCTTCTCCTTCTTACTCCAGTCGTGGTAGAAGGGGGAACTGAGATGTGCTGCGAGACTGTTGGGGTCTCGTTTGGGGAGTTCTGCGGTTTCCTCTGCCTTGGCTGGGTTTGTTGTGAGGGAAGCTGTGAGGGATTCTAGACGYTGGGATTGGGCGTCTCGGGTCTTGGTGAGCTGCTCGGTGGTGCGGAGTTGTTTCTTCAGCTCCTGATCTTGCGCACGAGTGGAGTCGGTCTGTTCGATGTGGTCAGCCAGGATGGAGGTGGAAGTGCTGCTCAAGGGAATGCGCACCTCGGAGCTGTTCTGCAGAGAGTTGACGACGGACTGGCTTAGGCGTACGGGCGCGTCGCTGTGTGGTTGTCAGTCAGCAATGCGGCGACAATGGCAATGAATCAGATTCACTCACGCATTAAATGTGGATTGCTCGGTCTTGGAGCCTCCGTTTCCCATTGTACGTGCGGCCGAGTAGTTGTTCCTGAGCTGGGACTGGAGCGCGGCTTGACTTCCAACTTTCGCATTGAGATGGCCGAAGCTCCTCCGAACCTCGCCGATCTTTCCTCGTTCGCAACTCACTTTCCATCGCGTCTTCCAATCATACAAGCATCTTCCAATCATACAAGCATCACCGGGTACTTTCTGCATCCGCCATTGAGAGCACCATGATGCTGTCGAGATGCCACAATCCTCGCTCATGACATGGCTGAACAAGCCCAAGGTTGTCATCKAGCCCGTCTCATCATCCATAACACAGTCTCCACCCACCAAGCTACGCACACAAGATGACCAACATGAACAACAACCGGAACAAGAACAACCAAAGCACGATGTGAAAGGGGCACCATTGTTCTGCTCTCCTCACAAGCCACTCCCTGCCAATGTGGAGCTCAGAGCATGCACAAAAGAAGACATTCCTCACTTGAAGAATCTCACTGGCTTGCTCCTTCCCATTCCATACGGCGAGTCATTCTACAGAGAAATCCTTGCAGACCCCGTGACAAATAGCATCACTCTTCTCGCTGTCTGGCATGATGATCCTGATCTGAAAGCAAGACAGAAAGGTCGCCTCATCGGCGCCATTAGATGTCGTTTGCTTGCTAGTCCTCCTGGCCTAGCAGCCAAGAAGGATGAGAAAGACGAGCCAATGCTCTACCTCAGCACGCTTGTACTACTATCGCCATATCGCAGTCATGGCGTTGCAACTCATCTGCYCCAGGCGCTCACCACGCGTGCCATCGACGATTATGGCGTTGCCAGTGTTGGCGCTCATGTTTGGGAGGCCAACACGGATGCTCTGGCGTGGTACCGCAAGCGTGGATTCTGCGAAGTCGGACGGGAAGCAGGCTATTATCGTCGACTTGATCCACAAGGTGCTATAGTCATGCAGCGCAAGGTCAGCGTGATGGACATGATGGGCAAGTGAGGATGAACTGGACCGAAATTAACCTTGTCACAAGAATGGAAGCAGTCTACATTCCGATGGCTGTCTGAGGAATTCCTTCGCAAACAACATTTTGCTATCTATGCTTGCCGCTGCAGAGGATTCGGGATGCTTTCTTTGATTGCTCTCGACGAGCAGCGGACCGACTTAATCTTGAGATGTCACTCCCTTTCTACCGCCCACCGTTTGTCTGCGAAAAGCTAAATTGTGAAACGTGCAAAGACAGCTATCTCAGCGGTTTCCAACAAAAAAACCAACGTCAAGCATATATCAAACATATCCCCGACAACCAAGCGGAGGGCATCATACGGGACCACGCCGACTCCATTGAAAGAGACTACTTGTTTTTGAAAGAACAAATCGATCAGAGAGGCGATGCAGTCAGTTGATCTCGGGAAAGCGCAGCTGTCTCGTACGTGGCTGACGAAGCGGATGTCTTGACTAGATACTGAAGGCATGGAGCGGCGCGAATCCAGCGAGAAAGGCCAAAGCGCTTCAGGCTGCAACAGCAAAGATCGGATCTCTTTCAAGCAGATGGGAGGGCCTGAGGATGCACCATGCTGTTTCCAACGAGGAGGTCAACGCTAAAGGCATGCGTAGGCTTACGATTGATAAGTCCCCAACTCTGCGCCAACGGAGAAGCTTCCGCAACGCTCTTTTACTTCCGTATTTGTCCAAGGGAGCTCTCACAGAGGACGAGACTCTGTTTCTCTGCTTGCTCCACAACCGCACCGAGTTCCCACCCAGCAAATGGTCAAATTTGGACCTGCAACTCACTTCCTTTGGTCGCAAAAACGGACTTCTGGAGCGGAACTTCAGTACAACCTTCTTTCTCACCAAAGACGGTGTCTACGGCCTCCCTGCGCCATATAGCCGAGATCACTTCCACACCGATGGCACTCTACTAGGGTTCCCAAACTGTGAAGTCTTGTTTGAAGCGCAGCGGAAGCTGTACGGCCTGCTTCGGGCGGTTGTCACAGACCTGCTCAAGGACCGCAAAGTTGTCGATACTGGCAAGCGGCAATGGCTGAACGATGCTAGTCAAATCTTCTTGCACGAGCCGAAATTGTTTCCTCGGAACTTGGCGGGCAGTGGAGCAGCGGCCGATCGTCTCGTTTGCTCACCACCAGTCTCTATCAAATCGTTTATCGAGTGCTGCAAAACGTCTGCCAAGACGCGGCAGAGTGATGCAGAGCGAGATTTGCTGTCACTCCAGACTGGTGAGTACTCGATATGGACCCTCACCGCGCTACAGGACAGGAGCTAATTTCCATCGTCGCTGGAGACCCAGAACACATGCAGCGCAGGCTCGCTCACCCGAGCGGGAGCGCGTATTACCGCGGACTTGGATCGAACGCATGGAATCATCTGGCCCTGGACGTATGGTCGCCTGTGTTCCGTCGAGCATGGACATGGGATTTTGTGGCGCTCTGGGCCGTAGTCTTGGAGGAGGTGAGCTTCTTCATCACGTCAACCCGCATGCCTACACGGACAACAAAGACGATGTAATTGCTGGCTGACTTGCTACACAGAAGCCGCATCTTGAGATTCTTGGCGTTTTGTATTTTATAATAGAAAAAACCGTGCAGGACGTATATGGGACAATGATCACGGACCTGCTCGTCAAGGGCGAAGAATTCAGCACGCAGCTGAGGCAGATACACGGCAAATCAAAGAGTCAGCTCACCGTAGCTCAGAAGCTTGAAGCTGCGCAGAAGGTCACGCCGATACATCTGGMAAAAGATCCCTTATTCTGGRCAATGGCAAATCTGGCCAAATACGAGATGCCAGGGCTACAGTACGACCCACCGCAGAGACTGCCGTTGGACGAACTTGTAGTGGTAGCCGCCGATGCCATCACCAGGAAGAGCGAGAAAGAACGAGAAGCGCTTCGAGATGCAAACGTTCTTGCAACGATTGACGACCTTGCAGCGCTATCCTGCATCTTGAGCATGCTGGATTCCCTGCCTCTCTTTCATAAATTTGAACTTCCGGACGTGTACAATGCTGCGGCCAAGAAGTATGTACTGCTCATACGTCGCCCACCCGATGGTGGGTGCTATGCGGCCTCAAACGGCATGGTTGATGTTTTCGATAATGACTCTTTTTTGAATCGACTTGGATCAGCAGGAAGTCTTTTGAGTGCCTTCAGCAAGCTCCCACTACCTCAATGGAACAAGGCGAATCACCTTGGCGAGTGGGAACAGGTTGCGACTCTTCGAACACAACTGGACAAGTTCTGGGAAGAACTGAGCAAGAAGCGCACAGCCTGTCTCGCGGAGCTCAATTCAGGTTTTGCGGCAGAAATTGACATTCTACCGGATGTGACAGTGATGCRGCAGGGTTACGAAGACTCGACAGACCTGTGGCTGATTGCGAGAAATATTGCCGCGCAGCAGATGGCTCAAGCTTCGAAGCCGGCGGTCCAGCAGGGCAACAGAATGGCAGAGACGCCTGCTGGACAGAATCCTTCGTATGTGCCTCTGCCGAACGTAACAACTTCACCGCGACATCGCGCCAATCAAATTCAATTGTCGAAGAGACAGGAAAGGATCAAGGAGCGAGCGGATCGAGAAGAAGCTGCTCGAGTTGCAGCTGGTGCTGAGCCGACGCCTGTGGTTCCGAAACGTGATCCGCCGTTGCCTATCCGGGTAGACCAGAACGCATTGAATACGATTGCTTGGTTTTGGCCATACGCGAGCCAAGTCTATGGAACACGACGCACGCGAGTAACTTGGACGAAATGTATGGCTGCTTTGGTACAGGCGGGCTTGAATCTCGTCAATGTTGTTGGCAACCATCATACTTTCAGGGGGCGGGACGGGACGCTGACGTACCCTGCCCCTCATGGTAGACGTGATTCTCCGATGGATTCACTACAATTGATTTGGCTTGGGAGACAATGTGAGAGGGAATTGGGGTGGACTTGGAGTACTTTTGATCCGAACTTCGATCTGGATGGGGCCGTTGCCGAGCTGGGAGATGAGGATAATGGGGATGGTGGTGGCGGCGTTGATGCTGGGGACTGGGATGTTGGCGATGTTGGAGATTGGGAAGTCGGTGGTGATGATGGCGATGATAATTTTGAAGATGATGGGGAGGACGTGGTAATGCGGGAATGGGACGACGAGGTTGAATAATATTAGAGTTGATCGTAGTCCAAGATGATGTATTTATTGTGTTTGGCCTGGCAATAAGAGAAGACTGCAATGTACCACGAGGAGATGGCTGGAATCATTCAGTTTCAATCGACGTTGATGCAATCTGATTGCTCGTCTCTGACGCTCTCGCTCCTTGATTGAATCACCCCTCTGTAATGGGGAGTGTACGGGCGGAAGCATACCTTGCTTCTGCTGTGACAAGGATCCTCATCCCATTCCACTCACAACATATTGACATTTGCTGATGAAGGTTGTTGTCGATCCCAATCAGCAGCTTTGAAGCTTTCGCTTCGATCTGGGGGATCTGGACAGCCATCATGTCAGAGTGAAAGCTGATATCGTTCAATGGCAATGTAACCCGAAAGCGGTCTTCTGAAGAAATGTGTGTCATTTCTCTGTTCAGTCGACTGTCATAAAACCTCGTATCCTCTGTCGTATGTCCATCTCTCTGTTCCACCATCATACAGTTTCCTTTCCCAAACGCTCTTCGCTACGCTTCCCTGTGCGGCGTGAACCCTGCATAAAAGAAAAAGTAACAAAAAGCAACGCTCCCGACGCCAAATCCCAGAACTTTGCTCAAAGCAAAAGTCGGTTTAAACGTAGTATTGCCTTCTGCTGCTTGAGCGCTGCTGATTGCTCCTGCGTCCATCTCTGCTGGATCTGTATTCATCCCCGCGACTTCTGCTTCTGCCAGTTCCTCTGCTTGCCGAACGACGGTGTCCGTGGCGAGAGTGGTGGATCTCACGGGTTTCGCGHACGACTTTGACCTTTTCGTCGTTGCGGTGGTTGCGGTGTACTAGGAGGGCGAAGAACTGTGTTGATTTAAGTCAGTGGGTTGTTCTGGTTACACTTCTTGGAGGAGGAGGAGGCCCAAACACTTACAAAGGTCACGAGGAAAGCGATAATGTTGATGATGGCGAGTGCCCAACTTGCTTTCAGCATCGCACAGTTCTTGTTGATGTTCAATCCCCAGCGACTGCCACTTCCTTCTCGACCATATTGTCCAAAGACGCCCAGGTCGAGGTAGATGTCTKCCGTCTCGAAATTGGAGCAATTTGCCTTTGCGATTCCACGAAGGACGACGACGGCGGCGATCAAGGCGGCGAAGAATCCGAGATCGACGGCTGCGACGAAGAAGGCGTCGTGGCGGGCGCGCAGGTAGCCGATCAAGGTGAAGAAGACCCAAGCTAGGGCTAGGACGGAGACGATGAAGAGGAGGAGGATTGGGGTCGGCGTGAGTTGGTTGGATTCGACGTAGCCGTGCACGAACCACGAGAGCATTCCGACAATGGGAATTAATGTGATCATCTCAAAGAGGCGCCAGGAAATGAACAGGAAGCCGGAGATGCCCATCTTGACGGTTTTGTGTCGCGGTGTGGTTGTGGTGGTGAAGATGTGTCTTTTCTCTCGTCGCTTTTGATGTTGTTGTTTGCTGATCGCAGTGAAGATGCTTCACTTGCTCTTCCTTTTTATCACTTCACTCCAGCTCGAGCGCAATGGGCGTGGATTGTTGTGGTGTGGACGTCGCAGTGACTAGCAAGGATGGCTAGCTTTTGGCTCGTGTTTGCGCCTCGGGATGTGAGTGAATGAGGGTGATGTTTATCGACAATCCAAGGCCGGGAATATGTACAGAATACACTGCTGCAGCTTTCATGCACAAGACGGAAGAGCAGGACTCGAAGTGTAACGTTAAAAAGTCGAGTCTAATCTAAATCTTTCCTCGACTCGTGAAAATGAGAAGAGGCGGGGGAGGCTGGGGAGTTCGCGATTTGGTGACGCGCACGTGAAAGCCACAGAATCTCGGCTATTGGTGCCGAGGCGCGATCCGTGTGCTACGAGGTAAGGTAGGTACCTTGCTTATTCATCTGTGTCTACGAACTCTCTTTGCATCGGAGGTTTCTCAAATCCAACAAGTCCTCCCGAGAATCGCAGCGCTGACACGTTGGTAGCGAATCAATTCTCGCAAAATCTATCTTTCCAATGCAAAGGGACACTGTAGGTATGATGTCTGCTTGAAGAAGTAACACAGAGTTGCGTCGTCACCAACGTACAGTAGAAGGGCTACAAGATCTCGAAGAGCTGTGTCCGTATTGAGAGCCGCTTGGCCACTTGATACAAGTATATTTAAACAATCTACTCCATTCCCACCAACTCCTCTATGCATCAATCAAATTCTCCTCGCCATTCTGCTTTGAGGCATCACCCTCCTCTCCATTATCCCTCGTGTCTTTGCTGCCCTTCTTCGACTGTCGCTGATAGTACTGGTCCAGCACCTTCTTAGGGATACGGTTCAACAACTCCTTGGGGTAAATGCGAAGCAACTCCCATGCCTGGTCCAGACCGTCAAAGATGGATCGCTTCTCGTACGCTCCCTGTGAGATGTAGGTCTTTTCAAACTTCTCCAAGAACTCCAGTGAGAGCTTGTCTTCATTGCTGAGCGCTTCCTCTCCGACGACAGCCTTCATGCTAGCGGCGTCACGGCCAATGGCGTACTTGGCGTACAGCTGGTTGGAGACATCCGAGTGATCCTTGCGTGTGTGGCCCTCACCAATGGCYGACTTCATGAGACGAGACAGGGAGGGAAGCACGTTGATTGGTGGGTAGATACCCTTGTTGTGAAGCTCACGGTCAACGAAGATCTGGCCTTCGGTGATGTAGCCCGTCAAGTCGGGAATGGGGTGAGTGATGTCTGAATTGGAATTAGCAAAGACTTCATCAAGTCGTCATGTATGGTCCCTACCGTTGTTGGGCATGGTCAGGATAGGAATCTGAGTGATGGATCCGTTTCGTCCCTGCACACGACCAGCACGCTCGTAAATGGTCGACAAATCAGTGTACATGTAACCTGGGTATCCACGACGACCTGGGACTTCTTCTCTTGCTGCAGAAACCTCACGAAGAGCGTCACAGTATGATGTAAGATCGGTGAGAATGACCAGAACGTGCTTCTCCAATTGGTAGGCGTAGTACTCAGCTGTGGTAAGGGCCAGACGAGGTGTAATGATACGCTCAATGGTGGGATCGTTGGCCAAGTTCAAGAAGAGAGTGACACGCTCCATGCTGCCGTTCTCCTCGAAATCCTTGGTGAAGAAGCGGCTGGTCTCCAAGTTGACACCCATGGCGCCGAAGACGATGGAGAAGTTGTCCGAGTGTCCGTCGTGAACGCCCTTGGTGGGCTGTACCAGACCTGCCTGTCTGCAAATCTGGGCAGCGATTTCGTTGTGAGGAAGACCGGCGGCGGAGAAGATGGGGATCTTCTGTCCACGGGCGATCGAGTTCATGGTGTCAATGGCAGAGATACCAGTGGAGATCATCTCTTCGGGGTAGACACGAGCGTACGGGTTGATAGGAGATCCGTTGATGTCCAGGTAGTCTTCAGCCAAAACTTTGGGCCCCTTGTCAATGGCTCGTCCAGAACCATCGAATACACGCCCCAGCATGTCTTCCGACACACCAAGCTTCAAGCTGTGGCCAGTGAATTCGACTTTGGTCTGATAGGGGTCAGCAAAGCTCGGAGAGTGGGTATACCTGATATAGAGCACACCTTCTTGACATCAATGCCGGAAGTACCCTCAAAGACCTGCACGACGGCACGGTTGCCTGCGAGCTGATGTCAGCCCACTTTCCTCGGAAATGCTGTACCCATTTATTGATCCTACCTCTTGCCTCAAGAACTTGTCCAGACCGCTCAGTGCCATCGGGAAGTGTGAGAGACACAATCTCGTTGAATTGGGGGAATTTGACCTGTTGATGACGTCTCAGTATCCTTTCCATCAACACCATAATCTTCGCCAACGCACATTCTCCAAGATGACCAGCGGTCCGTTGACGCCTCCGATGGTGTTGTACCGTAGACGAGGCGTCACGGACATCATGCGCGGATCGAGATCGTCTTTGGCCATGGCTGCTGTCTGCCAAGCGGGCTGCGCTCAAGAGGTGGATTCGAGGCGGAAGAAGCTGCCTTTGATGGAGTCTGTTGTAGACTCAGCAGATAATGTGTCAATGAGGAGGAGGGGGAGGTTGGATGTCGTCGACGGTGTGGCGGAGGTGAAGCACTTGAGCCGTGAAGCTGCAAGCTTGAAGTTGAGTCGTGCACGTTCCATCACACGTCAACCTGTTCTTCTTGGAGCTTTTGACACCACTGACTATATTGTCTATACAATGCGACAACGAATGAGAGCTCACATCAACGGGACCACCAGAATGACAGATGGAGATGGAGACCGCAAACAGTACACTTCCACGTCATAAAGGCGATAGCACATCACACAGAGCAACGTCTCCCCTCAAACGACTTGCCCTCGACAAACTCAAGAACAAGAATGCAGAGGCACCAGGAGTCAATGGATTGAGGAACACGTTCGAAAACTACTCTCTACTTGAGACAACACACAATACAACCCCATCCTTCTGACATTACGACCTAACTACTTTCCAAAGGAGTCTCAAAAGGCCGGTCCGCTCTTGGTGCAAGCCTTGCCAGATGCGTTCTCTGTCCATTCTGCCAGTCAAGGATGGCGGTGTGAGCGGTGACTCTGTTATCCCACACGGTTACGGAACCCTTCGCCGTATCCCCCTGAATATCTAACTAGGTACTTTCGAAAGGAGTCTCAAAAGGCCGCTCCGCTCTTGGTGTAAGCCTTGCAAGATGCCTTCTCTGGCCATCCTGCCAGTCAAGGATGGCAGTGTGAGCAGTGGAACGATTGYCCCATATAATTACGCTTCCCTTCTCCCATTTGACGCGGGCCTGGAAGTCAGCACCGAGGGCGATGTGGTCATACAAGAATTTCAGGAAGAAATCTGACTCCTCCTTCTTGAATCCGACAATCCGTCGCGTGAATTGTGGGTTCACGAACAGAGACTTCTCGCCTGTGACCGGGTGTGTCCGTACGATTGGGTGGATGTTGGAGACTGGATCGCGGCGAACGATGGATCCCCGGGAAAGGGCTTGCTGAGCTTGTTCGTGGCCTGAATGGACTGCTTTGAGACCGTGGAGACGCTTCTGGAATTCTGGAGAGAGTCGGCGGTATGCCACCGCCATGTTTGCGAACAGAGTGTCGCCACCGGCCGTTGGTCCATCAAGGAGTATGAGAAAGGTTGTGGAAGGAGGCTGCATCTCATAGGTGACGTCGCTGTGCCATGTGATGCTGTTGGTACGCTCTTGGAAGTAGTCGAGGGCGGTGGTATCGCTCGCGGATCGATGCACCAGGTGGACTTTAGGGAATCCTTTTGGCGCGCCCGAAGCTGGATGAATGTGCGAGGGACCATAGTACTCAGCGAAGTCGAGAGCCTCCTGGATTGGGAGATCGGCAAAGTCCTGGTTACGGAAAGCTACGACTTTGTGCTTGGCAACGAAGCGGGCGAGCTCGTCCTTGCCGGCGTTGTTGAGCTTGGAGAGCTGAATTCCGGTGACTTCAGCTCCGATGTTGGCCGTAAGTTCCTTCACTTCACCTCCCGCAAGGAGGTTTGGGAATGTTGGGTCGGCATTGAGGCCGGGTTCGACTGGCTCAAAGGGCTCATACGGAGGGAACTTCTCATCCTCCCAGTACGGTAGGTAATGTGGGTATTTCGCTGGAGGGTGCTTCGCATCGCCCTTTAACTCAATCTCGTAGTTTGTCGTGGATGAACCTTGAGCGAAGGCTTCCTTGGAATTCTCACTTTGCAGCGAATCTTTCTTGATGACTTCCTCGGCAAGTTTGTCGATGGTGCGGTCTGTGAGAGTACTCTCGACCAAAGCTGGAGCCATGATGGAGACGAGGTGTGTAGGATGATACCGTAAGTATTTGGGTTTGACAGCCTCAAAGCTAAAGGACGAGTCAATTTTAAGATCACAAGAATCGAGAAGAAGAATGACGAGCTAGCAGCAATATATATGATCATCGACAATCTCGCAATCGCGGCATCGGACAGGCCCTCTTGCCTCCACCGACAAAGCACCAGGCTTGTGCGGCCGCTCGCCTAGAGGCCATTCTAGAAGAGGTGAGTTGCATGCAAAGCTCTACGACTGGGATGCTACATGCGATCGCCGAGCATTTATGGGAGGGGTAACGAGGACTCCAAGAGTACCTGGGGTATTCTCGAGTCGCCACTCTATACTTTCCCCCGGGTACCTACACACCACAACGTGGARGACGCGTGCGGTGGCGTCTTTCATCGTGCAGTCGGTTCGTCGCATCTCACGGCCGGTCGGACTTGTCATTGTTGAGTGTTGGGTGAGGTTGTGTGCAATCCTCTCTTTCAATTGCGTGCTATGCTCGATCCGACTTTCCTCGCGATTTGATTGGCTGACGGGCCTCAAGTGTTCGCAACGTCACATACATGTAACCATACCACTTCCGTCCCTGCGCCTTTCAGCAAGCTTGTCGGGTGCATTGTTCGGATTGGTAAGGTCCGCGAGATCTGCGGTGGATCCTGCCACATTCGTTATCGAAGACGCCATGCCGTGACGGAGCAGATTGCGTTCATACCTAATCATGCAATTGCGCATGGCTTCAGCCACTATCGAAGGTTTCATCACGTGTCTTGACCCGGTCGGGCGAGGTGATGCATATGTTCTGGCGAGAGTTTGCGTTGAGTACCGCGTAGGCGTGRCATCTGCGTGGTTATAAGGTTCTGGGCGCCATGCCCTCACTTCGTTCTGGGCGCCTCTTGGCTTTGGAAAGTGAATCTTCGGAAGCGACACCTCTTCTCGGCACCATGGGTGGCGATTCAGATTCCCGTGACCAGGCCATCGGGCTGAAAGTATTTCCAGAGGCGGCCATTACGGAGCCTACGGTATTTGCAAGTTCAGGAAAACAGACCTGGGACAATGGTTCTTTGGACTCGTTCTACAAGCCGATTGATACGTACGAAGGCATTCATCGATTCGATCCAGCTTTCCAATGGGAGCCAAAGGAAGAAAAGAGGCTCGTTCGAAAGGTGTGCCTGATGAGCACTCGCTATGAGTATTGCTGATGTTCCTATGGATCGACGTGAGGATATGCTCTTGGGTATGCCTGATGTTCTTCGCCCTACAGCTCGACCGTGGCAACWTCAGCCAGGTGAGTAGAAAGGGAAAAGAAATAGAAATCAAATTGAACATGTTTACTGATTGATATCCATGCCACTAGGCTCTCAGCGATGATCTCTTGACGGGTTAGTTGGGAGCAAAGCCACGCCACGACTGAACGACTTTGTTCTCACCAACGCTACAGACCTCAAAATGACCACAAACGACTACAACACGGGTAAGTTACAGAGGACCTGCGTGGCATCTCAGAGGACACTCCAGAACTAAGCCAGATCTTGGCTCACATCAACGTTGTCTGGGACATCGCTAACACTGCCGAAGGGCAGACGATATTCTTTTTATGTTTCCTCTTCGCAGAGCTTCCCTCCCAGCTCATATCAAAGGCCATAGGTCCCGACAATTGGATACCCGTGCAGGTATACATTTTCATCATCGCTGTCCGAGATCCACGCTGACCACTGTCTTTCCTATAGATGGTAAGTGTGAACGGCTGAAACTGTAGATTGTCGGACAACTTCGCAGCATCTCTCTCCCATGCAAGCGGAATCAAATGCCAAGTCCGACTTTGCAGATGTCGTAGCAGAGAGACGACTTCYGAGACTCCCTGAGACTAGCTAGTCAGCATGACGAACTCACGACTTGAATCTTGTGCTGACACTTCTTGCGAATCTTTCTAGGTATCATGGAGTCTAGTTGCAAGTTGCCAGGCATTCATGACCGGAAGATCAGGTTTCTGGACCTGTCGGGCGCTGCTAGGTCTAATCGAAGGAGGGTACGTCGAAGCAGAGTATAGGGGGATGAGATGTGCCTCGGTGCCAGTGCACTATGAAACTCGTGTGGTGTGAGATGTGCGCTGACTCTCCATACTTTCGTTCAGGTTCATTCCTGACAACGTCTTGTTAGTGGGCTCTCGGATGTTTGCATGTGAAATAGACTGACCAAACTCGTCTTCAGGTACCTCAGCTACTGGTTCGTATATCCCCGAAGCCTCTTTATGGACTGAGACTGAGACTGAAATGTCCGCCAGGTACACCGGCTTTGAGCTGCCCATCAGGCTGTCATTCTTCTGGGTGGCGTATCAAAGTACCAGCATTATATCCGCCTTCTTGGCTTATGGAATCCTACACTTACGTGGTGTTAATGGCAAACCCGGCTGGGCTTGGCTCTTCGCTCTGGAGGGCATGTTGACTGGTCTGATCGGGATCGTCTCATACTTCTATCTACCACCCTCGCCGACCCAGACGGCATCTTGGTTCAGGRGAAAAGATGGATGGTTCAACGAACGAGAAGAAAAGATACTGGCGAGCAAAGCTCACAATATACTAAACTGACCAATACTGATTCGTCTACAGGTCAATCGTGTGCTACGTGATGATCCGAGTAAGGGCGATATGCACAACCGCGAAGGTGAGCTGGCGGTAGTCGTTTGATCTTTGACCAAGCTAACGAATGAAGCTCTCTCTCTGGGTATGTTCTGGAAGTGCCTCAAGGACTATGACCAATTCCCTGTCTATCTCCTTGGTCTATCATGGCGTAAGTACGAGCTCGCGGGTGCAAGTCAACTTCGCTGCGTGTCCACTTATCGGTCATCCTCTGCTTAGGACATTGCTGTCGTGGCATTCGCTAACCATTCCCCTAGTAATCCCAGCCACACCAATCACGTCTTATCTGACACTGCAACTGAAGGCCGTTGGCTTCGGGACGTTTAAAGTACAGCTTCTCACTGTGCCTGCTTACGTTTTGTACATAATCAACCTGCTATTCTTCAGCTGGCTCTCCGAGAGGCTGAACGAGCGATTCTTGCTCGCTACAATCAGCCAATGGTGGGCATTAGCGCTACTCATCGCCCTGGAAGTGCTCTCTGCAGATCGCAGTCCTTGGGTAGCTTGGGTTCTCTCGGTATTGCTCTATGCCATGCCATACTTTCACGCTGTACTTGTCGCAGTGACTTCGAGGAATGCAGGATCGGTGCGGACACGCACTGTCGGTATGTACTTGTTGTTGGATGGGAATTGGTACTGGCTAACGAATCTAAAGCCACTGCCAAATACAACATGTGTGTGCAGGCTTCGAGCATTGTCGGCACCAATGTAAGTGTGATGAGGCCATTCAAACTGTGCGAGAGGGCTGATTTGAGAGATAGATATATCGAGAAGATGATAAGCCTGTATATAGAAGAGGTAACAAGATCCTCATTGCTATCGTATGTTATAACATAGCGCTGTTTGTCGGAGCCAAGGTCTTTTATGTTCACGTCAATAAGTGAGTTCCTCCACCCGAGAATCAGACTAGGCGTGACGCTAACATTCTCAAAGACAGCGCGATAGAATCTGGAGTGCTATGAAGAAGGAAGAGAAGGAAGAATATCTCAGGACCACCAAAGATGAGGGCAACAAACGGCTCGATTTCCGCTTTGCTCACTAGGTAGCCGATTCAACTTGCCATGGACATACATGCCCTTGAAAGCTCTGCAATTTTGTTCAGGTGTACGAGAAACACGAGACTTCAAAAGACTGTCTACAAGCATACAGTATACATCTCACGAGCAGTAGCCATGTCCCCTCCAAACGCGGGTAACATGGCAGCAACCATGGAACGAAGCTGTCAAGAACCTCTTTGGAGCGCTCATGTTCTGGGTGTACATTGTCCCGGCTCAATCGTGTGATCCCTCGTGATTGTTGGTTGGAATGTTGCTGTTGTTGTTGTAAAATCTTCCGGAGGCGCCATCTACGGCCGGAGACTGTGGCATTGAACAGATGGTGCTTGTGGATGGACATGTTTCGGTAGTGAAGCTGTTGAGATTGGATCATCCGCTGATGTTGGCGAAATGTCTGTGCTACGCGTTCCGTGCGCCAGACTGCCACGCTCCAAACTCTGGGAGCAACGAGAGCAGCGAGGTTGGGGTAGGCCTGTGATCAGTGATGAGAGTGAGAATGAAACTTGAGAGCATAGTCGAATGCTGAATTGATCACTCAGAGTACGAGGATGTGTTCAAGACGCAAAACCACTCAATTCCTAGTCAAACTCAATGCAGCGACGATATTGTGCCACCTGGGTATCTCATGCTCCACCAAACTCCATCGCTAACCCAGAACCAAAATCACCTTCAATGCACCAGCACGATAGCTCGGCACATCTCACAAACCCATAGAGACCCTCTTACCTCCTCCACCAACCTCGTCCTCGTCATCCTCCGCCTTGCGCTTCTTCTTCCTGCCCCGTCCCTTCTTCCCGGCCTCGAAATCGCCTTTACCCGCTCCACCTACATCCGCCAAATCCAGCAGATCGCTCGCACTCTCCTTGCCCATAGCATCGAAGTCGACGGCTTTCCGCGCATTCTTCATGTATTTCTCGCGGAACATGTACTCGCTCACACGGCCGAGTAATTGGGGGTTCTTGCRCAGCACCCAGCGGAAATCATCGACTTTGATCTTTTGGCGTCGCGAGTATGATGCGCAGAGGGCGGCGGCGTGGCRGGTTTCGATGATGAAGTCTGTGAGGATCTCTTCGAGGGTGGTGACGGTTAATTGTAATGGGGAGGAGGAGTCGCCGAAAGCGTAGAGGAGTTGTTGAAGATCGGTGTGTGTGAATATTGGCTGGCCTTTGACTCGCGCACGTGCGCGTGGTTCAGCCATGTTGGAGGATGATGGTGTTGTGGTTGTTGTGAGGAGGAGGAGGTTACGGATTGATGATTGATGAGGTGGATGCTGATCGCGCGTGACAAATGGCGCTAGCAGGTAGGTACGCTGCCACCTTTCATTCACTTGCTCTTAACACGGCAGACATCACCCCATCAGATCGAGCGCCAGAATCCATATACGCACTTCACAATGCTCGGGATTCTCAAGTTTCAGACATTTCTCCTGGTGGTGCTGCTGTTCATCTGCTCCTGCACATACCTCCACGGTGTCTTCCCAAGATGGCTCGACGCCAACAAGACTGGGTATGCTCTTTCGAAGATCGCATGACATGTCACGGCTGCTAATTTTTTCGCAGACCTCTCAGCACATTCTGGCGCGCGGCTCGGGTGGGAGAGCGATTGAGCCCATATGTCAGTTTATGCTGTGTAGCCATGGCAGTGAGTTCCCTTCATCATGTTGCATCCATCCGAGCTGACCAAGGACATTAGATGAGCTTGTTACTGGGGCAATAAGATAATGTGGCCCAATAGGCGGCATGTGGGATTAGCGATGGCGTTTGGAAGAGTATGGCGGGCTTTCAAAGATTGATTCCTGGAGCACGAGCGGCAGAGCTAGCATGAGCATCGCTTTCGCACATGATCATGCACAGAATCAAAAGTGGCATTCACGAAACATCTTAATCGACGTGTGTGAAGTGGTGGGTCCGAGAAGTAATGCTTCACGGGCCATGGTCGGGAAGGTTGTTCACTTCCAATCACAATACCCGCCTTGTCAACTTCTCGTATGGTAACTGCAGACGCGCTGGAAGAATGGGGAGAATTGAGGTAGGATGAGCTAGAGGCACGATACCGCCTATCTGTGAAGAATGAGGCGCTCGTCCAGGGTCGTCTTCAATTGCCACAGTGGCCACAGCACAGTACAGGCTAGATCCAGCGACTGACCGTCACGACATGYAATTGCTTGCCCTCGGATGAGCACGAGAAGATCGCACCATCGAAGCCAGACATCAAGACTTGAAACCAACGTTGCCATATAGAGCAAGTCAGACACGACACGGCATTTGGCAGAACCAGAAACAATATGAACGCGAGTGAGTTCAACGATCTTCTCTTACGAACGTTGCATGCATTCACGACGAGCAAGGACTCCTGAAACATGGTATAGCCACTACACACACCCGCCCRTCAAGATGGTATACGGTGACAAAGTCCAGCTTCTCAAGGTCCTGACATCTCCCATGAGACAACCTGAACGGTGCGAGCCAACTCGAACGAATGATGCGAAGAATGTTGCAACGACAAAAACATGTCATCTGTAGCCAACAGTCACCCGTTTTGCTCAACGGCCAAAGTTCTTGAAATGCTGCGGAGAATAGAAATAAACCACAACTTACTAGTCACAAAAGCCAAACGAACGTGGAAGCGTGAGTCACTGTGAGTAAATGTCGATGCCACGCTGTGGTGTCGTGCCGCGTCGTCCAACATGCGTCAAAATGCCACAGAGATTACATGCATACGCCAGCCATTTGTGTGTCACGCAAATCCTGGCCGATCGAGACATTGCGTTGGTCGTTGTTGGAATCGACCAGAAAGTGGTGTAGCAAAAATCGAGAAGATGAGGTCAGGTTGGGTGATTGTGCAAGCCAYGCTTGTTCGATTGAAAGCTCTCAAACCCTTCAAACCAGTTCCGCCGAGCTGCCGTGAAACGCAGCGTGCAGACATATGCTGGGAGACGGCAGCGACTGGGACGAGCATTGCCATGTAACTAGATATAATTAGACGAGTGCCTGGATGATTAACGTCGTGTTTGAGAGAGGCAAGAGAAGTAAGTCTTAGGCATTGATGTAGATGATGCGGGCAGTCTTGCAGCACAGGAACCGTTTGGTCGTTGTTTGTCGTGTTGAGTTGCGGCAGCCCGTTGATTTTCTCCGCCATGGTACATGGAATCTAGCGCTTTCTCCTGAGCCAGGCGACTGGTGCACAGCACGTGTTCTGTTGAAGCCGTGGTTACGGGTGCATTGTCGGTGGCAGCTCCGTTTGCATGCGAACCCGTGCTGAATTGATGCCATTCAATTTCGAGCATTGTTGCGCTTCGTCTGGACCTCATGATTGTTATTTTGAACACGGGGTGAGAGCGGAGACGCCATTCTTGAAGAAAACTAGTGGTGCCTCGAAGCTCAGGAATGGCGGGCCGAAGGGAGGCACGCTAAAAGTCAGCAATCTGCTTCGACACGACACTTGTGAAGAGAATACGAGACGCCGTCGCACGCCCGGCTCGCCAAAACCCTCACAAGCTTTCCCACATGCGACAGTGCAGCGGTGGACCCCGAATCTGGAGCGAGGAGAAGCTGAAGCGAGCAAGCGAGCGGCGATGCTGGCTGGCGTGCACGACTACTCTGCCACGACGAGAATGAAGATCCAAGTTCATGCGGGCATCCATCCGTTGACCGTTTGGCGGCGGCRTGAGGAGAACCGAGCCAGGAAAATCATCTCGTGCTTGCTACCACCGGCGTCGCCTTCCAGAAACGTGCTCGCTGCATGATGTGATCACAGATGGTCTTGATTCGGATCGTCCGTCGGGACAAATTATTCGTGGACACCAAACCATTGTGGGTCCTTTGACGGGAATTGCGCCTGGATTTTGGCCAACCTAACCAACGCCAACCGAGTCCGACCTCTCGCATCGGATGCGCGACCAGGATGGTCTGTACGAACACGCGGAGGTGAGAATAATAATAATGAAAATCGCAAACCACTCACCGCCATGATGCACAAAGATGGCCGCTTCTGCTCAACTGACAAACATTACTGGAAAGAGCGACTGACACTACGCGCCTCACTTCGCGCCCAGTAGCGAACATCATTTTATCCCTCAAATTGCCGTTCGTGAGAGACGTGTCTTTGGAGCGCTCGCCGTTGGCCGGTACCTGCATCACAGCAACGCTCCGTGTCCACACAGCCGCCGAGCTATCCGTAAAGTGGGAGAAGAGGCGGAGCTTGTGCTCGGACCTGCAGCGGTCCACGCCAATCATCGCCCTGTCTGACCTTCCACAGTCAGATTAACTTCCAACCGCTGATTCTGCTAAATTACGGTAGGATGCGCGCTCGGCACGAATCGACGAACAGGGGCAACTCTGTTATGCTGCCGACTCATAGATATACCTCCCCTGTGTCGTGCAACAGCCTGCCTTTCTCTTTCACGGATCTCCTTCACAACACACGCACACTCTTTCAGTCTTTCGGGACCCTTACGCTCTTTAGCACCAAGCCATTCGTTTCTGTGCGTGTTGTTACTATTCCTAGGCGGATCATCAATTCTTCCGACCTCTTCAATCGATTATTACCATTCCAATCATGTACGGAAAGATCGCCTTCGTTGCCGCCCTGGTGGGTGTCAACGCTCTCCCATACGATGCTCCTGCGTACGGCGCTCCCGCTTCTTCCAGCGAGGCTAGCCCAATCTACCCTTCAACCACCGCCGAAGCTGAGGCGCCTCCAACTTACGCAACTCACGCTTCGACCAAGGATGCTGAGCTTCCTTCGTCCAGCGCACCGGCTGTTTACCCTTCCAGCAAGTCTGAGATGAGCCCGATTGTCCCTTCATCATCTGTCGAGATCCCGGTGTACAGCGCTCCCTCTTCATCTTCAGAGAGCAAGGCCACCTACCCGGCCACCTCCAGCGCATCTGAGAGCAAGGCGACTTACCCGGCCACCTCCAGCTCATCCGAGAGCAAGGCTACCTACCCAGCAACCTCAAGCTCGTCCGAGAGCAAGGCGACCTACCCGGCCACCTCAAGCAGCACTACTTGCACCGAGACTCTATCGACTTCCGTCTCCAAGCCATACAAGTCCGAGAGCACCGAGTCTGCCAGCAAGCCTGCGACTTACTACTCCAGCGAGTCCAAGTCTGAGTCCGTCAGCAAGCCTGTCGTCCCCACCACCTACTCTGCTCAGCAGCCAACCACGGTGACCTACGATATGCCAATCACCTACACCCAGGGCACTGGATCTGCTACCACCGTCATCAAGACGACCATCAAGAAGACCAGCACTCTTTACCAGACCACAACTGTCTACATCTCGAAGCCAACTGAGACTGCCACCATGCCAGGTGCCTACCCATCGCAGAGCAAGCCAGCTTCTGCGCCAGTCTACAGCAGCGAGGCACCAAAGGAGTCCTCTCCAGTCCAGCCTTCCGGATACACCACCATCAAGTCTACCGCTACCCAGACTAGTAAGTTGAAAAATGTCAAAAGTCGTTCGGTTTTCCGTCGATGAGCGCCGAATATGCACGGCTCGCTTCTTTCTTCGCCACCGGGTCGAAGTCGATTCTTTTCAAAAGACTTCCACCTTGTCAGGCGAGGTCATTGAAATGCCGCAGCACGCACTCGTTTCTTTGAGTAGTCACTGACATTCATCCTTGCAGACTACATCACCGTGTACCCTGGCCCATCTACCACCGAGACCTGCGTGCCAATCACCAAGACCGTGACCGAGGTAAGCTCTCATCAACCTCAATTCATCGCGATTTAGATCCTAATCAACTCTCTAGACCGCCAAGGTCTACGTTACCGTCCCAGCCAAGAACTCTGCCACTGCTCCTTACCCAACCGGTCCCTCTGCTCCAGTTTACCAGCCTACTGCGCCAGTTTACAAGAGCGAGAGCAAGCCAGTTGAGAGCAAGCCTGTCCAGACTGTCCCTGTCTACCAGAGCAAGCCTGTCGAGAGCAAGCCAGTTCAGACCGCACCTGTCTACGAGACCAAGCCTGTCGAGAGCAAGCCAGTTCAGACCGCACCTGTCTACGAGACAAAGCCTGTTGAGAGCAAGCCAGTTCAGACCGCACCTGTCTACGAGTCCAAGCCTGTCGAGAGCAAGCCAGTTCAGACCGCACCTGTCTACGAGACCAAGCCTGTTGAGAGCAAGCCAGTTCAGACCGCACCTGTCTACGAGACCAAGCCTGTTGAGAGCAAGCCAGTTCAGACCGCACCTGTCTACGAGTCCAAGCCTGTTGAGAGCAAGCCAGTTCAGACCGCACCTGTTTACGAGACCAAGCCTGTTGAGAGCAAGCCAGTCCAGACTGCCCCTGTCTACGAGAGCAAGACCGTCGTTGTCAGCAAGCCAGTTGAGACTGCCCCTGTCTACGTGACCAAGTCCGTCGAGTCCAGCTCTTCTTCCCCCAAATCTCCGGAACAGCCAAAGACAACCGTGACCAAGTGAGTGAACTGAGAGAAAAGGCTAGAGCACACTTTGAAGCCCTCCCAAATTGGCTCATCCCAAGTCCCGACGCTGACCTGCAACGTAAAGGGTCTACCAGTCTGCTTCTTCCTCCACCACCTGCACCGAGGAGGCTGCCACCTCTAGCACGAAGAGCGCTGAGAAGCCATCTTCCGCTCCTGTGTAAGTTCAAATCCAAAGTCTTGCAAGCATCGCACATGGCTACAATTATCCCGTCGCCCTTACTCTTACTGACGACATATAGCTACCCAACCGCCAGCTCCAGCAGCGTCAAGCACGCTGTCCCAACCACCGAGAGCCACGCACCAGTCTACCCAACCGCAAGCYCCAGCAGCGTTAAGGAGGCCACCAAGCCAGCACCAACTGTCTACGTGACACCCGTTCCTGCGGCCAACCCCCCTACCTACAACTAAGCGTATCTTGCTTGGAAAGTAGATGGAGGAACGCTTGATGCACGACTTTKATGACGACACAGCTCACACTTGTGTGTGGTGGTTGTAATTTTCGAGTGTTATCGATTTCATTGTATGTAATTGAACTTTTTTTGAAGTCGAAGACAGGATATGTCAATACAGTTTCGTTGAATTGTTCAATATGTGTGATGTTGTCGGCCACAGTTTCGTGCCTCCTTATGCTCCTCGAAACCGTCCTTGGATCAGCAATGTGTCTTTGAGTGTGCGCTTCCAACGGCGCTCGACATCTTTGAACAATGGCATATGCCATCCCGTTCTGTGTTTAAGCAAAGCCAAGTCATGACAGTAGTCAGATTGCAAGCCATCTCACATTTCAAGACACATTGAGTTACGGCCCTTTGAAAGTTTTGTGGTTTTCCTCAAGCATCTGATGCCCGAGTTGGTTGCCATATTACTTACTTTTATCGGATGGCCACCTTGGCTGTTGATGTGTTGTACATATCTTAAATGTTTCTTTCTCGATAGTGGCGATTTATTCACTTGTTAGCTTGCGTGTCCGTCCTTTCCATTTTGGCGGAATGTATGAGGTATCGAGAGACAGAGCCTGCTAACGAGAGTACGTGCTGTCCTACTGTATGGAAGAGCAATTCACAGGGAGGATGTGAGATATGATTGCGATCTTTCATTCGCCAAGTTGATTATTGCTATTCCAGGATGATGTTCGTACGTGTTGAGGTTGAATTTATTCGTCCCCTCTATTCCTGCTCTCAATATATGAATGTTACTTGTAGTGCGGCGTATTCCATGGCCTTGCGTTCAAAATCAACATCGTGCTGAAGTACTCTGTGTTGTGATATTAAGGTAGGTATTGCCCTTCTTAAGTTCGGAATAAAACAACACGACTTCTTCGAGACCATACCACTCCTAGAAACACGTGTTGCAATGGTTTCCATTTCATCAATGCCGTTGCATATGCCTACCCATGGAATCACTGTCGAGTTGTCTCACCGCAGCTTCTCCACTCCGACATCGCCAAGCAGGGCAGCTTCCATAGCTCCAACATTGATGACGATCAATCACAAACACAACAACCTGATCATTTCACCTCCCAACACGACGAACCCATCACCGCCACAATGTCCACCCCTTCAGTCAACCGCCTCTTTCAACACACCMTCCGCAACATCAGCAAAGCGACCTTCAAACCCTCGCAAACTCGTCAAATCCAATCCACAACGCGACGATGTGGCCCACCACGCACCCTCGCACAGGTCCAACCCCGCTGGCTATCAACATCAAGACCAACCCGCGCTGGACTGATGCCCGAGACGGACGATCCACAACCGCCAAAGGAGAAATCCGCAGAGCCCATTCCTAGGCAGCCTACTGAACTCACCGATGAGGAATACCATGAAGTCGCGGACGAGTATATGGAATTGGTCCACGAGAAAGCGGAGCTGATTCAGGAGGGACGGGAAGATGTCGAAGTGGAGTATAGTGTGAGCAGCAATCTCAATTCAAAAGCGAGGCATCGATGCAATCGCTAACATATATACCTTTTACAGGCCGGCGTGCTGTCAATAACGTTCCCACCCACCGGCACCTATGTCATCAACAAACAGCCTCCCAACAAGCAAATCTGGCTGTCGTCGCCACTCTCGGGTCCGAAACGATATGATTGGGTGGTTGAAGGCGAGAGTATGCATGAGAAAGAAGGCGGTGGCACTGGCGAGTGGGTCTATCTGCGTGACGGTACCAATCTTACGGAATTGCTGGGCAAGGAGTTGGGTATTCATGTGTATGCGCAGGAGGGTGAGGCTGCGAAGCCGACATTGGATCCAAAGGAGTAGACCTGATGGAGTAGAGAGGAGGAGAGATGGAGGGATGGAAGGATTGGCACGATCAATCGATCGACGGCTCTATGCATGACATGTCTACGCTATGCAGATATGAAGAGCCTGTGCCCCTACATACTGTATGAAGCCAACTTGGGAGGGAAGGTCGTGACTCGTCCATCACACGTGCTGCATTGTTTGTGCATCTGTCCAACCCCAGACTGCGCTTGCTGAAGCCCAGTGCCTTCACCTCCATGCTCCACCTCCAATCGTCCTTTCGGCGACATGATCCTCCTACAAGTGTGGCCAGATAGATATATGGCCAGATGTATGGCCAACAGAGCCCTCGGAGTTGCATGACCAGCTGGTTGACGCCTCGTAGTTGCGCGAAGACTCTCATMTCCCGCATATTCCGCGCGAAGACCCTCATCTCCCACACATCCATCCAAGTGAGCGGTACTTTTCCCCCTCGATTGCCTCAGCCATCAACTGTCCCCGCGAAAGCACCTCCTCCTCCAAAATCTTCATCCCGAGCACCATATCTCATCCAAAAAGTCCCCACCATTCATTCCCTCCTTCTTTCAACCCGCAACAACAGCCTGCGCAGTATCCACACCCATCTGATCTTTCCTTTCCTCCTGACCTTTCCCCTCCTCTGGTTTCGGCAAATCCTCCACGTCAAAAATCACTCGAATCTGTAAACTACAACTCGGACATATAGCGATTTCCTCCCCGTCTCGGAGATCTTCAATGTTGATTTCGAAGCGATCGCCGCAGGGGCAGGGGTAGTGGTAGGTTTGGAGGGTTTCGTCGTAGGTCATGTCCTATGGGGGGTTTTCAGGCGCTGTTAGTTGGTTGGTTGGTTGGTGGGATGGAAGGGGAGAGATGGGAGGGAGGGCTGCGGGCTGGGTGTTTACTTACCTCGATTTCTATCTCGTCGTAGATGTTTTCGTCGGACATGGTGGGTTGTTGTGGTTGAATTGGAGGAGGCTTGTTATGAAGAATTACGGTATGTAGATGGAGGGGCAAGATGGGAAGTGAAATGTGACTTTCTGAATCGCGCCAAAGTTTATTGGTGGCGAGAACCATGTTTTTCCACTTTGACATGTGACAGACGATAGATAGATAGATTCACTTCGAGTCTGAAGACATGCGACAATTGTGAATTCACTCATCAACCCGCTTGTACATTCCATGATATACTGGCAAGCACCATTTTATGCTTTTCTATCCGCATCCACCACATATTCCACCCTATCCGCATCGCCTCCCTTTGCGACTCCAAAATTCTCAACAGCTCCACCCATATCCATTGTGAGCTCCTTTCCTTTGCGACCGATAACATGCCAAGGCAGCTCGAACACCGCATCGATACTTTCGAGAGACTTTCCCGAGAGTTCTGGGAGGAAGAACCAGACCCAAGCCAGCCCGATGAGCGTAATGCACGAGAAGAAGAACATGGTGCCGCCATTGGTGAGGCCGATGAACATGCTCGGTACGGCCTTGCTGTTGCCGTACTGGTTGACGAAATGGAAGGTCATGGCGAATGATCCACCTATGGCACGAAGACGAAGAGGATAAATCTCCGAGTTGAGCAGGTATTGTACCGAGTTCCAGCCCATTGCCCATCCAAAGCCGCTGAGGTAAATCTAGAAGCAATGGTCAGTACAACTTCATCGCTTCGAATTCGAGTCCACTCACCATAACAATAGCGCCAGTCGCAGCACTCTTTTGCGAAGCAGTMTGCGTCTCAGGGTTGTCCACGCCAGTATCAATGACCAAGAAGATGGCCATGTAGAGCATTGCCAGGAACTGAAGCGTGATACCAGTCATCAATGACCGCTTCCTGCCGACGGCATCGATCAGGAAGATGGCGCAAATGAGGGCAGAAACAAATTTCACTACGCCAAAAATGGCCGTCGCGAAGAGCTTCTYGTTCTGTCCGGTCTGTCCAACCATCTCAAAGTACTTCGCGGCGTAGATGGTAATCGAATTCGCTCCACTCCATTGCCCAAGCAGCTGTGAGAAGACACTCAACATGAGCCGGTAGCGGTTTGCTGGCGATGTGACCAGTTCTCGAATCACGCCATACCATTTGGTTCCCATAGTAGCCTCTCTTTCTCTTGCAAGCTGATCGTTGATGTCGAGGATCTCGCTCTGCACGTACCAGTGCTCGGTGGGGAGCTTCCTCAACTTGGACAGGTTTGTAAGCGCCTTCTCCTGCTGGCCAACCTTGATGAGCCATCGAGGCGACTCAGCAGCGAAAAAGGAGAGGGTGAGGATGATGAAGGCGAAGTAGATGTGCAGAAGGTTGGGCACAACCCATTGGAGTTCACTTCCGCTACTGATGTGGATGGAAGAACCCCATGATGCAAAGTAGCCGAGCATGATTCCAAGATAGACAGATCCCGAGAACATGCATACGGCGAATCCACGAGTGAACTTGGGCGAGATTTCGGCAAGGTAGGAAGGTGCTACGACGGTTGTCTGTCCGATTCCCAATCCCATGATGAAGCGTCCGGCGTAGACCATTCCAATGGAACCATTTGATGCAGAGGCAAGGAAGATGGCGACTCCGGCGATCCAAATAGCACAAAGTTGACGAGTAGCCCACAGCCTCCCGATCTTGTCGGTGATGTAGAAAGCAATCAGAGCTCCACCGATCGACCCCAACTGTACCATGGATGTGATGTTCGAGAGCAAGTTTGCCTGCTGCTCTTTGCTGAGACTCTCATCTTCCAAGCCGAACAGGTCTATGAATGAGTTCTGTTCTGCAGTCGTGCCGATGAGACCTTCGTCCAAACCACGGGCGGCTGTAAGCTTAAATCAGTGACTACTCTTGTTTCAATGTCCTCGCTGTTTCTCGAACTCACCTCCCATCAACCCGAACACGAAGATACCAAAATATAGATTCCAGTTCATAATCTCCTTTGGAGCATCGGGGTCTCGTTTGCCAAACAACATCGTGACGGTCGCTGGTCGGTCTCTTGGCTCAAAGAGCTTGGCAGTGCTTTCTCAAAGCTTGGAGATTCAACCAAGAAGTCCAAGAAAAAGACAAGGAAGAGGCAAAAGTGTCAAGCGTCTCTTGGAAATCGCCTGGGCAGACCAGCAACTTATCTATGCCTGGCTCATCGACTGCGGGGCACAACATGGCATCTCGGGGAAATGCCGCTGGCCACCACAGGTTGGGGTAGCACCTTCCTTCAAGCCACTAGAAGCTCCTGCTGCTGCGAAATAACATGGGAGGCGGCGTGAAAATGAGGGTCAATACGGAGTCCAGGACCCGTGCCAAGCAGCAAGGTGCATCAAGCGGCGGAAAAGCGTTCAACAGCGTGGTATCGTTGTGGAGATCGGGGAGCAAGGTGGTATCTCAAGTCCACAAGCCAATCGTTTGGCAGATGATTTCCCGTCACGAGGACCAGAGTATCGCCGTCGGTTGCCGCAAGGTTCGCACAGCGCTGTGACCATAAGCCCGGCGAATGAAGAGGACCGCCACCAGGCGGTATGTTCCCTTTCAGCATGCCGAAGCGACATTTTGGTGTACTGCCAAGACCCGGCGCGTCGGCAAACAGAGACATCTCGTGCTCGTTGTGGGGTGCCCATGGAGTAATAATAAACAATTTCGTTGAATGCATGAGACTATGCTCGTTCTCCGCTTCCCACGTGCTCAGATAACCCTTGCTGCAGAAAAAACGTGGAGCAGGGAAGCTCAAAACTCGGAAGCTTGGGTGCACGCTTGTGTCGAGGCGGATTCCTGACGGATCCGCGAGACATTCAATTCTTCCCAATCCGTACTTTCGACATCCAACGAGTGATGGATCAACACAGTCTGCTCGATTCCAACTTTTCGCGTCTGAAACGCATTGCGAATGTCGCAGACTTGCAAGGTAAGCAGAAATGGAAGGTTGTTTAGCGACCTCCGCAACCCCAGCATTTGCTCCAGGCCCACCGCCGTCTCGGAGACGCCGTCGAAAACCGAAGTGGGACCTGCTCAACAAAGGAGCTAAACGTCACGAGAGGGCTTTGTACAATACCACTTTCCCGAATGAACGTCCTGTCATCCTGGCCTATCGCATGATTCTGATGCGTTCCGCTCCGACTCTCTCCGCCTCTTCGTTGAGCGCATCGATTTCAGCCTGAACATAGGGTATGCCATGACGCTTTCTCGTCTCCTCAGAAAGTTGTTCTAGCTCTCCGGGGAAGTAGATGCGATCGACGCCTGCCATCTTGTCGCTATCCACAACCCGTTWGTAGAGATAGTCCATCCTGGAGCGGAAGTCCTCCAAAGACATGAACAGATCCGGTTTGATGGCGATAAGGAAATGGCCCACATCTGCGGGTTTGCTCGGATCGTATGGGTTTGTCACATTGCCTGCAAAAGCGCTGCCGGACAGAACGCCGGAAAAGACATCCATCACTGTGACGTGAATTCAGCGGAATGCATCTGCTCTATTGGTGTCAGACTTACTGATGGAGAGTCCAGAGCCTTTTGGTCCTCCCACTGGTAGCATGACACCTTCCAATGCAGCAGCAGGATCATCAGTCATCCTTCCTTCAGCATCCAACGCCCAATCGGTGGGAATCTTCTCGCCACGACGCTTCGCCTTGTAGATCTTCCCTCGTGCAGCGACAGAAGGTGCCATGTCAAGAATGAAGGGCTTCTCATCACCGCCAGGAGCGCCACAAGCAATCGGGCTCACGCCCATAAGCTTGCTCTTGCCTCCCCATACCGGCAAAGCAGGAGAGCTGTTGGTGAAGACTAGACTCATCATGTTTGCATCAATGGCTTGTTGCACAAGCCAAGCACTCATACCGAAATGGTTAGAATGTTTGACGGAGACCATTCCAATGCCATAGATCTTCGCCATGTCGATCGCTGCTTTCATTCCCATATGAGCGGCTACGAATCCAAAGGCATTGTGGGCATCGACCTGGGCTACAACTGGCGTGGTTGTTTGCAATGTTGGCTGAGCTTTGGGGTCAAGAACGCCTTGTCGGATGCGAGCCATGTAGGAGGGTATCCTGTTGACTCCATGTGTGTCTACACCTCGTAGATCGGCCGCTACAAGGCATTTGGCGATTGTAGATGCGTTCTCGGGGGGGACACCATTGCCCTTGAGCACACCTTCTACGAATGCTTGTGCATCTTCAGCCGTAACGTGAACCTTGGACGCTGTTTCTTCCGACATCTTTTGTGAGATGCGAGATGTTGTCGTCTAGATAGAGGACTCCTGGCCAAGTTGGAAGACGAGTTTGTAACCTGAGTCTCGCTCGCTGTGAGTCAGTAGATCTCCGACGATGTGTATGTTCTTCCAATCTCCGACAGGCGATCGTCCTTTATGATCTATTATATGTGGACATTCGTTGTCGAGTCACAGCGAAGTCGGCGGCGCTTTCCATGTCACATCTCGTTTTCGCTGTCACATCTCGTTTTCGCTTACCTCCACTCTCCCACGATGTGGACCCGGTCGACGGCCTTTATTACAGAAGCACAGTGCAGTGCACAGCGCTTCCCTGCAACGCCTGCAGACTGCAGTGTCGTCTACCGCTATCGATAACGCGCCATGTTGGAAAGTTCTCCTGTACCAAGGCGACGGCGTACAGATCATGCGGATTTGTGCTGTGGACCGCGTGATGACCTCCAATCAATTCTCCCACGCCTTCGTGGTGTGCCGAATTAGGAGGATGACTGCGTGAACGAGTTTCTTGACATGTGCGAGTGGGCTGAGTGGGTTATTGATGATGCATGTGCATGTTCGGACTCCGGGGAAGGGAGCCCGTTCTCACAGATGCCTGGATTTTGTGTTTGATGGCCTCGCTGCTACTGTTCCTCCCACCCACAAGCGACCAATAGCAGCATACCCAGGTCACAAACAACATTCCGGCTCGGCTCTCCCACGATCGATTGCAGATCCGAGGCCAGATCAGGTGGTGGGATGCTCGCATACTCCTCTTGTGAAGACCTTGAGTTTGACTTGCCCGTGGCTTGAGCCACGGATCCACCGGCCACGCTGGACGAAGGAGGATGGCGTCGTAGAACGGCCGCGATCAACTCCCCGAACATCGACTTCGACTCCGACAACATTGACATTGAGCTCGCCGAGCTCCTCCCGCCGTCTGCCCACCCAGTCCGTCGCCCTTCACCTCTCCAGCCTACACCGTCTCGTGTCCTTGGTCGCCGGCAGAAACTCTGCCAGCTACTCGAGCGCGACATGAAGTTCTCGCACTCGCTGCAGTTCAATGCGGTGCCGGATTGGTCGTCCAACTACATCTCCTACTCCAACCTCAAGAAGCTCATCTTCCAGCTCGAGAAGCAGGTCAATCAGCTAGGCCAGCCTGCATCCACCGCCCTTGATCCCGAGTCGTCTCCGCTGCTCACGAACGGCACTCCCATCGACGACCCGGACAAGGTCTTCTCCCGCAAGCTCGACGATGAGCTGGAGAAAATCTGCAGCTTCTACAAGCTGAAAGAGCTCGAAATCTACGGCGAAGTAGAGGCACTGCTGCGGGATGTAGAGGAGTTTGAGGCTGAGCATGCCGCAGAGGATGCAGCTGGGGACGGTCAGCGGAGGAACAGTCTGTGGCAACGCGCCAGGCAGCAGAGCATTTTCCGCTCTGCACCTCATCCCAGCAGGCGGCGGAAAAGCTCTTCCAATGGAAGCAACCGTGGAGGCCCAATTCCCGAAGAAGAAGACGAGAGCGAGGATGACGATAACGAGCGTACCGGCCTGACCAAAAGCCAGTCCACCTTGAGCAGGCGGGCTTCGCGGGGCAAGGCCCTGGGCTCTGATGAGCAGCCAGCAGACTGGAGTACTGCCGACCTCCGCCGCAGACCCAGTGCTGCCTTTGCGGATTTTGGCGATGATGCTCTCCAGGCTCTGTACGACGAGGGTATCACGTTAAAGAAGCGTATCGTGAACCTCTATACTAGCATCTGCGAGCTGCGCTCCTTCATTCAGTTGAACGAGACGGGATTCACCAAGGTGCTGAAAAAGTACGACAAGATCATGGACCGCAATTTGAAGAGCAAGTGGATCAGTGCGAATGTGAAGTCTGCATATCCATTCCAGTCCACCACGCTGGATACGCTAGGCGATAATCTTCAAAAGGTCGAGGAGGCGTATGCCAATATCGTCACCAAAGGTGATGTTGAAGCCGCGAGACGGGAGCTGCGGCTGCACTTGCGAGAGCATGTCGTTTGGGAGCGGAACACTGTCWGGCGGGAAATGATTGGTATTGAGCGCAAGGCTCAAGCAGCCAACCTAGGGATCAGGAATACCATGCTTGGAGCAGATGATCCCAGAAAAAACCGACTGCAGGGTGATGGAGCGGAAGGTGCTTTGAAAGAGGTGAATCTCCCCATCGGCAAATATAGGTGTCCAAAGTTCTTGGTGACGAGCACTTTCTGGGTGCTGTGTCTTGTCATTGCTGTATTCGCAGTACTTTTGGCTGTGCCTATAATGGAGAAACCCGAGCAACAGAATTGCCTTGCGTTGGTAGTGTTCGTCAGCTTACTGTGGGCGACGGAGGTATGTTTGATCATCGACATGGATGGATTGCGACGCTAACACCGCATAGGCGATCCCTCTCTTCGTGACCTCCCTACTGGTACCGTTCCTCTGCGTAATTCTACAAGTCGTTCGAGAGGACGTAAAGCCCAACCGCCGACTGTCCAGCAAAGAAGCTGCAGGCTATGTCTTCGCTTCGATGTGGACGCCTGTCATCATGCTGTTGCTTGGTGGCTTCACAATCGCTGCAGCGTTGAGTAAGTACAACATTGCCAAGATGATGGCTACCTTTGTCTTGTCCAAGGCTGGCACGAAGCCGAGGACAGTCCTCCTTACAAGCATGGGTGTGGCAATGTTCGCCAGTATGTGGATCAGTAATGTTGCCGCACCAGTGCTATGTTTCAGTATCATCCAGGTCAGTCGATTGAGATTATGTTCTTCTGTTGATTATGCTGACGTGACTTTCAAGCCTATTCTTCGCAACCTGCCTGCGGGCAGTGACATGACCAAGGCGTTACTCCTCGGCATTGCCCTCGCGTCAAACATAGGCGGAGCCGCTTCTCCCATCGCCTCGCCGCAGAACCTCATCGCGCTGGAAAATATGGAGCCACAGCCAGGATGGGGAACCTGGTTCTTCGTCGCTCTGCCAGTCTGTATCATCAGCATTCTCCTGATTTGGGTTCTTCTTCTCGTGACTTTCCGACCGGGCCGCAACACGACTATCGTACCAATTCGTCCTATGAAGGACAAGTTCACTGGGGTTCAATACTTCATCTCCGTGGTCACTCTAGTCACCATCGGACTTTGGTGTGTCAGCCATCAACTCGAGCACATTTTCGGTGACATGGGCGTGGTGGCCATCATTCCCATCGCTCTTTTCTTCGGAACTGGAATCTTGACCAAAGAGGACTTCAATAACTTCCTATGGACGATCATCATCCTCGCCGCTGGTGGTCTTGCCCTTGGCAAAGCCGTCAACAGTTCCGGCCTACTCACGACTATTGCTGTTAGTATCACTAAAAGTGTGGCCCACTTGTCACTCTACGGCGTGACTTGCGTCTTCGCAGCTTTGATCGCTGTCGTGGCTACTTTCATCAGCCATACAGTTGCAGCTTTGATCGTTCTGCCGCTAGTACGTGAGGTTGGAGTAGGAATGGCTGAGCCGCATCCAAATCTCCTCGTCATGGCTAGTGTCCTTATGGCGAGTGCTGCTATGGGTCTACCGACGAGTGGATTCCCAAATATGAGTATGCATCCTCCCCATACTATCTTTGTGAGACTTTAACTGACATTGCGCTAGCTGCCATTATGATGGAAGATTCCCAAACAGGACAACGATATTTGCAGGTCAGACATTTCTTGACGAGAGGTATTCCCGCTAGTATCATGGCTTATGTGGTCATCATCACGGTTGGATATGGACTAATGTTGGTTGTTGGATTTTGAGAACAGAATTATAGGAACGATGTATAAGGATGTTGAGGTGCTGAGCGATGTCTGTTGTATAGACCTGGGATTTAACTGTACAGCGTGTCGTTGCGTGGATATAGCAACGCGGGGAGTAATTTCATCGCTTGATCTATTACACATCTTCTTATGCCATCTCTCGTGCTCTGAATCTGTAGGCCAAACCTCCGTGTCCAAATTTGTCATTCCGTACTCTCCTTGGCAAGCAATTGCTGCATTGCCAATCGTCGCCGGTGCTCTCGGGATATCTATCATTCAACAAGAAATGTCTTCTTCGCTCATCCCATCTTCAAAGATATCAAATGCCAGACTGACAGCCGCCAGTCTGCCCAAGTGTCGGTTGAACAAAATGTCCGCTGACGTATCTCGTTGGATGTACAGCCATATCTCAACCACGCATTCGCATTGTCCCCGCCCAAATTCCCAATCTCATATCCGAAGAGTGGTTGCTTTGGCATTCAAAGGCTGTAATCCCAGCGTCCGCTCAGAGCTATACTTGCTCAATCTCCTACCAGATGAAGAGATCTTCTCAGCCGTCGTACAAATACTTTGGTGAGTGTACATTCCAACACCCAGATCGTAGGTAGTCGAAATCCCAGTCCCCTCCATCTTCCTTTCACCCATCCTTCTCAAAATCCTCCTCGCCATAAAAGTCCTCTTCTCGTTCATCCGCAGCAGCAGCAGCAGCAGAAGAAACCTTCGAGTAGTCGCCGCTGCCCTCTGCAACTTTATCCTCTTCCATCTTCTGCGTCAAAAAAGCATTGATTTCGCCCTGTAGAGTTGAAATATTGGCTCGCAGAGCTCCTAGATAGGTTGTCTTTTCCTCCACTGTCTCGGAGCTTGGAGGGAGTAGTGATGAGGAAGTGAAGGATTTGGTGGTTGATGGGGAGGTGTAGGTTGCTGTGAGTTGTGATTGTGTCATGTTTGTTTGGTCGATTACAGAGGTCGTTTTCGCCGAGAGAGTGGGATTGTGATGTGGTGTACCTTAGTGAAGCAGAGCGATCATACCTGGGATGGATCTGGAGATGTTCTGGTCTTGGCGGCGATGTCGGCTCTTCAACTTTGACTTCAGCTGCTTGACTTCACCTTCCCTCTTTTCTAATGACTATAACAGGAGCGATGTCATCGAGTGGCCATAATCCGGTGAGGTCACCTCTTCTCACGACACAAATTTGGCCGTCCAGTCGGTGTCACCTGGAAGCGTCGGAGAATTCTGGGTGATGTTGGACATGTTGCGACAGGCAGCTTCCTACCTGCTCGCCGAAGTGATGAATATGGATCACATGTAATCGCAAACAGCCCCGCATATATAATCTGCATGGACTGCTACTCCTAATAAGCAAGACAAAAGATGGGATAATGAATCCTTATCGATTGCTCGTGACTTTTAAAATCGTATCTCCTATCGGCCTTCGAGACGAGAGCCGGCTCTTATACGAGTGTATAACATTTATCCGACAGTTTCGGCAATGTGGGATTAGTGTCGTCTACGGTAGCTGTAATATTCTATCGATATATACTTGGCTAGATATAGCGGAGACGTATCTACACTATATCGCTTATAATTAGGCGGGCGCGCCGATAGTAAAATAAATCTACTATAGTATAGAAGTATGCCGAATCTCTAGTTACTATATATCCGGTCCGTAGCATTAGATATGTTCTAATAGTAGTCCTATTACCTGTCGATGCTAGAGTATCCTACTATTCCGAGCTTAGCTCTACTACGCTAGTAATGTATAGCATAGGTCTTACCCGTGTCGTTTACAATTTGGTCTCTATACTCTAGGCGTATTATAGAGCACGAAAGGTTTCGACGGAGTTTATTAGGCGCTTATTAAGGCTTCGAACTATCGACTTATAGTCTCAAGTTATAATAAGCGACTCTAGGATCTTTAAGTTTTTAATTGTCCTTATAAACGAGGCATTTCCCCTACTAAGTCTCGAGTTAGCCAGTTCGCGCCTAACCAGTTTCGAAAATACGAGATCGACTACAGACCAAATACCGGTAGGATACTCGGCACTTCGCTCGAATGACTCGCGGCTTAAAGTCTTGGACATCGTTTTAGTATTAGCGAGTTGGGGCGTCGAGTGTACGAACCAGAAGACAGACTTGCGATTATATTCATATGCCTCTAACTCAAGCTATGAACGCATACCTGGTACAATGTATACCGTCGCAGCTAGTTCCTCTCGTCGAACACATACTAGAGCTGTTCGTATGCCTTATCAACTCTGTTCGTTGCTCTAGCGTGGGCTTTCCGAAGTCCGTCTTCAATCTTGRTGTTGTCATGTGCAACCGTTGCTGCCGTTTGGCCTGGTCGAGGTGCAACGATAGCTAGATGTGCCATTGTCAATCCTCGCCGCTTCAGATACTGAATGCACCGCTCTTTGTCCGTCCTCCATACATTATTCAGCACTCTCTGAATGAGGTCCATTTCCAAAAAGGTCAACTGCACCAAAGCTCTCGATATGAGGATTATTCACTAGGATAAGGCATCCTCAGTTATGTCCATAATATCCTGAGGCCTCGTTCTCTACAGGTTCGATGATTTAAAGCCTGTTGATATCCCTGCTACTGGCAGAGTGGCCGTTGATCCATCGAGAGAGCAGCTCGGGGCGCTGCTCTTGTTGATGATTTCTCATATCGACAGCTCTGAACTGCACGGCGCTCGCAAGTCCGACTGCCTTGGCGAGTGCATGGTTCTGTTTTCGAAAGACATCGATTGCTTTTCGCAGGGCGGGACCTGGATTTGTAGGCGGGATCTCTACACCGACTGCGAGTCTTTTGTACATTGCTTCGTAGTCATGGTCATCCATCTGAGTGGAACCGACACCGTAATTGCGACGGACAAGGTCTTGCTTTTGGTGGGCCCATGTGTCTGAAAGGCTTGGACGACTGTCTGTGCGCTTAGTGGACGACACTTCCGGAAGATCATCAACCGCTGGCCTCTTTCTATCGACGTGTGGAGGCTGCACGATTGATCGCCGATCAGACACGAAGTGATCTACTTCAATTATAGGAGTGGATGACAAGTGCGGCGTCCTGCGCCTTGCCTGACTGCTCTCCGGTTGCAGTAAATGTGTAGATCTGGAGGCGTCGCACGCTGCTGGCGGCACGACAGCTTGCACGTGGCGCGTTACGTCTCCTCCGTCGTCCGCAGAGTTGTTATACTGCTGTAAAGTCGTCGCGGAATCTGGTGCTTTCGGCGGGTTGTGGGGATGAGCCACTTGCGATCGATAGCCATACTGGTCTTGCGGTGCGTGTCCTGGAGGTGCTACGTGCACGTCGAGACCTTACGCCATTTGGAGATCTTGACGTGAAACGTCGAACTGACCTGGTGTGACTTGTGATGCCTGTGGCATAGCTTGGTTCGCTGTTGGCACATACTCTCGAGGTACTTGGCTGTAATCAGAGCTGTCGATATGAGGATTCTTCATCGAGGCAAAACGCCCTTAGTCGTCTTTATGATGTCTTAAGGCGTTGTTCTCTGCAGAGTAGACAACTCTAGAGCTGCTAGAACCTTTACTACTAGCAGAGTAGTCCGTTGTACAATAGAGAGGGCAGTTGAGGGCGCTGTTTTGTTGATAATTTCCTCATGTCGACAGCTCTGGCCATAAATATGCTAAGGGTACATCTCTCGCGGCATTTCGTTGCAATACTGCTGTGGGAATCGTTCTGAGAGCGGCATACCCAAAGATGCTCTGCCACGCTGGCTCCGAAAGATCAACGACACGGATTCCAGGACCAGGTGCGAGTCCAGAAACATCGATGTCGATCAAAGGAGGAACCCGGCCAAGGTTACCAATATCCGCCCAGTCTCTGTCGTCGGGGATTGCAGCATATCGAGGGATGTCGTCGGACAGCGAGGCGAAGTCTTTGAAGATCTCGGTCGACGGCCGAGTATGGGGTCTTGCTTGAACCGAATACTCGGCAGTAGTATGGACATGACCGGCGCGGAACTTTGACAGATTGGTGAACTTTATTGGGCAATTCTCGGACCATGGACAGTCGAACATCTTCCAAGTTGCCAGGTCCCGAGAAGMTCCGTCCGCGACGCCTCGACCCTGAGGTGTCACGTCATCGGTGAGGCCAGTCGGCTTCAAAACGACGTTGTAGGTCGCAAGGAAGTTGGCCACACCAGGCCCATCGAGCAGGAGGAAGTGTCCAGGGCCGCTGCTTCCGATGAGATTGTTAAGCGGAGCATCGCCAGGTGGCTCCGTAGAAGCAATCTCGGCAAACATGGCTTGTTCGGCATCACACGCCTCCTGCAACATCACTGCATCGAGCGTGGTGGTGGACGACCCTGCATTAATCAGATCTGGTGTGAAAGATCTTCGTCGAGGGACTGCGAGACTTCGATGTGCTCTGGGCCAAGCAGCATCGAAGAGCCAACGTTGTAGTCGTAGTACCAAGGCTGGCTAGGATATTGGTAGCTGGAGACGAAACCTACCTCACCGACGGCGGGCGCGGAAAAGTCATCGTCGTCTTCAAAAGCCTGGGTGTCCCCGCCGTCGAGAAACAGCATTGCAGCTTCGTCCACGTCTCCGAACTCGTTGTCGTCGTCGTCGCCCTTTGCTGCTGGTAGATGACGCTCGGCTAGAAGTGTTGCAGCGGTAGGGTCAAGCTCAGCAGAGGGTGCAACGGACATCACCCGGCTATTCGGACCACGACCTTCCTGAGCTGCAAGCTCACCATCGAAGCACGCACGGACGAAGTCGGTGGACCCCGGTAGACCGATATGCTTGGTGCTGATCCCACTGGCGACAGCCTTCTTCGCAAGAGTCCGCTTTGTCTTRTTGGAGACAGAGGGGTTGTCGGTTTTCACTTTGCGGCCGGCGGCCGGCGCCAACACTCACATTGTAGGTGTCAGTGAGGTAGAAGGGGTCGAGGGGGCGGGATGTGATTGGGTTGCGAGCTCGAAGTCCCAGTGGGGCAGTGAGTAGGTCGTGTAGGTCGTGCAGCTCCGGTGAGGTGGTGACTTTGTCGGCGGAAGCGGATTCGTCGATCGTCGAGAGCCGACTCACTCCAGTGAAGTCAACTATGGATTGGACATACACGTCGGTGACACCTGCCGTACGCTAACTATCGCTGTGACCCAGTGCAGTAGCCGTTGATTTCGAAGCAGCACCTTGCGATTTGACACGAGCCTTCCCAAGATCCTCGGCCAGTCCCCGTCGATTGTCATGTCCACGGATACCATCAAGTGCTCCCGTCCTCTCGCCAATGCGACCGAATGAGCGCACGATCTGGTGCACACTGGCAGTTTGTGAACTGGACATCTCTAGGCCTCCCCAGGCGGTCCTCGCCTGTGGTCCATAGACGACTGATGGAATGAGAAAGTCATCACTCTTGATTTGCAGTCGTCCTGTTGGCGAACGGGCAAGAATCCCGATAATGTCTTCTGCTTTCGAGCAGCTAGAAGGGAAGGGGCGAGGCCACGCACGATGCCACCTGCATGATGAGGAGGCTGCCTAGCGACAGGGCACATCCAGTAACTACCTTACGTTAGCTATTGCCGAGACTGTATCGAAAGTCTCAAACCGCGAATCGCTCAAATGAAGTGCCAGGCCATTCGTCGATTTGTGGTTAATGGAGATGACCTAACATTGTCCACATTAGAACATCATCGCTGCGAGGCATGAAAGTACAGGGTTAGGGTTAGGGTGGTCATTTTGTCCAACGCGAGGTTTGGACACCCATTCCTCCCGCAATGACAACGCGTCTACGAATACTCAACGCATTGAAATTTGACAATGAACAAATACATTGTCTCCAATGGCGGACCAGATTCGACTGCTCGATACGTCAGATACATTGGTCGAGGACATTACCGCGTTCGCCGAGCAACATGGCCTTGAGCACAAACTCGGCGTGCTCCGGAGAGCTGCACGATTGATACAAACCGATGGAGACACAGACAGAATACCTGCCATCACTGACCATGAGGCGCTTATGCTGCATAATGCAGAGAAGCGGAAATGGACCCAACCGCCTCTCATGTACCTCTGCATCGCTGCCACAGCATTCGGAGCCATTGGTCAGGGCTGGGCGCAGTCGTCCATGAACGGCGCGAACCTATATTAWCCCAAGCTCTTTAAGATCGGATCGGATTCTCTACACGACACGCTGGTCGTGGGCCTGATCAACTCGGGCATCTACCTCGCAAACGGCCTCCTTGGCTCGTGGCTCGTGCTCCCGCTGAACAATCGCTTTGGGCGAAGGGGAGCAGTTTCCGCAGGAGCGATCGTTGCCTTGCTGTTCAACATCATCGGATCCTCTGCGGCCAGCTGGCAACAGCTGCTGGCCTGTCGTTTGGCACTTGGAGTGGGTCTCGGCGTCATCTCCGGAACGCTCAACATCTTTGCGGCGGAATGCTCACCATCCAACATAAGGGGCGGCCTCGCGGTTGCCTGGCAAGCGTTTTGCGCCTTTGGAATATTCATTGGCTTCCTCACCAACATGATTGTGGATAATAATCCAGAGGTATATGGTGGGCCGCTCAGATGGAGACTCATGTTACTTGCGCCAGCAGTATCGACAGTACCACTCCTGCTATTGCTCATCTTTGTGCTCCCAGAATCACCAGAGTGGTTTATAAAACACGGTGAACGGTATGACCGAGCTTTTGATGCTCTATGCCGGCTACGGAACACAGAGCTGCAGGCCGCCCACGAGATGCTAATGTTCCATCATCAGCGCAAGCGTAGCATGAAAGTCAACAATGGCTACATACAGTCACTACGGGAGCTTTTCACCATCCCTAGAGTCAGACGGGCGACTCTGGCAGCGTACWCCACGATGCTGGCACAGCAAGCATGTGGCATCAACATCATAGCGTTCTATTCGAGCACCATATTCGTGGAAGGAGGCTTCAACACCTATGCAGCCGAGTTGGCATCTACAATCTTCGGACTCGTCAATTGCGTTGGAGCTTTACCGGCAATATGGACCATGGATAGTTTGGGGCGCCGCTCACTGCTGTTGTTGACTTTGCCTTTCATGGCAATCACCATGAGAGTCGCAGKCGCAAGTTTCTCAATCTCGGACGAGCATTCAAAATTGAGATTCGGCATGACGACCTCCATGATCTATCTCTTTTGCCTGCTTTACTCTCCAGGAATGGGACCTGTACCGACAGTGTACTCTGCAGAAGTGTTTCCGCTCTCTCATCGCGAGCTGGGAACGTCATCCGCCGTTGCCGTTACGAACCTATTCGCCTCCCTACTCTCCTTGACGTTTCCCTGGCTACTCACCTCACTCGGCAATACTGGCAGCTTTCTGTTGTATGCTGTGCTGAACGTGCTTGCCTTTGGACTCGTGTTCCTATTCGTACCAGAGACGAAGAGGAGGACTCTCCAGGAACTTGACGAAGTCTTTGAAGTTTCAACGAAATCTCTCATTCGAGAACGAATGCGTCAGGTTATGTGGAGAGATAAGGTGACCATATGAGAAGATCTCGCCCCGCGACAGAGACGACGTCTGCGCGATAAGATCAGCAAGACTGTGCGCAAGACTTTGAAGCAATCACGCACCTTGTTCGACGTGCTCATCCAAAAGGCGAGCGCCGCAGTGCTGCGGAATCCGCGGAACCCGAATTTCCACTACTTGCGCGGATAGCAGTAGAAATAGTGGACTCGAGCCTGCATTCAAGCCATTCGCCATGGCGGCGTCGTACAACAGGCATTCAGTCCGCGTATGCTCCGCAAGCGACACGCGGAGGGTGTCATACCCACATCCGAATGGCTTTATAGTATATCTCTACCACATATCCCCCATCAGCTCACTAGAACCCATCAACCCGACTGACACTTTATACCAACATGAGCACTGACAACTGCACGGAGGTCAGCGCATTTTGTCCAGTTGAGGCAACAATCTACGGATAGTGAGTATCGATATGCAGGCAGAACAGAACGTCCTTGCACGCGTCAGCTTCCCATGTGTTCCAAACTCATCTCTTCCATGGCTGACCTGTAACAGYGTRCCAAATCTCGCCGCGAACATCACTCTACTTTCTGTCTATAGCCTATGTGCGATTCTACAGATCCTTCTTGGAACCTACTATCGAACATATACATTCCTCATAGCAATCACCGGCGGATGTGCGATTGAATGCTTAGGATATGCCAGCAGAATCTTCCTACACGACAATRTCTGGAACGACGTCGCTTTCAAGATCCAGCTTGTGTGCCTCATCATAGGACCATCTCTCATCGCAGCTGGAATCTATCTCTCATTCAAGCATATTGTGGGTTACATGGGACCCGAAGCGAGCAGGATACCTCCAAAGCTATACACTTGGATCTTCATATGCTTCGATATCTTATCTCTCGTCATACAAGCCGCTGGCGGAGCAATGGCAGCATCAGCAGAAGATGGTTCAGAAGAGTTGGAAACTGGAAACTCCCTCATTCTTGCCGGAATTGGGATTCAAGTGGGTACCATGTCCATCTGCGGTATATTTGCCCTGGATTTCTTCACAAGACATGGTCGTATGAAGAAGAGACAGAACCTCTCCCGGCAGACGGACTTGCAAAACCTTCCCACGTCTAGTCACAGGCGATTTCAAATATTCGTCGCCGCGGAGATTTTCGCATTTGCTGCCATCTTGACCAGATGCATCTATCGGTATGTCGACGATAAAATAGCAGCATGTTGAATTCCACTAACTCATACAAACAGACTTCCAGAGTTCGCTGGAGGCTGGGGGAACCCGCTGATGCGTGAGGAGACGGAATTCCTTATCCTTGATGGAGCTATGGTGGCTTTGGGCGTCATCACTTTTACGCTTTTCCATCCGGGGTTCTGGTTCCCTCCCATGTCGGGTCGATCGAAGAAGGTTAGTCCATCGCAGGGTGGTATGAGTACGGTTGTAACTGGAGGAGATGACGTTTCAATGGATGATCAAAAGTCAGCGGTTGGTAATACTGACGATTAGGTCTTATTTGTGAGATGATAGATATAGACGACTTCAACAGAATAGACATCACAGACTAGAAGCAGGCGGTTGCATACAAAGATCGCCCCTCTGATTGAATATCCGTAATTCCAACTAGCGCCCATTCGCCAGACCATCAACACCCTCCCCGCCAGCCTCAAGATCAAGGTCCCTCTCAAATTCCATCTGAATTTGAATAACCTGCTCAAGTTTCTGCCGATCCAGCTTCTGACCATGAAACTGCGCCAAAGACTTCGCCGTCCGAATGACATTTTTAATCTGTCTGCCATTGATATCAGCCTGGGCAAGACTATCATAACCCTCATCATCAATCTCCACACCCTCATCATCGACCATCATTTTCCCCAGGAAATTCTGCCACACTTGCTTGCGACTCTGCATTGTCAGGGAGGAATATTTTAACGGCACGTGAATTCTCGACTTGAAAGCGTCGTCGAAAGTGGCGACGCGGTTGGAAGTCAAGAAGAGGATTCCTTCGTAGTACTCCAATACTCGCAAGAAGATRCTCACGAGACTGTTGCGCTGCATATCATGCAGAGAGCGACGTTCCAGGAAAATGTCGGCTTCATCGATCAGCAGAACGGCACGCCAGGTAGAAGCCATGTCCAGAATGCGAGAAAGTTTGTTGTCCAGCGTCGAGGCATCAGTCCCCAAGTCTCCRCTCGAGACCATGTAGAGAGGTCGCTTGCAGTACTCTGCCACTGTTTCAGCAGTCAAAGTTTTTCCAACACCAGGCGGACCGTGTAGAACTAGGATGAGACCTTTGCCTTTACCCTTGACGATATCATCGAATCCATTACGCTTCTGAGTGTGGTTGGCAACTAGAGCTTGTACGAGATCTTTCTGTGTTTCTGGTAGGACGAGCTGCTTGAAGCAGTCAGAGTTCCAATCCGGACTGTTGAGCTTGTCGACGAAGAAGTCCAGCCATCGCTTCTCACTAAAGGAGAATCCACGAACCGTGGCGGTGGCCAATAGGCATTGATCGTCTGTTAGTGGGTCCAATTCCAACCTCTCCTCCGGGACCAGGTCGAGATCTTCATCACCATCATTCCCTTCATCATAGTCATTGTAATCATCATAATTACGTCGACGAATCTTCTGCTTCTTGCCCTCCGTCTTGAATGGACGCAGGTTGAAAGCGTAATTGGCATTCAAACGGTGAAAGGTCTTGGTATCGACCACCACGCGACCTTCAACGTTATATCTCTCGAAACCAAATTGCGTCTGCTCGAGCGCGATTCCATTGTAGCGGCAAAAGTGCATGCCGGCATATGACTCCATCCGTCTGCCACGGTCAATCAATTGACGACGAAGAGCTTCTGGATCCGCATGGTATTGAATGGGATATGCACATAGACTGTTGATGGCCACGGCGCCCGAGAATGCGGGTACCAGACGGTTCGTGGATCGGTCGCCCAAATCTTCGCCATCAAAGTCCACAAATTCAATCCACAGTTGAAGTCCTGCTGGATCACACTGGTGTGCGTAGTTGGTTAGGGTGAAAGCTCTGGGTTGGCCGAATATGGGAGCGTAGATTGTCATGCCGGGGCGGAAGATTGTCCAGAGATATTCATACGACATCAGGCCTTGCTCTTTCAAATTGTCCGACTCTTCAATCGTTTCTTTGAAGTGCTCGTCGATGAAATCGAGAAGTAAGTTTAGATGAGCAATGGCTTCTTCATCCTCGAGGTTTTCACCTGCTTGCGCCAATTCGTCTTTGTAGTGGAATAGAACTCGATAGGGAGCATCGATGGTGATGTCCTTGGTTTGGAAGGATACGCCGGGGAATTGGCTGATGGTGTCCTTGAGGATATCCTTGAGGTGTTGCGAGTTGACCTGGAATGGAGATGAGTATGGATGGGCTTAGAATTAGATGAGATGCTTACTTGGAGAGAGGTCTTCTGGACTCGGGTATTGCCGCTATCCATGTGCTTGACCAGACAGCTATCACAAATGTTAGGAGGGGAAGACTTGATGGGATAGTGTGTTGCCTTACAGCGCGAACTTGCTCCACCAATTCACTTGATCTGGAATCTCCTCATCGACAGTCTCCGCCTGATTGTAATGTCAGCATTTAGAGGTATCTTTGTTCAAGCATCCGCAACCCACATAGTAAGCTTGATTCTGCTCTGTCCACTTCTTGGTAATGTGCTTCAGTGAAGCTTGCATAGTCTCAAGCTCTTCAATCTCCTTGAGCTTCTGAGCGGTGTCATCATCGATGTTGGGGTCTTCCACGACGTTGTCGCCGTTGACTCTACCGAGCGTCTTGCGCGGTGCTCGACCACCAGTCGACTTGCGTGGCGTCGGCTTCGTGTGGGCCATTGTGTGGTGCAGATCTGGTGATGGTGGAAGTTGTGTGAGGTTGAGTGATGAGCAGAGTGAACCTCAGACAGGCATATGATCAAAAGGATGCAAGTAGAAGGTGATGTAAAGAGTAACGTACGGAAAGTGGCAGCACTTAAATAGGACGAAGCATTTGGAGGAGCGACGCATCCCAAGGCACCAGCCGGCATATGATTCGTGAAAATGAGTCAGGCTGCTCTGCATCTTACTTTGATCGTGGCAGCAACCGTCCAAAGAGCGTCCTCAATGGGCCACCGCGCATAAACGGCATGCGGTGGGAGGAATATGGTTGGTCAGGCTTTGAGCTTCCCTTATCGATAACGATGCAGAATCTAGGCAGCTGAAGGATTCCATCCCGCATGTGAAATTGTACGAAAGGCGGGCAATGGTGGTCGGATTTTGAGCGCTAGGCAGCAGGAAAAAGTGGGGCCGCCGCCGTACCTTCCAAGGTTATATTGTTCATTGTTGTTGTTGTACCTTGGCCGCCACATTAAACCTCTATATTCCAGTCATCAGCATTGCATGTACACCGTGGCCCAAAGCGTCTTACCGACCTACAACAAATCATCAACTCCAATCATTGCGAATGTAAGCGGCAATATTCGCCCAGGCAGCTATTCCATCTTCCATTCGATACCTATTCTCGTGGGGACTTTCGCAATCACCGCAGGATCGGGACGGTGGCCACGCTACTTTGCAAACCTCGACACCTTCKAGTCCATTCTTGCCATATCCTGAGCCGTGGAACGGGCATGACGTGGAAGACTGTTGGTGTGAGAAGTATTCCATGACCAACACCTCGTCCAGAGCTCGCCATTGCTGGACATGCGACTCTGCTGATTGGGGCGTAGGGAGGGCTATGCTGCAGACCGACAGCCTCCGAAGTGATCTCCGGGAAAAATCAAGATTCTCGTTAGGACGGATGATTTCAATCTTGACAATCCTGTTCAAGGTACAGCCTTCCATGACATCGTCCCTCGCTCCATTGACGTGCGCCTGCGAAGCAAGACGTTCACAGCATTACCGGTCGTATTGCCGTGATTGAACAAGTGCTGCCCTCTCCAAGTTTCTCCAACCCTTCCAGATACATTCGCTCGGCTTTCAAGCAGTCTGACAAACAATGCACGTGCCTCTGATGTACTTCTTCCCCGACCAGGGTAACGAAGCGGGCGGTCGTTGTTGTATGCACTACCAGACCAGCGAGAAATCCAAAGATGTTACATGAAATATGGCACACCAAGCAAAGAGTAGAGAGCCGCGTATGTTCAATCCAGTCCAGAACGCCTCTATCTCGGGTATCATTCTTCATACAATGCATGGCCTGCACTCATCCTCAAGCTCATGCCAACCCTACCGCCTTGAAAGCCCTCATCTTCCAACCTTCAAAGGAATTGAGCTTTGGCCTCACATCCAGATAGAAGCTCAAAGGCGTCAAAGCGTCCCTTCCCTTGTAAAAATCAATCACATAATCCACCTTCTTCCCACATCGATCCACAACCCAATCATGCCGATCGAAAGGTTCCTTGTATCCCAATAGTGAATTCCACCTCGCCCGCGGCGTAAGTTTCTTGCTATCACCCTGAAAGCTCACGAGTTTTGGCCCACCACAACGCTCACTACCCCATCCTTCCTCCCATTTCTTAACCTCTGCCCAAACTCGCTCGTTGACGGCGTTGTGAATCGGCACTACAGAAGACATGTCGGCAGGATTTGCCTCGTGACCTTTTCGCTGCATGGCAGAGAAGAATTGTGATGGTGATGGGTAGATCCAATTGCCAGATGCTGCATCATGACCTGTATCTTGTTCGCTATTCGAGGGCAACGCAGCTCGTTCGGCGGAGTTGAGAGTGGAGGGATCGGAGATTGCACGGGGAATGCTGCTGACTTCACGGTCGGTGCTGAGTCTGCTTCTTTGGTTTGGAGTTTGCAGTGTTGCTTGTTGAGGGATCGTTTGCCAGGTGTTGGTATCGAGAGACCATCGAGTTGGAAGTGCTGGATGGATTGTAGGATGTGGCGGTTGATTTGCTGAATGATTGCCGGATTTGTTGGCTTGAGCAGCTCCTTCAAGCCATTGCTGTCTTGTTCTGTGATCTACAGGACATTTTTCTGCTGCATCGGCACCATCGGGAGGCATTGTGGCGTGGAAACGAGATGGACAGCATGGGAAAGTTGAATCATCGAAGTTGAATTCACCTGACTAGCTCCCGCTTTCCCGTGTCGGAGCTGCCTCCGTGCTAAACGTCTTCTTCGTCATGCTGCCATCTCGACCTCATTTTGTCCAAGGCGTAGTCTTTCATCAAGAATCTCGTGCAGACGGACAGACTCCTTACGCCTTTCCTCTCTGTGTCGAGCGGTCTTTGCGTGCTCTCTCTCCATGAAAAGGGCGAAAAAGACGCCCATTATGACAACAAGTGAAGGGACTAGCGATTAGCTATCGAAGTGGAAGAAGGATGTCAAGACGTGGAGGTCACGGCGATAGAAAGGGTTGTTCGCACGAGAGAGACGTACCAACACAGATCCTGTAAGTAAGCAGCAAAATCATCATGAGAGACGTCTTGAGTTATTTTGGCGAGCGCTCTACTTTATGCCTGCGAGAAGTGAGGCGTGTGTGGAGAGGTTGTGAATATTGCAGTGATTATTCTGGTTTGGTGAATGTAATGTAAAGGACCGCCAGTCCAGTAAGAGCCACCTTTTGTAYACTGTTTGTTGCTGTCCACAGCGCCTTCCTCTACGACTTCTTATATCAAGAGTGGTTGAGGCAGATTCGACAGTACCCGCAAGATGCCGTACATTCCATATTCATGCAGACCTACTCGTTCCTCCATTCTGCGTTCCGTTGCTTCGTCACGGTGCCCGCATGATCACAATCCCACTGCGTCGGCGTGAGAGAAAACATTGAAGCAACGTTCTATGCGCTTTCTATATACAATCTACATCACTTCAATGCTTATTCATCTCCATTCCTGTCGCTATGCAATGGGAAGCATCCACGGTCCCTTTCCATCTCTAAACACCTCCTCATGATAGTCTTTACAGATATCCTCAAATCCCAGCCACTCTCTCGTCTCATCATTGACATTACTATGCTCCATCAACCACGCCCTTCCACCACCCTTTTGGCGTTCAGCCGGCCACCAATCCCTCTTTGAATACTCATCAGGACCAGCATGAGCAATGGTTGATACCTGCTCACTAACCCAAGCATCATAAAGCGTCCTCGCATACTTCTGCGACCAAAGCTTATCCCACCAGGTCTCCCGCAAGACTTTTCTGCCATCTCGATGTGCATTGTGATGGATAATAGCAGGTGTGTTTCCAGTCCACAGATTGGTGAAGAGTGGAACATCATCCCACTTTAGCTCTTGCGGCAGGCCCGAATCCGGTGTGGAGCTCCAGAAAGGCGGAGTGGTGGTGGAAATATCACTTGCCAACTCATCCAGACGGCTTCTCTCCCTCGCAATACCCAATTGCTGCTCTGCTCTGTGCATTTGATCTTTATTGTGAAAGGTGWGCCATTCCAGATCAGTCTCGGAGAACACTGTTGGAATGCCAATCTCCGATCCGTAGTCGAATCCCACACCAAACTCGAACCTTCCGTCGTCCTCCAATGCGGCTTTTTCGCGCACTTCTTGGATATGTTGTTCCGGCCATTGCGCTCTTGACTTTGGACTTGTATCAATCAGCCGTTCAGCCTCTCGTTGCCTATCAGACAAGCCATCGCGACGCATCGCCTCTCTCCAGATCGACTGGTCGCCGGCGATGTGACCGAAGACGTATTGATCGCTGCCAACATTCGTCTCACCGCCTTCATTCAGAAGTCTCTCCGCTTTCATGAACATTTTGCGCATGGCTCGGACAGGTCCAATGATGACACCAGAGTTGAGATATCTTGGCCGAAATTTAATATAGGGATTCTCTTCAAACCCTACATCAGTGTCGGTACTTGGGCCAAAGATATCATTCGGCAAAGATGACTGTGGCACCGCATAGCATGGAGGGTCGCCCTCTGTCCAAGGCCAGCATCTCTTCTGACTGCTAAAGACAATCTCCTGCTTCATGTCGTATTTGGAGGCGACAGCTCCGAATTCATCAGTGATACGCTTGTTGGCTTTGGCGTTCATGGCAAAGTATCGATCAAGGACAGTCTGAGGTCTCAGCTGGAACCAAATATCAAATCCATCAACGGTGAGGACCAGGTCTTCATCCTGGGAAGCATCCAAAGAGACAAGGTACTTTGCGATGCCCGATATCTTGGCCAAATGGGATCCGCCTGCAAGTAGACCATCATTCTCAAAAGTCTCATTCCAGTTCACAATCACTGGAGCAGGATACTTCAAAATCCCTGCAGTAAGCATCGTTTTGCAAAGATTGGGATCGGGACCATTGGCCGGGATGACCAGATGCAACTTTGCGGTTGATGCATCGAATATTCTCGCTTTGTAGGGCAAAAGTGACAATGCCCCTTGAGGCTGATACTCGAATGTCAGTCGGAGGAATGAGGCGTCTGTGGTGATATCTCACTTACAAGAGCAATGTACAAGATAAAGACCACCCAAAAGAGTACCAGTAAAAAGAGGATTCGGCTCTGATGTCTGAATATGGCCCGAATCCCTATCCTGGATCCATCACCCTGATGAAGTTTGTTTGTCATTCCCGGCATGGGCGAAGAGAGCCTGAGCAACGCCATGAAGTGATCCTTGTGGTTTGTGCGCCTTGATGGTAGGAGAATATGTCACAAGCTGTGCGCAATCATGTCGATAGATCCGGCCAGTCTTCTCAATCATAGGGAAACCTGAGATAATACGTGAGACCGTGACACGCGGCTGTGTAGGAGTTCTTGTGTCATATGGGTAGGGTACAGGGACCGCCCTGCGAAATGGAAAATGTCAACCCTTCATCCCCATTCGTCATGTTGCGCACCGAGACTGCTACCAAGCCTGCGTCCTGGCGCGCCGAGTATCCGGAACTTGATGATGAGGGATGAAAGTTTTTGGCCTCCGCGGCCGTTGTGCAAATTATGTGCCGACTTCCTTTATAGACTGGCGCCACAAGTTTGGAATGACATGTCCCGCAGCCTGCAGGAGAGTTTGGTACGATATCCATCTTGTGTCGGGTGAACCTTATGACGATCTCATCCCGATCACGACTTCACTACAAGTGTAATACCTAATCGTATCGCACCCGAATTGCCTTGATGTTAGCTTCTTATACACATCTACTCCGTTTGTACATGGATGAAGCCTGCAGACTTCTCTCCAATCATCAGCGAAGCCAAGTCGCTCATCATTTTGCCAAGACGGCGTTAGTGCGCGTGTGGCTTATGCTGCGGCTCTTCGCCACAGGAATCATTACCGCCTGAGGAATAGTCCGATATCCTTCATCTCTTTACCATAATGCCCCAGCTTAGCTTAGCCTAGGGTAGGGTTTACTTTGACTCGTGTACACTCTCCGCTCAACGCTGATGTTTGCTTGGCACAACCACATCTTCGACCACTGCCAGATGAAGACGGCTTTGCGTGTCAGATCAGCGGAGAGGTATTTTGGGTAGGATGTTGTACGGACAAGATTTCTCACGACTTCACAACTTGTTATCCTTGGTGAAGTGAATGCAGGCAGGTGAGGCCTTTCAATTTGCAGGAATATCGTCTCCCACTATAAAAGAGTGCAGACAAGTATCACAACACACAAGCAGCCTCTCAATTACTACTTCTGCTCGCTGATTCCACACTTTGCCAAGCAGCTATCAACAGCCTGAACCAAGYTTGTAGGCAATGAAAGTCTAAACTCTTCAATATTGCTCCCGTCAATCTGGTTGATTTCCCCCAAGGTGGTCTTCACAATCTCATCATCAAGAAAGAAGTAGTTCTGCGCGACCTGAGAGGTGCCAGGATCACTATCGCTGAATGTCGCAATGAATGTGGCAGGTTCACATTGGTGGTTGAACTGGTAGTGAATCGATCCCAAAGGGAAAACTGTGGCCTGGAAAGGACCGAGCTCCTGCACAGTAATCTGTGTCGTTGGTCGTCCTTCGGTAGCATTGGCCAAGAAGCCATTCTCAAGCATGAAGCCCGTCTGGAATTTGCCCTGCACGACGGTGAAGAATTCCGTAGCTCTGGGATGTGTGTGGGGAGAGTTCATCGAGCAAGGGTTCAAGAAACCGACAGCAGAGGCAATGCCTTGATCTGCCAATATCGGAAAGTTGTTCTGATTCGCGAGGACGAAGCGGCCGCCCTTTCCGAGTGGAGTGGCACGGGCGCCATAGTCGAACACGAGGCGTGAACGGAGGGTTTCATCGTCGAGAAGTTGTTTGCCATCACCGTCCACAGTGAGGAGAGCATTGAAGCGGCCGACATTCGTGACTGCGCCGAGTGCTTCTTTGGCGAGAGCGACGTTTGCGGCTGACGCAGCAGCAGCGGCGCTTGAAGCAACGGAAGAGGCCGTCGAAGGTTGGTAAATGGTCGGTACTGCGAAATCTGCGGCTGTGGATGAAGTGCTTGTTGTATCATGAGGCAGTGCAGAGATGCTGGCCGCAGCGCCGAGGCCTGCAACAATGTATCGAGCGATCGCCATGGTGTTTGTTGAATATGTTGGGTTCGTGCTGGAAGGAGAGAAGGTATCCTTATACCTACTTGAATTTTGGCAAATACTGTCATGCAATTAAGGGGCTGGTGTGGACCTGGCCCGTCTCAAAGGATGCCGCAGGGCAAGACATGCGGTACCTGGAATAAGCCACATGCACAAGGCCTGCAGGGGATGCCTCGTCGCTGTCACACTGCGCCAATCCGCGGCCACTCAAGTTCGATCTATTTTGCTTGGCAGTGGTGTTACCTGCATGGATGCGTAAACACAGTACGTACCTATTGGCCTGGGGATGAATCAGCTTGGCACGCTATATAGGCAATCTCCCAGAGGTTCCTCATCTGTATAGAATACAAACCACTTGCGATATTCCGCATGGAGAGCGCTTGAATTGGTGAGTCGGTACGACTTGTGACTTGTCCGTCAAAGTACAAGGTGCCTAACCATCAACTTGTGCCATCCGTGACGGTGACCCTTGCTCGCCAAGGTTTGCTTAGGATGGAACAGCGTGCCCAAGGATTGTAAGATGATGCCTGTAAAGCCACGCACGCTTCCAACCAGCCATCCCCGCCCGCTACTCAGTAAGCCGCTCTTTCTCACCACTGTCAGTGTCGCCAGCCTTCATGCTCGCTACGACAGCCTTTGCCCTTCTTCTTGCATCGACATACATCATAAACTCTGAATATGTCCTCGGCATAACCTTGATGTCTCTATCCACAGTAAAGGTATAGTTGAACTGTCCAGTGGGCTTCGCTTGGCCGTGCTCTACATCTCGAACCTTGGTGTCAACGCGTACCTGGACGCGGGTCTGTGGTGGTGTTCCAGAATTATCACCCTCGCCTGCGACGACTGGTGGATCGGTGTAAACGACTGTGGCGGTTAGATATAGAACGCTACCAACAGGCACGGGATTTTGGAACGTCGATGGATCAAGCGATACCTATGGTGAGGTAATGTCAGTGATTGATGCCATGACGGAGTTGATCAATTGAACGTACAAATGTGGGTCGAACGTGGGCGAAACTGGCTGCGCAACAGAATGCAAGTTCAAAGGTACTCTTGAGCAGAAAGCCGCCAAAGATCATGAATTGATGCCTGTTCCGATACTGAGGCTGCATAATGCTCGCCGTGCTGAGCCTCGTAGCATCCATGAACTGGACATTCGACGGTTGACGAAGAGGATCATTTGGGTCATGCCATTTCAACTGCCTTTGCCAGATGGCATGGATCAGGTCACTTTCCTCATCGTTGGGCGTCTGCTTTAGTAGTGATCGCTGGAGCAGCTCTTTCCGGTGCTTGCTATTCTCCTCGCCTTGGGCGTAGAGTTGCCTCTCCTCCTCTGTCTCGGGACGGATGGCAGGGATATTGACAGGCTTCTTCGTTCCCGGGTCTAGAGAGACCATGGTGAACTGGCACGTAAGGAGTACATCCTCAGCTCTCGCGGTCTCACCTTCCTTTGGTGCTTTGGCAACCTGGAGTGTGATTTCCATACTGCTTCTACCTGCCGCATATGTCTAGAAGTGAAGCGTGAAAGTCAGTATTGTGTGCATCAAGTGTCGACGGCAGGAGCTGATTTTGATGTCTGGAACATCCCTCCATCCGCTTACCACTTTGCCGCTATACTCCAAATCACAAATCTCCGTGAGCGGATTGTTGATCGTGATTCGGTCACATGCAGCCGTCACAGTGGAAACTCCTTCGCCGGTATGATTGTACGCAACAACACCAGAAAGAGCATCAAGATCCATGAGAAGAGCTCCAATCCGAATATGACCAGAAGCATTCATATATGTGTCCAGCAGCCATGGGTCTTTGCCTAGGGGCAAGATCTACACTTACTGCATCAGTCAGTGAGCCGATGTAAGGCCACACTTACAGTGTCTCGCTGTAGAAGAGTGATCTGCAAGATCCGAGGAGTGTTCAAGTACAGTGAACCGCTTCTTCTCAAGACGACTTCAGTCCGATATGTGAACCTACCACGCTGTGATAAGATTGAGACATGGTTCGCGGTGACAGATCACGATTCGCTGGAGTCTCTGACTTTCCAGACGGCTCTTGCGTATTGCCATCTGCCTGCTGTTTCCGGAATGCCTCCACCCAGGGCATTTGCACGCGTTCTTCTGTGAGCGCCCTGAAAACGCCATCGGTCCGGTCAGGTGCTGAGACTGAAAACGCTCTTCGAACCTGGGAAGGCCCAATCTGACGAATGCGAAGAATGTTTCGCAGAGCCACACGTTTGGATGCCATGGTGTGATGATTGTGTTGTTGTTCGGGATGAAAGATTACGAGATGTTTCCATCGCGCCAGGATGCAGAAGCCAAGCCGGTCTTGCCCGAGCTTCCCAGCCTCCCGTCTTCCATCGCCGGCGAAGCAACAGAAGGTGCAAGAAGCACGAGTCGCGGCAGTGACTACGGGCCAGCCACTGCATCTCGCAGACGGCAGCTTGCTTTGTGAAGCGTAGGTACACCACCATCTCGTCAAGGTACTTCTGTCTCACGTTGCGTTCGCCTCGCGGTATCGGCAGGTCTCGGTCGCACCGCATCTGCCGGCCACTCTATAACCAGGCTTCCGTGCTTCGGAATAAGAAAGACGGCATGAAGAACTTCGCCCCACTGCTGTCACTGCCAGCATGTCTCATAACCCTCACGTATAGTTATCAAGTAGAGGCGAACGAGAAACCATGGCCGTACAACCTTCCGAGGTCAGTCAAGTACTACCCGGAACACGAAGGCCATATCAGGCGTGGCCTCGAGGCGCAAGAAAGACTAGCATGGGAGGACCCCATTGCGATGAAAAAGATGGGCGATGATGCAGGGGAGAAGTTTCTCCTGGACTATTGGCAGTGGGAGGTGGAGGAGCAGGGCTCTCTTAGTCTTGGTAACTTTGGAGCTGGTACCAAGGAATACTCCAATGCTTCCCTTGTTGCAGCTGTGATGCCGCATTGCAACAACAATGGACGGAAACTGGGCCTATTCAAACGAAACATCTTCGCAAGAGAATTTGAATGTCCTTCCGGGACGAAGTCTTGCAACTCAATTGGATCCGACCTTTGCTGCAACACATCAGATTCCTGCGTAGAGACGTCCGAAGGAATTGGCTGTTGTCCTAGCGGAGCCGCGTGTGGAACTGATGTCGCAGGCTGCGATACAAGTGCGGGCTTTAGCAGCTGTCCCCAGGGAGTTGGATGCTGCATTCCTGGAGCAGAGTGTTTAGACAATGGCTGCGTGTTCTACGGGACGGACACTATCACGGCTACTTCTGTTATGACCACGACTGCTCGACCACAGTCATCCTCCCGAGTGGATCCCTCGACAACGGTATCTGTTTACACGACAACAGCGACTGTAACCATCAGCGGCGAAGACAGAACAGAAACTACCACTTTTGTCTCTCCGACGACCGTGATCATAGAGCCGTCTTCGTCTAGCTGTACATCAGACTTTTTCTCCTGCGCATCCTCTCTTGGCGGTGGTTGCTGTAGAGATGGCCAAGTCTGTGCGGATGATGGTTGTATGGATAATACATCATCTCCAACATCTGCCACTGCAGCGCCTCCGGTCAGGCCAACCACTTCTGGCACCTCAGTTTCCGCAGCAGAAAGCCCTATCACGACGATCATCGGTTCCTCCCAAACGCCAGCTGGATGCCCAACTGGATTTTACATGTGCTCTGCCGTTTATCTCGGTGGCTGTTGCAGAGTGGACCGTAACTGCGACACTACCTCGTGCCCTGCATCCGAAACTACTGCAGTCGCGACAGGCCCTGGCGTTTCTGTAGGCGTAGCAGGGCGACCATCTGGTGGTTCATGTGCCAGTGGTTGGTCATCTTGCGCTGCAAGTGAAGGAGGAGGATGCTGTCCTACCGGCTACTCTTGTGGGGCGTCATGTATAGCGACTGTCAGCGGAGCGGGTGATACTAGCAAGATTGCCCCAGAGTCTGCTGCCACGCTGGAGAAAGTTTTGAAAGTCGGATTTCTCAGCATGGCCATCTTGGCTGGTTTTGGAATGGTGTTGCTGTGAGACTTTGCGAGTCTACGACTTGATACCCGAGAATGATGTAGAGAAGGTTGTTATGTTGATATGTAGTGACTTGGAACGAGATGTATGACCCGGTCCATGCTGTGGCGGTGATTCATCAGACGTATGCATCGCGGCCATTATGTGCGCCCGAAGAATGGTCGTCCAAAGAGTACTTAAGGTACTTCCCTTTCAACATACTTGCGGCATTTGAGGCATTTTGTGCAGTCTGCTTCTATCGCAGCCCCGATTGACAATCTCCTTAATAAAGCACCATTCTTCCTACCCTCCAGACTGACTCGACAACCCCGCCTTCCACATGATTTTCCAACAGCATCGTTGTCTTTGAAATGGATTCTACAGTCTATCACATGCTTAGGATTGGTATGTGGCTGATTGCTAGCGCAAAGTTAGGTGGGGCGGCGAAAGTCAATGCGGGTTTCACTTGGGGCAGTTGACCTCCACAGGTCATAGCAGCGATACCACCACCTTCATGCACTGCGTGCGTTTTCGTTTGCGTGAACCGAACTAACAGCAACAAGTGAACAGCTCCACATGGAGCAACGTCGCCTCCGCCGCCTCCTCCCCGCGCCCTGAAGACTGTGGTCTTCCAACATCAGGCATGCCCTTCTCCCATGAGCTCTCTACGGAGAACAAGAAGCTCATCAAGGCCTATCGCACCGAGTGCGCCGGGTTCTCTGCCTCCATCCTGGCGACTGGAGTCTCTTACCCCTTGGATTTCTTGAAATCGCGCATGCAAAGCTTCGGCTCGCCCTTCTCCGCCACCGTGAAAGATGCGTACAAGCAGGAGGGTCTGCGGGCGTTTTGGCGTGGAGTGGGCTCACCGCTTATATCAGTGGCCATTGTTCGAACATCGGCGCTGTCCATATATCAAAAAGGCAAATACTTTACGGATCGACAAATCACAGAGTTGACGGGTAAAAGCCCGCTCGCCATGGCCAACGCCCCTGGAAGTTATCCAAATCTCTACACTGTAGCTTGTTTTGCACCGGCTGGAGCAGTTTCTGGAGCGGTCGTCACTTTCGCTTCATGTCCGTTTGAGCTCGTCAAGCTTAACGAGCAGCTGGCTGGGAAACTGGCACGGGACAACGCTGTCAAAGGTGACAGCGCGGCGCAGACAAGACAGAATGCAAAGACAGGGGGAGCATTGCGGAAAATGTGGAGTCTCTGCCGTAATGGTGGCCCATCACGCTTATACGCAGGATTCCGTCTACACCTCCTTCGGGATCTCATCGGCACCAGCATCTACTTTACCACCTATGAGACTGTCAAGCAGACAATGGGCAATGCTCGTGGAAACAGCCCAACAAGCCCTGCGGCTGTGATTCTTGCCGGTGGCTCGTGTGGTATCATGAGCTGGGCAGTCGTATGTTGTATCTGGGTGTTGTTCACATGGTGGAATGCCGCTAATTCGTCTCGTAACACAGGTCTACCCTATTGATGTGTGCAAGACGGTCTATCAGAAAGCACTCCTCTCTGCCGGTCCCACAGAGAAGGTGATACGGCCACGAATCAAGTACTTTGGAAAGGGCGCTTACCGCGGGCTCGGTGTATCATGTCTACGGAGCTGCATGATAAACGCAATCTTTTTTTCCACCTTTGAAATTTTGAAAAAGGCCATCAACTCGATTGAGATGGATTGACCGGGCTGCACACTTGCACACATACACACCACGTCGACTTTCACATACGGAGCGACTTTGTTAAACTAGCGCGGAGTTTTTGGAGGGAATGGATCCACCATAGCAGGGAGCATTGGAGTTTGTTCCAATACCATACCAAGGGGAGAACAGTGGTGGTGCTTGGCTACCTTATCCAATGGAGGAATGTTATCAGCCAAAGAGAGCATGACGAATGCTCAATTGATTGAAGGGCGTCGCAAATGGCATGGAGTTCATTTCGATCCTTGTTGCGAGGCGTTAGAGGGCGGACTTGAGCACAGCCGCTCCAAGCGCTGGCACGGCGTGTTCAAAACCACGACCCATGCACACACATTGCGGGAACGAGCCAACGAGACTGTTCCTTGAGACGAGCAGTCGCGGGCTAGCATCTCGCTTCTATATACTTTAGCGACCGAATCTATAACTTACTACAGCTTCTTCCCCATTCTTTCACTTGGTACATCTCGTAAAGACGTTCGGTCGCTGTGCCAAGGCATGCTTTCTCCAACGTACGACGGGAACCGGTTTCTTCACGGACCACGCTTCATGCCAAAGCGACCCACTGCTCATCACACACCATTCAGCTCCATATTGTGCAAGGCGACGCGAGAGGTGAGAGATCCCTGCCTCGCCATGCATGTATACTGTAGATTGTGGGTAGCCTCGCTCGCACTTGGAGGGGTTCGCAGATGCTCGTGGACCCCGTTGCCCCGTGCGACGCGGACGATCTTGTGAAACAAATCGCCCAGCCTCGCTCGGCATCATCATCGACGCGAGGAACGGCTGGGAGGCTACGATTCGTCGATCCACTCGAAATGGTTGTCGCGCAATGTCACCACACAACGTAAGCGCAGGGCCAGGCCTTGTGATGAGATTTTGACGTTCCCGTCCGTTTCGTTGCTGCAAGACCCGTAAGTAAGTTGGTGACTCGAGAGCAAGGTTTTGTTGACGACGGACGACGCGAAAGCTTTCCCACCCTCCATCCCGTCCCTCCACAAACTCCACTTTCACAAGCCTGGCCGCGTGCGGATGACCCAACCCAACCCTGCATCTGTACCCAAAACATTCACCTTGCACCTGCCTGCCATTCTGTTTATCTTCTGATTACCGGGAAGGAGCATTCGGAAGCCCATCTCTGCCTCTGCCTTCCATTCCTCGACTCGCACAGAAGAGTTGCGGAGCGTACAACATCCCGGAGGAACCTAGTGGAACATCTCATGCGAATGCGCGAGTTACGAGCACGAACCTCGAGATGGTGTTGTAGGACAACCGACGTATCGCATCTCCCTCCCAACTCCCCGCCGACTTTCCCATGAGACATCCGACGCAGCTCGGGAGCCTGCTGGCTCTACTTTTCTTCTTGCTTTCCCCCGGAACAGCCTCAGACCCGCTGCCATACAATCCCACACGAATACTTCTCGCCCCGAACTCGACTTTTGCATACTTCTTTGAGCCTTCAAATACTCAGGGCGTGCTCCGTGTGGTGGATATACAGGATGCWTTTGCGACAAGTACACTCTCCCCGACGACGCTTATGGGGAGTCTGCCTTTTCTCAACGACAATGAGCTGGTGGCATACATCCCAATTGTTGAGCCTTCAGGGGACATCACAGTTGTTGCTGGAAGTTGTAGTGCTGGACCGGGGGAGACAAAGCTATGGAGATTCCAACCAGACTTGGGGAAGGGTGACGGGAGCGGGACATGGACCTCACAGCAAACATTGGCAGATGGATCAGAAGCAAGTGGTCTACCGGGAATGACTTTTCTRGGCAACGCAGTCGGATTCGCTGCTGATGTGAGTGGCAATGCAATGGATCTGGATTACTACATCTTCGGAGGGATGTGTCCCTTCCCCAACAGCACTGCGGAGACATGGGTCAGCGCTGCGAACTACTCCAACGCGATGCTCTCGTTTTCACCCAGTGGAAATGGATACGACATTGCCGCAGCTGCCAATCGGGCTCCACCCGTTGCTGAGGCTGGATTCACCATGACAGGACTCACACCAACATTCTCGGTTCGATCAAATAGTGGCAATCAGACTCAGCAACAAGACTTTTTGTTACTTGGAGGGCATACTCAGGAAGCGTTTCTCAACATGTCACAGATTGCACTCTACTCTCTACCGCAGGAGAGCTGGACCTTTCTCTCGGTACAGCAGCCTTCCAGCACCAAGACTGATCTGGCTCTCGCTGCTCGACAAGCTGCAACTGAAATCGAACCAAGATCTGGACATACTGCAGTACTCTCCGAGGACGGCACGCAGGTTGTAGTTTTTGGTGGATGGGTTGGAGACGTTTCGACCCCAGCCATGCCACAATTGGCAATCCTCCACCTTGGATCCGAGTACGGCGGAGATGAAGCTGAAGCATGGTCGTGGACTATTCCGAGTCAGGAAAGCACTGGACTGGTTGCAGGCGAGGGCATATATGGTCATGGTGCAACTCTTCTTCCTGGAGGCGTTATGATGGTTGCAGGAGGGTACTCGATTCCAGCCTCTCCTTCGAAAAGGAACGTTAAAAGAGCTGCTTCGGAAAAAACTTATCTTTTCAACGCCACAACCGGTGCTTCGATCGACACATACAATCCACCTGCCTACGTGGCACAGTTCCCATCCGCCAAAGCCTCATCGGATGGACCTTTGAGGAAGACGTCACAGCAGACTGGACTCGGAGTTGGTCTTGGAGTTGGAGTTGTTGCATTGCTGGTGCTGATTTTCTTCTACTTTTGGTACGCACGACGTTTACGCCGCGCACGTGAGGAGCGTGAGCGAGAGTTGGTACATTCTTCCGATGGCTCTTATGCAGCACATGAGGAGCCATTTTTGAGCAGCGGCGGAATCGATGGAAGAGGCGGTGATCCATGGGCGATGAAAGACAATCCCAACAATCCCGATGGAATGGCACAGGCTGGATCAACAGGTCTGTTCGTCAACGCACTGAGTCCGACTAGAGGGCTTCGAAAGGGACTGATATCAAAACCTTACAATTACGAACAAGCACCGAGGTATGATGAGAATAGAGCGAATCGTGGCAGCGGTGGCATCCATCCTATTTTGGAACGACAGGACGAAGATGAGACTTCTCAGGATGGCCACGTATTTGCGACACCTCTACCTATTCAGAAGATCTATCAGGCAGAAAGGGGCTATGAGACCAGCCCAGAGAGGAGACAGAGGGAGTTGGAGGCTATACTGAGCCGTAATAACCCCAAGAATCCTTTCGCAGATCCACCACCCAATCCTTTGGGAAGCCATCCGGTGTCTCCAGTAAGCCCAATACGAGAGGATTTCTTTCAACGCGGAACAAATACAAACAGACAGGGACATTCCCCTACCCGCCGTCCGCTGACAGCAGAGACCGAGGGCTCGATGAACTGGACAATCGTTGATGGCCTCGCTCAACCTTCAGAAAACTCGGGGTCAACAGGGCGCTGTTCTCCGACAAGAACTGATGATCGTACATCCTCTACATTGAGTGACCAGTCGCAGCGGTCTGTGGTCTCGGCAAGCTCAATAACCAGAACAATGTCAACACACACTGGCAAGCTTCTCGTAGCAGCTCTGGCCAAAGACAGCGCAATAGGATCTTTCGGTGAACCGTCTCCGAGGGAGGAAAGAGGCAACGCCATGTCTAGTAGCGGCAGACGATCACCATTCCGCTTATACAATACAGCGCGAATGCCTACGTACGATGTCAAGGGCTCGATGACCAACCCAGCACAATCCACCGATTCCTTCAAGACAGCAAGATCGTCTTTTGTCCATCTTCAAAGTGAAGGCGAGGCCTTGCTTGGAGGACGTCCGAAAGATGACCCCTATCACCGGGCGCTCGCCGCTCATCAATCCACTTCTGGTGGAGGAATGTCACATCTCTACAATGATGATCCGTCATCCACGCCTACCAGAAGAAAGCAGGGTTGGGTTGGCTCGCTCAAACGCGCTTTGACAGCCATGTCCACAGACAGAACTTTCAGCTTCACCGCTGGTAGCGAAGTGCTCACAGCCCTCGCAGACGACTCGCGTACCTCGTCTTCAAGTCCTACCCGTCCCCATCACCCCACAGAAGACTATGGAGTGGCTCCCCGTCGCACAGTTTCCGATGGCGGTGCACTCCTCAAGCAGAAGAGGGGTGAGAAGGATTGGAGTGAGGACAACAAGACTGCTTACCGACGCTATCGCGACGACCCGGATCCCGGAGATTGGGGCGAACCTTCGCAGAGCGCAGACTTCGATGGGGATAATGAGTGGGATGTGGAAGGCGAGGGAGGGAAGCGCGATGTTCAGGTCATGTTCACAGTCCCCAAAGCAAGACTGCGGGTCGTGAATGCCGATGTTGAGCGGGCGAGTCTGAGGAGTGCGAGTGATGGGGCCATTAGTCGGAGTGAGAGTATCCAGAGTCTCAGGGCGAAAAGAAGCCGGACTGAATGGGATAGAGTGGTACCGCTGCCGAAGACGGCTGAGGAGCACGCGGATGACATTTTTGGGACCTCCGGGAAGAAGAAGGCGGTTTGAAGGTGTAGATGATTTCGAATGCTGTACCTTTTGGGATTGGAGCAATGCAATGGACATGCTGGGATGGACGATATGGCACATGATTGAAGTTAGCGAGAGGTGTTGGGCGGCGTTTTGATTTAAATGCAGCGAAGATGATCTTGGACTTCATAGGGTATGTATGTATGGATGCATAGAACTGGCACAGTATTGCGAGGCATTGAAATTTTCAAGATCACATTGAAATGATGGATCATGACCGCTTTCCCCCACGCCCTACAAGCTTTTCATGTGTAGAGTTGAAAATGGTTTGTCGATGAAGTCGTCCTCTCCTGCTGTTTCGGGATGAAAATCGCGAGATTTAGGGCTGAGACAGGGATCAAACCTTATCTCACTAGTCTTTTTCCGAGCATTGACGTCTTGTCTTCCAGATTGTTGTCAACCTCTGCTCTCTACACATGCGTCACTCAATCTTTATGTTCGTTCCATGAATATATTTGTGAACCTCAATATGGAATCCCCGGATCATACACTCGTCGAAGCAACGAACCGGCACGTGTTTAATCTCCTAACCTGACGACGGCAGAGATAAGGGCGTGCGATAGGGTCGTACACAGCGGAGCGGAACTTCATCGGTCGCTATGCGCAGTGGGTATGTGCGTCTAGGGTGGCCTCGCTCTGGCGAACCATTGTAGGAGCTCCGGCCAGTGCAAACGAAGCATTTTGTAATAAGAGCTCCGGGGACCGGGGACTGTGTTTGCTTCTAAGAAGGTTCTCGCTGTCGGCCACTTTTATGCTCACTAGCACCTCTGGTTTCATTGTTTTATCAAGTTCAAATTTCCCTTACAAGTTCGCAATTCTTTTGCACGCAACTTGAAGATTCGCCGTTTTCACATCATCTCTTTTATCAAACGCCATCATGGCATCTGCAAGCAAAACCCTCTCCCGCGCTCTGCGCTCCGCTTCAGCAGCTCAGACCTTCAAGACCACAGCTTCCCGCCGCGTAGCGATCCAACGACTTCAGCGCTCAGCACACCGTGGCTATTCGAGCGAAGCACCAAAACCCTCCAACGGAGGTAGCAACACATACATCTGGGGTGGATTAGCAGCTGGAATCGCGATTGGAACTGGAGCATACTTCGCCCTCGGCGATTCTCAACCGCCCAAGCCCTTTTCTCCACAAGCCTCCGACTACCAGGCCGTTTACGATGCCGTCGCCAAGAAGATCATCGACGAGTCCGACTACGACGACGGCTCCTACGGCCCAGTCCTTCTCCGCCTAGGATGGCACGCCTCTGGGACATACGACGCCGAGACAAAGACCGGAGGTAGCAACGGTGCCACCATGCGTTTCGACCCCGAAGCAGACCACGGTGCCAACGCAGGACTAGCAGCAGCCCGTAACTTCCTCCTACCAATCAAAGAGCAATTCCCCTGGATCACCTTCAGCGACTTGTGGACTCTCGCCGCCGCCTGTGCAATCCAAGAGATGGGCGGCCCAATTATCCCATGGCGTCCCGGCCGTACCGACAGAGACGTCTCCTTCTGCACACCCGACGGCCGTCTCCCAGACGCCACCAAAGAGCAGAACCACCTCAGAGCCATCTTCGGTCGCATGGGCTTCAACGACCGGGAGATTGTCGCTCTCAGCGGCGCCCACGCCGTAGGTCGTTGTCACCCGGACCGCTCCGGTTTCGACGGACCGTGGACTTTCTCGCCCATCACTCTCACAAACGATTTCTACAAATTGCTGCTGGAGGAGAAGTGGCAGTGGAAGAAGTGGGGCGGTCCAAAGCAATACGAGGACAAGAAGACCAAGACGCTGATGATGCTGCCTACGGACATGTCACTTATCAAGGATAAGAGTTTTATGCGATATGTCGAGGAGTATGCGAAGGATCAGGAGGTGTTCTTCAAGGACTTTTCGGATGTTGTGGTGAAGTTGTTTGAGTTGGGTGTCCCTTTTACCACGCAGGAGAGGATTCAGTTCAAGAAGACTGAGTAGGTGGATATGTGATGGTGTTGGGATTGTTTTGGATGCCTTGTAAAGCTTCTGCATTGAGCAAGTTGCATGGCGTTGGGAGATGGAGTTGGGGCATTAGCGATTCCTAAGGTAGCTTGAGTCTTGGGTCTCAGTGTATATTAAATGTTGCATTGCGTAGTAGCGGTCGCCAGTCACTGTGCTGAGTGAAATTGTGCTACACAACTCTCACTTGCTCATGTCGACGAGCATGTTTGCCGCTAGTTCTCCATTTCCTCACTTAGTCCCTGTTCCCCATACTCTCGCACCAGTACCCCGTGTCGATCTCATGAATCAAGCAAAGCATCCACGTCACCATCCTAGACGCTCACCCTTACTCCGTGCTGGCCTTAGTAACTCGTCGTGGTATCAATCGCAACAAGTGACGCGGTGGCAGCGCTTCTGCTCGTCTTGAACTCAGTCATAAAACTCTCCTCAAGTACAAGTGCAAGCCCGGTCTCACACCAATCTCAATCTTTCCAAGTATCTCTTCAACCGAATTCCCTTTCGCGCCTCCATTGTCCCAGCTCATCCTGCACCCAATCATGCAGCTCCTCAAGAGTACATCCTTGACCAAATATGCCCTTTCTCTCGCCGCACATGTTGTAGCATGGACTCATGCTGCCACCGATCTTGACGAGAATCTCAGCGGCAGGCGCATACTGCACAGCAACCATCTGACGCCAAGAGCCGCCTTCGTGTGGCCTCTTCGATGTCAGCATGGATCCTGCGAAACGGGGCACACAGAGAAACTGGGTCTGCGGCTTGAAGGATAGACKAAGAAATGCGCTTTCTTTCACAATACGCGTGGAATTGGCTTGTGTGCCAGTCCATGCGTCAATGGAGCCTCGCACTGGTCGTGAACGAGGTGGTCGTCTGTAGTATCCGGAGATGCCGTCCTGTTCCTCCTGACCTGGAAGCAGCATGGTGGCGTACAGGAGGGGATTGAGCTTCGCTGGCGGAGGATTGGTAGATGTCTCCAGCTCAGGCTCGAGAAACATGGCCCGTCTCAACTTGACGGAATTCTTGATGCTGTCGCAGAAGGTCTTGTTTGTGGCCTGCATTGTGAAGAGAGTGCGCATGGGAAGTCCGAATAGAATCATCTCCATAAGCTCGACTGTATCGAAGACCTGTTCTGCGGCGTTTCGCTCCATTTCGATGTTTCCTGCCTCGACTCTGTAATATGTTAGTGTGCAACGGCTGGTAATATATCACGGTGAATGTGGTCAAACTCGCCCTTCGCTCGTTGGTATTTTTGGAATGCTCTCCGGTCTGGAGATCGATTGTTGACGAAAATAGGCGGCCATCTTGAATGCTTTGAGGCGCAAGCRGGCTATTCCAAGTATTTGGTGATACCGAGAAGGACGCGATGATCGATGCTGGAGGATTATTGTTGTTTTGAACAAAAGCAGGAGGAAGGTTGTTAATGAAGAAGAAGAACGTTGCGGGCTGAAGCAAAGAAGCAAGCGGACGTAATACCAAGCAAAGCTCGGCTTGGATCTGCTTGGTCCTGACTTCGAGACCCAATTGACAGGCAGAGGAACACTCTACTCAGTATCGGTAGGATCCCAGTCCGTCACCAAGTATTCATCCAACCCATCCATCGTCTTCAAATCTCCTTCCTCAATCTCGAAACCACCCACATCTGCATTGGCCGCAATCCTGTCTTTGTTCACACTCTTCGGCAATGGCACATATCCCTTTTGGAGAGACCATCGCACCAGAAGTTGTGCAGGTGTACATCCATACTTTTTACTCAACTCCACAACCACGGGATGCTTCATCCTCAGCGCTCTTGCCAGCGGCGCGTATGCTTCCACCACAATACCTTTCGATTGACACAATGCTGCAAGAGAAGAGCGAGTGTTGAAAGGGTGAACCTCAATCTGGTTCACCGCGGGTGGGACGCGAAGATTGGGAAGAGAGAGAAGCTCATTGATCTGTACTTACATCATCAGCGCAGCGCGACGAGCGTCCGGAGAAAGACTACGCACATGCTTCTCTCCATAATTGCTCACGCCTCCCGAACGTACTTCTCCTGCTTCAATCGCATCTTCTAGGGCCCTCCAGCTGTCTGCTCGAGCCTGTGGACCACCATACGGACTATGAAGGAGAAAGAGATCGATGTATCCCAAGCCGCACTCTTTCACACTCTGCGTGATGCTTTTCCTCGCTCGTGCATAATCGGAATTGCTCGCCAACTTGGAAGTGTAGTGGATATCCTCTCGCTTCACATTGGGATTTTTCTTCAAGAATGACAAGATAGAATTGCCAACCTCACGCTCGTTGTGGTACATTTGAGCGGAATCTACAGCTCGATATCCGGCATCCAGAGCGTGATCAACGGCTTTGGAGGCTTCATTGCCTGACATGAGGTATACCCCCAGATGAAGGYGAGGCATTGAGAGGCCATTGTTCAGGGCGATGCGGGCGGTCAAGGGCGATTCGAGGGCCATTTTGAAAAGTGACATGAAAGATGTGATGGCAAGTAATGCTGGGAATAGACATGGTGGAAGCACGGCGAGGCGATGACCATGATGTTGCCCGCCCGCCCCATAGGAGATAAGCCCTTGGCCGTGACGTCGGATTGTCTATCGGCGTCAATCTCCGGGCCTCTTGGGCCTTGGCCTTGGCCGGCCTTTGCCATGGTGACACACGATTTGTCTGCAACGCTCCCAACTCGATCGGCACAATCGACATCGCAAAACGCCTCCTGAGTCCTCGGTGGTCTCCATTTCATGCACAGCGGGCCAGAAGGAGCAAGCACGACGTGACAACTGACCTTAGTGCCTCGCCTGGGTGCCCACCAGGCTGGAAGCGATCAATAGGCGACCGAGCAAGCGAGCTCCGCTCTCAGCTTGTCCCGTCGCGTCGCATGCCACCAAGAGTGGATGGAAGACGAGCGTGTAAGACCATGGCGTTTTCCCCGTGTCCTGTGTTGAGGCGTCGCTTTGCGTTTTCTTCGTTAATATCATCACGTCTTCCTCCACCTCCCGCATCAGACTAGGTAACAACATCGGAACATCTATGACGCTGCTGCTAGGATAGCCCCGCCTATCCTGCTCAAGATGGACCCGAACAACCATCACGGCCCCCCGCCCTACTCGTATGGTGGTTACGGCGCATATCCTCACAGCCATGCGCCTCAGGACAACAATGCGAATGCAAACGTTCATGTACACGTCCATTCCGGCTCGTCGGACTACTTTTCCCACGTAAACAATATACAGCTCCCCAGCTTGAATGACGCCATGGACAACCACCACCACAACCCAGCAGCAGCAGCAGGACCACCACCTCCACCCTCAGGAATTGGCTCCCTCAACTTTGACATTCTCGCCTGGCACCCCGCATATCAATCCTGCCAACGTTTCTTTCTCGACCACGCCCAACACGAAGCAGCTACACAGGCCGTTTGTGCACTGCTCAACATCCGTCTTCCCTTCCAATGGCAGCCCAACCCAATCACCTCCTCGCAGCCATCAAATCAGAACAATGGTGGCCCGGGCTTCAACTTCAATGCCTATGGTCGGAATACAAACACCTCACCCATGGGACGCCAACAGCAGAACAGCCCCCCTTCATGGGTKAGTCCCGTGCCTTATATCCGGCGATTAGTGGTTACAGGCTTCGACAACCCGGCCATTCTGCACGGTTTCTTCGGTGATGATTACATCAAAGGCGTCATGCCTCATGTGGAATGTGAACGGAGGAATTACTTCTTCGCGGCTAAGCATGGCGGATGGAGCAGCTGCAAGAAGCAGTATGACAGCGGTTCAGGAGGTGGAAATGGAGATGACGAAAGTCTCCCATTCATGAAGCCCATGGCGCGGGCAGAAGCTGTGGAGCTGGATGCTGCTGATCAGGAGTGGAGTAAGTGGTTGGCATTTGAAGATTGGAAAGTTGGGCCAAGAGCTGTCGAAGGGGCCAACGTCAGAGCAGAGAAAAGAAATACCAACATGGAGCATGCACTCGCGCAGACGCAGGCACAGGCCAGCGGTGGATCTGGGTTTGTGCCGATCAAAGTTGAGGAAGGCGTTGATGGTGTTGAGAGACAGGCGATGGACGATCGGAGGCATCATACCGGCATGATGGATGGGTACGGCTCGCGGTGAACAGAGGGCGTTACGAATGATTGAAAGATCGGCAGACATCGACAGCGAATATCGAAGGATAGACGCAGAAACTACACGCATCGCGGAAGCAGACGAATCGACCTAGCGGAAGGAAGAGATTTGATGGGAAGCGGTACCTGCTTCCAGGGACGTCGATAGCATTCTCGAATCGCCGTTTGAGAAGCCTGGTAGGGAACGACATGTATTATGAATGTATGGTCCGAGACCTTATTGAATGTATATATTTGCGAGAGCGGGAGAGATATAAGAGGCAAATGATACAGTCGAGGCAAACGGTGGGTGAATTTCTCAGATTGCTAGCTGATTCGCTTTCTCTTTTTGTCATGCGAAGATGATTTTCATTCACTCTCACCGTCGGCTGACTTCTTGTCACTCTACTCTTCCCTCCACGACCCTCGCCGCCAGATGCAGAACTTTGCACGCGCAGAGCAATGGATCTTCCTCGAGACATCTCACCCATAACGAAGCATCCTCAGCCGCATTCACCACGCATCAWCAGATACAACAATCCAAATACCCTCAGCTACATCGTCGACAAGATACAAGGCGCCTACTTCCACCTTCGCTTCCGCCTAGAGTTTTCTCTGGGAACGCCTGCGCTCAGCGACGACGCAATGTCGCATCAGATGTGGAAGCCTCCGGCTCATCTGAACCCCAGCCGCGAGCCGCAGAAGAATAACAAAACTACAGCCAAGTCCGCCATGAAGCTCCCAACTGCCGAGCACTCGTCTCCAGTGGTGAGAGCAATGCAGCGTGCGAAGGAGGAGTCCCGTCGGCCATCTCAAAGTAAGTCTACCAGTGCGCAAAAGTCTGAAGAGGGAGGAAAGCGGAAGGGAAGTCACGCAGGGCAATCGGGAGGTTCACGCGAGAAGAAGAAGAAGCCTGTGGCGGCGGTGAATTGGCAGCCTCCGAAAACTTTGATGGTTGAGAAGAAGAGTGAGAGTCGTCGCGCAAGTATGCTTTCTTCGCTGCTGAGCGGAAGTTGGTACTCGTGGGAGAAGAAGGCTGTTACTTTGGCCAAGGCGCATCGGGCTGCTGATACGACGATGGATGAGCTGGATGGGATGTTTAAGCCTACGCTGGAGGAGTTGATGGGGAGTGATGGTGAGGAGGACGATAGCGAGGATGAGAACTAGGATTCGTACGGCGAGGGGGGTGCAATGAAGTAAGTGGCGACTGTGTTCATTTCATTCTCACTGTGATGTTCAGTGAGCGACTGCATGCTCATTCACATGCTCGCCGCGACCCACCTTACTTGCTCCTTCTTCTGCTCCTGCTTCTCCCTCGCCTTCTTGAACACTACATCATCAACCTCGTTTTCCGACTTCACCTTGAATCCAACAACTCTCCACCAATCTTCATACACACACTCCTCAGGCTCTTGTATCAAGCTCCAAGTCACAACAACACCATGTCACCGCCCGATCTCACTGAATTGGTGCGAGTGGGAGAATCCCATCGCCTGTTCTATCAAATCAATTACGCGCTCGGTCGATCCAATCACGCGTTCGATCCGCTAAAACGCGCTCCCACATCCGCAAGAATGCAAGGAAAGCCGCAGTCAATTGAAGAGATCAAGGCGGAGCAGATCATGAGAAGCAAGCAGTGAGTCACTGCATCTATAATTCAAAGAGAGCTTTCTGTTGACACAAGTAGGCGTACCGGTGTTCTCGGGGCAGCACATGAGGTGTCCGGTGGTGAAGCGCCTTCTGAAGGTAAAGGTGATGCCGCCCAGCGAGTCTTCGGCACGATCGAATTGCTGGAGATGATCCTGCTGGATCTACCAACGCAGAAGCTTTACACGTGCCAGAGAACAAGCAAGACCTTCCGAGACACCATTGCGCAATCGCTCAAGTTGAAGCGCAAGATGTTCCTCGCACCAGAACCACTCGAAGCTCACGCGACTTCCAAGCCGAAGGCCAACCCACTTCTCTCTGGGCAGTTTTGGGACTGTGCGGACGTCGACCTTGAGACCATGCAAAAATGCTTCTTTGGACCATTCAAGACAGGAACTTCGCCTGTCCCTGAACTTACATCGGGCAAGTTCACCATTGTCATGCTGGAGGATGAAGATCAAGTCTTGAGCGCTTCACGCGATTCGGCTGACGGCTGGGTGGGCGATGAATCCTGGATGAAGATGCTGGTCGTGCAGCGTGCACAAGGCCCAATTATCGTTGGCGTAGGTTCCATGTTGGGCTTGACCACTCTTGATGAAGGGAATTTGCTGTACAAGTCGTCAACGATGGGGGAGCTCTACCATTGGGCTCTCGATCAGGACAAGTCTGATACGTCCAGCTGGAATATCTCTGACATTTAGTTGTGGAGACGACGGCCAAGAAACTCTGCTTCTTCCTTCCTCAAGGAAGCCAGCAGACTGGAGGCTTGGGCAGATGATCCTTGTTTCTCTTCACTTATGAGCAAGATTGCGTGGTGGTCCATCAGGCCCATTGCAATATGCTCGATTGCTTGCAGAGTGTTGAGAGTACTCCCCTGCCATTGCTGAATCTCTTGCTCCGATATGTGTGAGTATCAAGCTCATCGTCACTCACGGCAACGCCAACGCGTACTTCGACTGCATAGGGTTGAGGCGAAGTGGAAACGCAGTGGGGACGCTGGGGAGGCTTTATACTTTAWCTAGTACATAAGCATGATGTCACGCCGATTATGATGTTTATTCCAGAGCATTGAACTCCTCAAAACATCGACACCAAAGCAATTTCTCCATATCGAATGTGAATATGTCCTTACCAAAGACCTTCGACATCACAGCCGCAGATGGCAAAACCATTGAGATTCCATCGGTGGGATTTGGAACTTGGGCCTCTGGTAAATATGTTCAAGCTCTTCCCAAGCTTCCTATCCAAGCTTACCTTTATGACTACAAGGTGGACATGGGTKGGCCAAGGATGCTGTTCTCGAGGCCTTGAAGGCTGGTTATAGACATCTTGATTGTGCATGGATGTACGGGGTAGGTGCCAAACGAGAACTTGCCGTTCCTCGACACAGATAAGGCTTACTTACAGTGCACAATCAGGTGGATGAAGAGATTGGAGCAGCTATCAAAGAATCTGGAGTACCCAGATCGGAAATATTCATAACTTCAAAGTTCTGGCCTCATTTTGGAGCCCCAGAAAACGTTGAGATATGCCTTGACCATATTCTCAAACAAATGGGCCTTGATTACATCGATCTGTTCCTCGCACATTGGCCATGGGTGGCGAAGCCCATATCGAGAGAAGTCCTTCTCAACTTGAAGGGCCCGGATTCTGGAGAGGAAAGTAATGGCATGCTAAAGGAAAATGGCAAGCCTGTCGTTGACTGGGAACATACCTCGACGAACATTTGCAAGCAAGCTGGTAAGTACCATCTTCTGGGAAGAATATGTCAGCGGTATATTGACTCCGCATTTAGGTAGAGAAGGCTCATTCGTACCGACCTGGAACGCCATGAAAGCGCTCGTCCGCTCCGGCAAGACACGCGCAATTGGTCTCTCCAATTTCTCCGTCTCTGAGTTGGCTGATATCATCCCACATGCAACTGACGTGCCGATCTCCTGCAACCAGATCGAAGTGCATCCATGGTTACCGCAGACCGAACTCGTGGCCTTTGGAAAAAAGCACGGCATCCTTACGACATGCTACTCTCCTTTCGCCGGTCAGAAATCTGACTGTGCAACGCTTTTGAAAGATGAGAAGATCGTGGAGCTTGCAAAGAAAAACGACATGGATGTTGGACAATTGCTCCAGAGCTGGGCGGTGGGACGAGGCACAGTACCGCTTGGGAAAAGTGCTACTCCTAGCAGAATCAAGACGAACCTGGCAATTAGAAAATTGAGCGAAGAAGACACCAAAGCCATTGACGCTCTTGCTCAGCCTGGAGATTCTGGAAGGACTGTTGACTTGACGGAGAACTGGGGAGTAGCTTTGTTCAAGAACTGAGCAGTTCAGAATGGAGGCATGAACGCTTTCCATAGGACTGATGGCAGAAGGTGGCCGACAATTTCGCAGTGAAGGAGAATTACTATAGTATATCCCGTCTGATTCGTCCATGCCCTACATCGTTAGCGTAGAATCTAACCCCTCGCTTTCGAAGGTGAGGGGAGCTGTAAAATCGTCCCACTCCAAACAACTTTCAAGCCAGCAACAACAAAATCAGGATGACGGAAAACACGACAAGAGCGTCTACTTTCGCTCCAGTGAACATTGCTGTTATAAAGTATTGGGTATGAGCAATAAGTCTTCACATCTAAACGTGTTCTAACACCTCCCAGGGCAAGCGAGACACGAAACTCAATCTTCCCACCAATGCCTCTCTCTCCGTGACCCTTTCGCAGGTATGCCATTCACTTGACAATGTATCCACAATATCTCTGACAGACACCAGGACGATCTCCGCACCCACACCACAGCTTCGTACGATCAACATATACGTCTATACTGCTCCATCTAAACTGTCCATCACAGCTGCTCGCCATCCTTCACCGCCGATTCGCTCACCCTTAACAATGCCGACCAGGACATCTCCGGAGCCCGCACACAAGCATGTCTTCGCGAACTGCGCTCCCTCCGTGCCGCCCTAGAATCAAAGGACTCCTCCCTTCCGAAACTCTCCACGCAACCCCTCAAGATCGTTTCAGAGAACAACTTCCCTACCGCTGCTGGCCTCGCTTCCAGCGCTGCAGGGTTCGCCGCACTGATCCGTGCGATTGCGGACCTCTACCAGCTCCCTTCTTCCCCAACCGAACTTTCCCGTATCGCACGTCAGGGCAGTGGTAGCGCATGCAGAAGTCTCATGGGCGGATACGTAGCATGGAGGAAGGGAGACAAGGCCGATGGAAGTGACAGCGAAGCCTATGAAGTTCAGCCTGCTTCTCACTGGCCGGAGATGCGTGCCATTATTCTCGTTGCATCTGCCGAGAAGAAAGATGTCAGTTCCACCGCTGGTATGCAGCAGACTGTGGCCAGCTCAGCACTTTTTGCTCATCGTGCCGAAGTCGTGGTTCCTCAAAGAATGGCTGCTATGGAAGAGGCCGTGAAGGCAAAGGACTTTGAGGCTTTTGCGGATCTGTCGATGAAGGACAGCAACAACTTTCATGCGTGCTGTTTGGACACACAGCCACCAATCTTCTACATGAATGATACGAGTAGAGCTGCGGTGCGATTGGTGGAGGCCATCAACGCGAGTCACCCTGAGGGGAAGAAGTATGCGGCGTATACCTTTGATGCCGGTCCAAATGCTGTGGTGTATTATTTGGAGAAGGATGCGGACACTGTTGCGGGTACTTTCAAGACGCTCCTGGGAGACAAGACTGGATGGAGTGGTGCGAACGGTGAGAAGATTAAGGCGAGACAGGGATCGTTGGAGGGGACCGAGGTTGCTGGAGAGGCACTGAAGAAGGGAATCTCGAGGGTTATCTTGACCAGTGTGGGTGATGGACCAAGAAAGACGGAGGAGCATTTGTGCTGAAGAACAGCGTGAGGGAATGGAGTCATGTTGCGTGATTGAAGCGAGAAGCATTTGAGCCACTCTGCTACCAGCAGCAATATACCATCAGCACTTGCTTGCGCTCACCATCACGAGAACGTCCATTCAAAATATCCAAATAGATCGTGATCATAACTTGTCGCGATATTGTGAAAGTGAATGAATGAGCTCATCGCGAGCAAAAAGTCCACTTACTCAGCATCGTAAGCACCTCGACACAGCATCATCCAATTCGAGCTCTCCGAAACAACATCACACATCATGTTCGCCAAATCAGTCCTATCAGTGGTAAAAAAGATTCCTCCCGCTCCCACATGCCTTCACAATCTAACCAAACGTCTGCGACAGGCCACCCAAGGGCTCCGCCCTCGCCGAAACCCACTCCTCTCTCCGCGCTTCGCCACGCTCCAAAAGTCCTTCCTATCGACCGAAACTCGCAAGGCGATTGATGCGGCTGTAGCTTCAGCCCCCGTGGTTCTCTTCATGAAAGGCACGCCCGAGACGCCACAGTGTGGATTTTCGCGCGCTTCGATTCAGATTTTGGGGTTGCAGGGAGTGGATCCGGCGAAGTTTACGGCGTTTAATGTTTTGGAGGATGAGGAGTTGAGGGCTGGTGAGTTGTGATTTGTTGTGGAGTGGTTGGTGGGATGGGAAGATACTAATATGATGGATATAGGAATCAAGGAGTATAGCGAATGGCCAACGATTCCGCAGTTGTATGTTGAGAAGGAGTTTGTGGGAGGTACGGATATCTTGATGAGCATGCATCAAGATGGGAGTTTGGGCAAGATGTTGGAGGAGAAGGGCGTTTTGGTTGAGGGGGAGTCTGGATCGGAAAGCTCGTGAGGTGGAAGCAGTTGGGACAACGGGATGGAGAGGCTGTAGTGTCTGTATCATGTTGTATTATGAGAACCCCAGATTCTTGCTATACAAACCCTGGCGGAGTGCAAAGAAGTCGGTGAAGAAGTACCTCAACCATTGGATATCTCTGGCAAGTCTGCAGACTACTGATCGATGGAGGCTGACTTGGTAACTGCAGGTCGCCTGGAAAAGGCTTCATTGCACTGGAAATCGGCATTGCAAGCACTGTGAAGCATTGTGGGTGGACTTGAGAAGCACTTGGAACCATTGGAAAGCACCCAGACAATTCACAGTCTCTGGCTTCCATTCATTCTACGCCACGGGAGATTGGCGGCATAAAAAGACATCAGCGCGGAACTGTGAGCTGATCAGTACCGTATGCAAGGGAATCCGACCCTCTCCGCCTCTCCYTGCAGCGATCCGACGACCAAGTTCGCAAATGGGGAGTCACTCCAACAGGAGTTAGCAGTCTTGCGGAGAGTCAAGTCTTTCTGGCCGTGTTGTCATTTCAACTCCACCGGCCCTTGGCCGTACCTTCCCACTCTATCGAGATCCGTTGCGCCGGGACCGGCCCCTCAACTCAACATCACTGGATGGGACAGGCTCAAAATCTCACATCTTTCTATCCCCACCCGACCGACTCTCATCACTACAATCCAAGCCTACTGGCACGAAACATGGCATACGTGCAATCCCGCCGCAGAGCCGCCTCACCAGACTCTCCAGACAACAAGGAGAATCAACCGCCGAAGAAACGAAAGAGGGTCGAGCCATCTGTGAATGACCTTCTCAAGAAATCGAAGTCGAAGCATCGGACTGCACGCGATGTCCTCGCGCCACTGCCAGTCGGTATTTCCAAGAAAGCAAAGGCGCAGGACACGGACTTCTTCAAGCGGTTCTCTAAGAAGCGAATCAACTCCGACGATGATCCTCTAAGAGTCGCCCCGGGTTTCTTTCGCAAGATTGACCAAGACAAGGAGCAGGAGCGTGCGCTCGACACCGGCTACGCTGGTATGCATGTCGAGGCGGCGCATGCCATACTTTCCGCTCACTGATTATTTACAGATGCTGCCCATGCGTACTGCGAAGGTGCTGCTTCGGAAGCGAAGCGGCGTGTCGACCATTTTCGAGCTGAACTCGACGCACGTCGACAGGGTCTCGATCTGGACGGGCAGCCACTACACCGCAAAGGTCATCCTTCGAAAGCAGACTTTGACAACGTGTTTGCTCAAATGAACGACCTTGCCAAACCGCTTGAGGATGAGATGATTGATGTCGAGTTTAGGGATGCTGCCACCGGTCAAAGCCAGTTTCGCCAATTGAGAGTTGGTAGCACATTGGACAAATTCTTCGAACGACACACACGGAAACGAGGTGTAGTGGCAGAGATTGCGAGTGAGGTCCGTCAGGTGGAGGCTGAAATCACGAAGCTTGTGGAGCAGATTCAGAAGGAGAAGGAGGCTATGGAAAAGAACAGTGCTGAAGTCGAGGCGGAGATCGCGGAGCTACGGCAGGACTTGGAAGGAGTGGAGAATGACTTCAAGACCGAGATGCAGGCTTTCCGGAGAACCCTCAAGGCCGATTCTGATGAGGTGAACAAGAAGATTGAGGAGTTGAAAGCGTACGTGGGAAGTTAAGAGCGCTCGAGAGCTGATATTGGCGGCGGATGATGTTCTGCTGTGGTGTGATTGATGCAAGTGATGGATGGGATGATAGAGATGAATGAGTTCGTGCTCACATGATCTCGCGACGTGCTGACGCTTTGCTGATTGATCACTAGGCTTCTATATAGCTACGGTGTCTGTCCAAAATCTCTCGGTCGAATCTCCAGCCCCTGGACAGGACAAAACCCAGTGATTTTCCAGGTCGGTCCAAGTCGATTCCGCAGCATTGTACAAACTCATGAGACCGTACCGCTTTCATGCGAAACTGCCATTCATTCGCTAAGGTGGTATATTTATATCCAAATACTATCAAACATCAAACATCAGATATCCCAAAATATCATTCGCCAAAGGAAGGTCAAGTCTAGGTGATCAATCCAGACTAAATCATAACCTCAATCTTTGCACTCTCCACTGAACGAGAGAAATCACATCCATCTCTTACGAGCAAACGCAAACCTTGTCCCAGTTGAAGAAACCTCCCACACATTTGCCCGGCAAGTTATACAGTTTGCTGCACTGGACAAGGGTCAGTGAGAGTGAAGCTCGGTCTTGATATTGTACTGACAATGGCGGGGCAGATTTGATCACCATACTGCGACTTGCAGATACTATTCCAGTCTCCGTTGGCGGAGAGATTGTTGTCGGCGATCTTGAGGCCTGCGGGAACCGAGGGCGGATCAGAAAGCGTGGTGGCTGACTTTTCCTCCAACATAGACGAGGGAGTTGGTGCTGCCAAGGCGATGGACAGAGAAGCTGCCAGGAAGATGGTTTTGAGGAAATGCATACTGTATGAACAGTGAGTGTTGTTGCTGTTTGATCAAGCTGCTTAGCGAATGTGTTGTTGTTGTTCGCTGGTGATGTCTGGGCAAAAACGCTTCAAAGGTCATGGTATATATATATATATACGTTTTCTTCGAAGTCTTAGGTGAGCGGGAGTCGATGTCCTGCTCCGACATAGCCCTACTGCGGTCAATCCCCAAGTACCACCCTTACCATGCGGTCTCGTCTATGCGGAGRGATGCTTGGACGATCTAATGTCAACAGATCTCTGTGTGCTKGGAGACGACTCTGGGAATTGGTTGATGGGATCAGCCACGCTGTCATTGCTGGTTGGTAGAGTTGGACAGGTGGGACGTTGGATCTTTGTTTAAGCTTGAAACCCTCTCAGTGAGTACTGTCGGATCTCCGGTGGATGAATGATGTCGTGGTGAGGATGGACGAGTGAATCTCCGGAGCTGAAGCTGTGCTAGCGGCTTGACTATGATGTGGTCTCCGCGATCTGGTGGGAGAGATGGTGAAGCAGATTTGTCGAAATACCTACAGCCTTCTCAAGTTGTACAAGATACTTCCCACGAGCAATTCGTTGCCTCTACCATCACGTTGGCTGTTCCCGGGGCCAGCTTTGAGGATTGTACAGCTCCCCTGCTGGGCATATTGCCTCCCGTATAATCGGGTGATGCTCTGTTGGTTTTCCAGCTATCCGATCGCGGACAGTCATTGTGAAACCGCAACCCGCGATATGTTACTAAGTGCGTGGAACAAGCAATTTGGAATGCATAGTCATCGAGTACAAGCCCCAGCTCTGACGGCATAGCATTCTTTCTCAGTCAATCGTGGATGTCGCATTGTTCGTCCAGCTAGCTGAGCCCTGTTCAGCGCGGCCACTCGCAATCACTCCATGGACCATGTGGATGATGTTTGTCACTCTTCATCTCTCCATCGCAGATACACTTTGGTCGTTGGGCAGTATATTCCGTCACCGGTGGCCGTTTTGGCGTCAAACGTGAAGTTGTACCAACCCTGCTTGCTCGTCGATAGAATTCGTCGGCTAACAAACAATGATGGTAGGTGACGTCGGAGACCTACATATGTAGGGGCTGATGATCCCTTTCGACAGAGTTGATCTGGGACACAACTGTCGGACGGGATTCCGGGCACAGACTGAAAGGCATTCTGCCAGGGAGGTTATTGCCGCGGACTGATGGCTGGAGGGCTAGGGTTGCAGTAAGAAACCTTACCGTATCTTGTAGGGATGGAGTCTACATATTCGGACGCTTGTCGATGATTGAAAATCCCCAATGGCGCTGTCAGTCACACACAGTCAAGCAGAGTGAGTCAGGAGAATGAGGTGAGGCGAGGAAGGAGCCTCCGATGTGCAATCAAGGCACTTGCTTGTAAGCAGGCAATGATGAGTTGAAATGCGAGATGCTTCGTGGATGTCAATCGAGCGTTGACGAAGCTCTCCCGGATGTCATGCTGAGCTTCTGTCAAGCACCGATACCACGTGATTGTCCAGTGTTAAGAGCTGCCTTGGAATGTTGAGACAGTTGGAGAGGTCTATGAGTTTGGTAGTGAGGTGATGGTGATAGTGAATTTGTCGTGAGCCATGGCACCTGCTCYGAAAATTTAAGCTTTCGGTAGAACACGCTAGCGAGCCCGACTGTGCCATTATTGGCAGGCCGTCAGCCTTCACTACTACAGCACACTTCACACCGGACATCATCGTCCCAAGTCCCGATTGCACCACTATGCTACCGCCGGCGACTTGCTATGCTGGCGAAACCACCCCCTCAAGGGCTGATGATCCGCC